TTAGGGTACCTCGATCCATTTTTTCTTCGTCTCCTCTCCACATGACCTGTGTTCTGGAAATCCAGGCTTACATAGAAGCGAACCAGAGAGAGGCACCCCATAGACCTGACCAGCCTGCCATTATAATAAGGAGAATTTAGGCCTGAAACCCTGAAATTCTGCACAGAGAGCACACTCTAAATTACAAAAGGAATGGAGACAGAATCTCTAGATTACCTTGCGCTTCAGCGCACGAGACTCATTGATAGCTCTGAGACACTTTCTGACAGCCTGCGGGATAGAAATTAAACAAAAATGAACTCCTCTAGAGAGATCAACACTATAAGAAATAAAACACCGTCTATGCTCTCTAATACTAATACCGTACCTCTTTGCACTTTAGGACAACAGGCTTCGTAAACGTATGAACCTGGGTCAATATAATCTCTTCGGATTCCTAAAAAGGCCAAAGAGACAGAACCTCAATTAGTAGATGTATATTAATACGATGAAAACTAGATGCTCTAACATCAGAAATGATATAGACTTTCTGAGTTGTAAGCATCCCATGGAACTACATTAAAGAAATAGTCATCACTAAAATCTAACGAGCTACAAGCCTACAATGAACATTCTGCCTCAGTAAGACATCTCTCTTATTTTAGTGTCAAGCATCTACAGGAAATTAACGTAGACATGGGCCCATATAAAATTGTTATATCTATTGCAAACATGTCAATAATAATTAACTACGGCTTTCGAAATTTCTAAACAGCACAACAGTAAAGCATAACTAAATTCAGTTGCTCGCACCTTAAGTCCATCAACAGTTTCCTTGTATCCAAATTGAACATATTCTTTGGTCAGATTCTCTTCGGGAGAACTTGATGTTGGAGGGTGAAAATCAGGCGGTCCTAGTCTGCAATATTATGGAGACAAAAGTATAAATCATCTAAGAAAGTAGATAAAGATGGAAAAAGAGTCGCCAACTTCAAGCACTAACAAGCGTTCCTTGCAGAGAGATAAAATAGTGATCCAGAAACGAAACTAAAGATAAAGACGAGAGGGGAATTTTACCGGGAATTCAGACCGTCCTTTTCACACTTCAACTTGTAGGGTGTCAATGGCGGTGGCCTCCTGCAGTAAACACAAGCATTCACACGTCTTAGAGTGTATCAACACTATGAAATGCTATGCAAAGGACTTCTTTCTAACGACATGCCTGGAGTTTAGCGAGTAGGAAGAGGAGTCAGGCCGTCCAGAGTCCCTAGCGGATGCACCACCTATAGCGCTATTATTGACTGCACTAGTGCAGTTTGCAGCATGATACCTTTGCATCTCTCCAAACTATAACCGGCATACTGGTTCTGACATCAACATACCATAATAAACTCTAAGAACAAATCCACATTCTAGCACCATAAGGAACTTTTGCATGGACTTGCACTTTTATTTTTGCAATTTCTCCTTACAGCATAAACTTCGCACTGGCGTCAGTGCAGCCCCATTGACGGAAGTAAGCCCTGAAACATGAAGAGTACCCCCGTCGTTGAGCTTACACTGAACTCATACAAGCCAAAAATGAAAACAAGAAGGAAACACTAAAATAGCTTTTAGTCTATATGATATATTGTGTCTTCAAAAGAAGTTTCCTTTTATTCAACAAATTACGAAATTCAGTTGTTTGAAAACCTGCTCTAACAGTCTATAGTTTCAATCGGCTAATAGGTACCACATTCTCTTCGAAAACTTTGCCTGAAACTTTCTCTATAACATACATCAGTTCAAGTGAAATTCTGAGCTTATCATGATACAGACTCCACCCCCAAAGACACATAATCTTACACTATGATGAAGAACAAAGGTGATCTTGAGTAAATGTAAACTAACCCTAATTAAAGCAGCCAAAGCAGAAGACATATGAAGCCATTTATGAATTATTATTTATCATGATTAATATTCACAGAAACAAAACAGAATCAGAATTAAAATCTGCAGGCTTTATACAAGAAGTGTTTATTCCGAGCTGAAAAACACACACACAAATCAATTTAGCTGCAGAAAGAGAGGAGCAAATCCAGATAGAAGCAGACGAAAATCTGCAGAAACTACATCCTCACAAAGAATATGAGCTAGAAAACAATCACCGTAATCAAATTACCAAATCGAACTACGCGAGCAGTGAATCCGCACGATAAACACAAAGAAAAAACTAGGGTTTCAAATCGAAAACTAACCAATAAGGAGCTCCAGATGACCCCACAATCCGGAGTCGAACCCCACGAAGCAAAGTTAGGGTTTTGACAGCGAATTCGACCCTCGGCCCCTGACGAGAAGAAACTCGAAGAACCCGGAGATTCGACGAATCAAAGGAGAGATTGGGGACGAAGCAGGAATCAAAGCTTGGAGCTTTGGAGAAATTGAGGGATTCGAAAGAAGGGGAAATCTAAGAGATTCACAGGGGAGAGATTCAGGGAGAAGGAAAGAGAGGAACACGAAACCAATAAAGAGAGGCCCAGAAGGAGGAGAAGAAGCAAAGAGTCTTTGGTTAAAGTTTGACTCTTTTCAATCTCTCTTCTTCTGCACTTTTTTTTTTCTTTCTCTTGAGGAGTAATGACGACGACGAATGTCTCTCTATTGCTGTGCAAATTCCTTTTTGCAGATTTTTGATTCCGTAATTCCGGATGTGAGATTGTTTCGCGTGCTCGAGGAAGAAGAAGAGAAGGCACAGAAGAAACACCAAACACCAACAACAACAACAATCGAATAGAAGCAGCAACAAACAAACTCTTCGATTGATCGCTCGAAATTCGATCTAACACACACTGTTCTGGTAAGAAAATCTTAACCTTTTCTGGTATTTATTTCCGTATTTGCCCTCGAGTTTCTCCCCTCGCTTGTCTCTTGTGTTTCTAAGGGCTAAATCGTAAACTTGTATTTATGAGAGTAGTTTGACATGATGATGGTGGATGCAACCAGGGTTTCTGCGAAACGATTTTTCTTTGTTTTTCCTTTTTTAGATTTAATCGAATTTTTTATTATTCGATTTTTAAAATCTATCTCACATTCTCACTTATAAGGATCTTTTGCATTAGACTTCATAGATTTTGGATACCATTCCGAATTCAAAAACTATATGATCCCATCAAAATTTGCTTACATAGATTTTACAAATATTGGTTTCTAGAATTTTTGTTTTTGACAACCGTTTGAACACTAGTAGTTTCTTAACTCTTAATATATATACTATAGTGTTGAATTTTTTTTTAATCTTTATATATACATTTATAGCTGAGAATTTGAAACTAGAACTCACAAGATTCATGTTAGAGAAAAAGTTGTAATTGTTTTTTATTTCAATTACAGCCGTTAGCCGTTACTTAAGTTCCGTGGAAACTTCAGACTTTCCTCGCTTTGAAGACGTTTTAGAAACTGAAATTTTTAGAAATACAAGAAAAGTTTACTTTTAAATTTTGGTAATAAATTAACAATTATAAAAACAAAATTAGTAATCAAATTAATTGTTTATAGTAAGTTAATAATTAATTTTATTCGAGAGTAAGTTAATAATTATTTTGATTCATTAAATGAGATTAATTTTGGTATTATTGAGTTTGAACATCTTTTTATAGTTCGATGTAGATAGTTTTGATAGATAAAGCTAATGAAATTGATGATAATGAAATTGATGATGAAGAAAAGTTTACTAAATTTTAACTTCAAACAACATTACTCTTTAATAATTATGTATTGAATTTTTGTTTTAAATATTTTCTTATAATACAATTTATATATGCTTAATGTTTAATACATATATATATACAATTCCAAAAATATTTCTATTCTTATATTTTTAAAAATAGGTTTCCATATTTTCAAATAATATCTATTTCTATTTTTATGCAACATATATATTATTTACCTTTATTCGTGTTTTATTAATCATGTTTTTTATTTTTTTGTCATCTTTAATTTATTTGAGAAGACTAACATAGTACTAAAACCAGAACAAAAGAAACAATGTTGATTGTTGCATAATATGATGATCCAGTTGTGCTATTTTTTAAATTGTGTTTGAATTATATATTAAAAAATCTGAACAAAATAAATATACTCAAATAAAAAAGGGACCTTAAACTTAAGTTTAACTATTCACTATTCAAATAAAATAAATATAATCATTTCATAAAAAAGTAGATTTTCATTAGCTCTGCAAACACAATACATTTTATCAAATATATATTTGTAAATGACATTTATTCAGTTTGGTTATCTTTTATCAGGTGTACTATCTATTGTGTCCACAAAACCATATCCCATCAACAATAAAAAGTTATTCACTAAGTAGGGCATAAAGTGCAACAACTCCAAACATTATCCAAAACTTTATGTAGTTATATATATATCATGATCCTTCATTTCTCCATTGAGTAAAAATCTCTAGAGATTTGTGTTATGCATGTTTCTTCCCTCTTGCTAAAAAAAACACATTATTATCAACTCACCAATCTTGTATATCTTTCTAATTTCATAAACAAATAAAGAAAGCACTCTGAAATTATCACCACCAGATCAAACTCCTATAATCAAATAATACATTGTTATGTCATCTTACACACAAATAAATCAATGAAACCGAAAACACTATCACATCGCTCTCCGTCTCAACACACAAAGACACAAACAACTCAAAGAAAAACCATATCCTATATTATATATCCTAAAAGAAGAGACCAAGAGAATGGTCCATGTCTATGAAAGGGATTCTTCTATAATGACCCCACCACAAACAGTTTCTGTTCTGGTCTTGAAAGGATCTTATATATCTCCTCGCTTCCTCTCTCTCACTCTCTCATCAGTCTCTGATCTCTGGTAGTTATTGTCTTGAGTAATACAAAGTATCTACATGATTCTGCGCTAATGAAAGTTAGCAATGGTGACAGTGAGGCTATGCTCAGAGCTTGCAGCTGTTTCAACGATGGCTTTGTCTCTAAGAAGAGAGTTTTCACTTTTCATGACCTTTATAGTATAAGGACGCTCTCATCGTTCTTCAACTCAGCTGGAACCAGAGAGTGCTCAGTGTTGTTGAGGCAGTTTAGAGTGAGCTCTTCAAGTAATTCCTCGAGAATCAGTTCACTAGTTGCAAAGCCAATGCAGTCAATGTCGCATCTGATGTCTAACCAGTTTCCAGCTTTAGCCATATCTTTTCTAACTATTTGATCCAACGCGTGAGGGAGTGGCAATGGCAACAGATGCCAATAGACCGCTTCTTGAACCTCGTGAATGATGCTTTTGACGCTAGCGAAGACTCGGGTTCTTGGTGTAACAAACGAAGCCCATGGAGGGCAACAGCATAGCTCCATGACAACTTCATTGATGCAGTCAAAGAGGAGCTCATGGTCAGGGCAAAGCTGGTTTGGACAGAAGGGTATATTGCTGATCAGTGCTGGTTCAAGAAGCTGGTCAGAGAATTGCGCCTTCAGATAGAGCTCTTCAAAGTCTGAGGAAACAGCGTCCAAGACGGCTCTTACATACTTAAACACCAGTTCTTTGTCACTTGTGATAGTTTTGTCTGAATGCTCTCTGCTTTTCGCTGCAGAATCTTTATCATCAAAGTGGATACACCAAGGTTGCACCTGTACTTCATCTGAGTTGTAAACATGAGTCAATCTTTGCTCATTATAAAGAACTAATTAAATACTAGAATCCAAGTAGTTTTTTTTTTTCAACATACCAGACTGAGATCGCATTTTTGCTGGGCTTATATCATCTTCAATGAAGAGTGGCTCAAGGACTGATATTGGGCTAGACCATTCCGGAAAATCAGCAATAGCTGATTTGCACTCCTCACTTTTGGCTAAACAGTGAGATGGTGAGACAACAGAGGAAGACAGTGGTGGTTGGCTCTCTTCATGAGAGGCCTGTGGAAGAAACGAAACAGCAAAAGGATTTAAGTCTTCCACCATTTCTTCATTCCAAAACATGATAATAGATTAAAGAGCTGGATCAAAAATGACTTGCCTGTTCTGAGATTATACCGTCGCTCTGTTCATCATGAGCTTCAACTTTGGATAAGTCACCAACCAAAGTGGAGCTTGCTTCCTCTGGAACTATATCTATCTCATTGATAATCGTTACATCATCTGCAGAACCTGGAAGATTGGCTGATTATTAGATTAATTACTGCGTTCACAAAACAGAGTGAAAAAAAGAGACTTAAAATAAGAGGGAAATATCATTACCTGCAGAAGAGATTTGATCTTCGTTAGCAGTTCCATCCTCAATGTCAACACTTTTTTCAGAAGGTTCACTTCCGGTTGCTTGGAGAGACTCGGTAGATTTGTCAGGTTCTTTGCTTAGATTGCTGACCTGAATATTATCATTTTTCATCGAATCCTGTGGTTGGCTCGCAAGAGTTTCTTTCTTGATGTTGACAACGTTTATGAAATCCGCCGAGGCAGACTTCCTGTGTGTAGTTGAGCTCTTTTCCGATCTTCTTCCCGGGCTGCTTAGAGGAGACAAGTACTCAGGAAGAGAGAGAATCCTTCCTAGAGTTCTTTGAACCTGTCTGCTTGTTGAGTTGGAATCAAGGTCTCCATTGTTTAGCATCTCAGACAGATGTTTCTTGGCCTCTGTATAGATATTAGATACCCTTTGCTTTTTATCATCTTCATTCTGCTCTTGCAAAGCTTTATGAGGTTTCTTCTGAGATGTTGAAGGCTTTGCCATCCGCTCGAGAAAGAAATGATCTTTAGTTGGCACATTTTTCGGAAACCCTTCCCCATATCCCCCCTCACGCTGCAGTCCCGGTTGCTCTTTTCTGATTGCTTGTTTCAGCTTCTTCTTGATCTCAGAAAGAAAGAAATGTGAACTGTTTCTCTCGTTCTGCATTTTGTTTCTCATCAAATGGGAATCAGGTGACGAACCACGGCTATTTCCTGTGTCGGGACTTGAAAAGCTTGCTGATCTTGGCTTCAGAATGAAAATCCGGTCTGAAGCTTCGCGTTCTTTGTCATCAGTCACTTCTTGTGGTGTATCCTTCCTCCTGAAAAAGCTAGACCATCTCCTATCAGCAAGAGAAGATTGTTCTGATGCGCCGGTTATCTCAAACAAGCTCAAGCTTTCTTCTCCGGTCTGTGAGTTTTGAATATCCCTTGGCACAAGTATCTCTGGATCTTGCAGAAGTTTAAGAAACAATTCCTCATCCGATCCCAGAATCTGAAACACCTCCATCAGGTCCTTGGATGTAAGGATTTCACTGTTTGCTCTGGGACGGTTCCCATGTAAAAGCTTCTGGCTGATTAAAAACTTGACCAACTCCCTCAGTTTCTCTTTATAATCTTCGTGTCTGTGGTTCACCATCCCATTCTTTGCACGGCTTGTGCTTCTGCGGTGAATCTCAGAATAGAACTCTTCGATCATATTATCAATGTCAAGACTCCTTGCAGACACATGATGCTTCTTATTTCTGCGATGAGCTTCAGGCTCCTCGCTGTCAACTGTGTTTATATGGCTAAAATTATCGCAGCTGTTCTTGCGGGTCTTGTTTTTCTTCCTCTGGGTTTTCCTTCTTCTTCCTTCGAGCTCAGAGTCTGACAACTGTCCTGCTTCAGCATTCTCCCTCTGCTTCTTGATTTCCTTGTCGATGAACAACTCTTCCGCTATTAGTTTCTTCACACTTGGCTTCATAATCGTAATCGTGACATTGCGCTCCTCACCAACCTTTTTAACAGTTTCAAGGAACAACTAGATTTTAATACACAGGAGAGACTCTCAAGACTGAAGAGAAAAACAAGTTGTGTTATCCAATAAAGCTTACAAGGGTATCTTGAGCATCCTTGTTCCTATGATTTCCAGCAGCTGGAACAAGTAACATAAAAGTGTTAGCCAAAGACAACTTCTTGTAAACCCAAACATGCAGAGGTATAAAGAGACATGAGTGAGGAGGGGCTACCATGCTTTTGGTCCACGAGCAGCTTGTGAGCCAGTGGTCCATGGCGGAAAGTAAACATATTCATGAATCCCCACATGCATCCTAACTGATCCCTCTCCTGTCGCGCAGCTGCACGTCGCTGAGTTTTCTTCGCCATTGCTTTCTAATGGTATTCAGTTTTATTGCTCCTTTTCTTAATCTCTCTTAACGATGTGCTGCCTTAAGATAAGCTGAAGAACAACAAGAAAGCAACAATTAATCAAGAAAGAACGGTAAAATATTGATTTCAGATATAGAAGAAGTCTTGTAAAAATGATGGTACTTATGTATAAATACTTTTAACAATCTCAGATCCTTCAGAAACAAACAACAATAACAATGCCAAAAATTTCCACGATTAGACTTAATTAGGAAGAGAGAGAGATAAAAGAAAAAGGAATTATCCTTCTGAAACACTGCAATTGGAATTCTTGAGAAATAAAGTAACATAAGAAGTAAAGGATCCTCTACCAGTTTCCCAAATCCAAATTTAACTCCTTTTACACTCTAATAATTGGTTTACTTCTTCAGCAAATGGTGTGATTAGGCAAAAACCACAAGGAAAGTAAAAAACAGAAAGCTTCCTGATATGCAGAAACAAAGTCCATTACTTATGGAGCAAAATGAGATACCTTTCCCTTTCAAAAGAGACTGCAGAGGAAAGTACCTGAGATTCTTCTGACTGCCTTGTTTGATTCCAGACTTCCCTAAAGGGCAACAGCGATTGTATCTGGTTTTTACTTACGTTTGAACAAAGCCATAGAAAGTGCAGCACAAGTAATTCTCAAGCTAGCTCCAAAAACTTTCTTTTGATCCCTGTGGTTTATCTTGAAGAATGGCCTGAAGCAGTTTTGATCGCCGGACAAAACGGTGGAAAAAAACAAAGGAATTTGGGATTTCTTTCAAGGCAAGGCGAGAGAGAAGACTTGAACAGGTTAAAAACTAAGCAAATGATCTCTAAATCATTTCTCGAGCTTAAAGAGAGGAACAAGGTGGCGTGTATCTTCACGCTTTAATCTCCAGCCACATTGTTGATCTGACAACTTTTCCAGGTTTTGTCGAGAAACCAAGCTTCCGTAATCATACGATCAAATCAAAGGGGAAAAGCTTTGATCATGAATCAGAAAATCTCTAGCTTCGTTTTCCACAGTTGATCAACAACCCCAACAGAGAAAAAAAGGAGTAAAAAAATTCAATTACAAAACTGGTTCAACAAAAAGAAGAAACCTTCACTGTTCAACATTCAAATAAAGAGAAAAGAAAAAGATATTTACTTTCTCTCTCTCCCTTAGTGGGCATCTTTTGACAAACAAGAGAGAGAGAGAGGTTTATTAAATTGAGTGTCTTATCTAACGATGACCGACAAAACCATTAGCTTTCATGGAGGATTTCTCAATTGGGCAAAGGCAAAGAAAATGTGGGAGAGGAAAAAATTAAGTAAAAGTGAAAGCTTTATGCGAATTTTACAACCACAAACGTCGTGGCGTTGAGCTACACAGGAGAGAAGAGAAAAAGGGAAGAACACAGTTGGAAAGAGATTTCATCTGGGCCCATCTCCTCTCTGTTCTCTACACAGAGTAGGAGAGAGAGAGAGAGAGAGAGAGAAGCTTTAGATAGAAGAAAAGTATTTGCAGGTTTTTTCAACAGCCTTCATCATTGTCCTCGCCAGTAAATAATTGATCTATTGTCTTTCTTCTGAAAGCTCTGAAATTGAGACATGGCAGTGAACGGAAGATTGATAGCTAGCTGCTGCTAAAGCCGTGGCAGGACTGAAAAAAAAATGGGGTTAGGTGAATAAAAGTCAAAAGATAGGGGCCATTATCGTAAGTATTAGAGAATACAAGGTTGAAAAAAATATAAAATTAAAAAAGAATTAGAGAGTGGGCTGCTTATGGAAAATGGAGAACACGTTAACTTTGTTGGATATTTGATTGACCAAGTCTTTTTGGTGTTGTATATATACAATTCTGTTTATTAAGCAACTAATTTTTTGTTCGAATCAAATCAAAAAGAGCATAAAATGAAAATTAGTACTGAGATTTTTTAGTCATTTTTATGTGGGGTTTTGCTGATAAAGTTGAACATTTACTTGTCCAACAGAAATAATGAGCTTGCATTGTCTTAGACTCATAGCAAAAGTTGAAACCATATATGTTAAATCAGGTTTAATCGATTAGTTCTTGACCATGATCATCAAGTTAGTTACATTGAGTTCTTTTGAAGCAACTTAATAATTCAGTCCAGGGACCATACTATATATGTATGTACATACACAAGAAACACTCACATATACCAATCAATACAGACCCGCACGCGCACAAACAACGTATATATATTACATACATACACACAGAATCAGTTTATTGCTACAAACGTGGCATTGTTTTTTGAGGTTTGAACTTTATCGACCGACAAAATAGATATGGACATAAACTTGCTCCCATTAAGTAAGGAAGTTAGTTACACTGCGAGATTTTCGACTTTCATCGTGGAGCAATCTTGCCCCTAACACATGTGTGTATGATAACAGCACTAGGTTCATAACTAGTAGGGTCAAGGGTCACTTTATCTAGATGGTCACTTTAGGTTAAATCACTTATAGCAGTTCATTATGACGCAACTTCTTGAGAGGACAATCTTGCTGACATCTTTACAAATCTGAAGGACGAGAATAGATGAAATTTCTTTCACTTGTACTGTTGCTACTTGTTTTATTCTTCTTCTTAATCATAGGGGTTAGGCCAAAAGCAAATCTAAGCATTGTTAAATTTGTTTAAGTTTCCCGAAAAAAAAGGCAATGGGTGACTTGTTTTACCAGATAGATAAGCAACATCCTAGTAGCCTTAATCATGATGTTTGGCACGATTATAGAATAGTTGGGTAAAGATTAGTAAAATAAAACCAGTAACACTTTTCTTTTTACAAAGGGATTTGTATGAGTCGCGATCTCTATATTACCAGAACATACCAAAAGTGAACACCTTTATATGGACGTTGCAGATTGAATTATGCCTAATGGAGAGGGGGTCCTGAATTTGATTATAAAGTATTCTCTCTCTCTCTCTCTCTCTCTCTCTCTCTCTCTTCTTTTCGTTAATTTCTCAAAAAAATATTAAATTTTTTTATGTAAATGAAAGTGTGCATGTGAAGAATACCAACCGAAAAGAGAGAAAGAGAGAGGATGAAACGGAACCGGGGCCTTTGAGAAATAATAGGTATCAGACTATCGGGCCGTCTTTTATTGGCCCATTCGACTCTAAAGCTTTGATTGGTAAACTCATGATTTAGTTTGATTTAGAAGCCTAACTCAAAAAACTATCCTGAAAGTTCAAGAAACCATTATTTTGTTAGTTCCCATGCATGTTTTGGTAATGAAACGCCATCCCCGTACACCAACGAGTTTGATTTGCGCTATCGTGCCAAAATAAAACTTTCCTTACATGAATAGGTAAAGGAGAGAGGTTAGGCCAGGTTACTCATATTAATGAGGACGTACGATCAGATCCACACGAGGAACAGCACAATGTTTAGCAAACAAATACACGCATCAAATCATTCTCAGTCAACGAGTAAACACGTAGTGCGAGACTGAATGCATGCAGTTAACAATATAGATGACCTACATAAGCGATTAAAAATCAAATATGCCCCAGTTCATAATAAACACTATTGTCACATACCAAAAACAATTAAAAAATACAAACATACTGAATAGTAATTTCAAAACAATTTTCTTTTTTCTTTTTGTACAAAACTGTGATTAGATTTTCAAATTTAACGTTTTTAAACAGGTTTTGTCAATAAATTTTCAAATTTAACATCCCTAAAACAGCTTATTCAAACTACATTACCAACTGTTTCTATATCAAAAAGTTTTTAGTTATTTGATCACTTTTTTTAACTATCATAATATGTCATTATATAACCCATTAGACCATACGTAGTTTATTAAAATTTCTATAAAACTTCCAAACGTAGAATATGTAAACATATTTTATTATTTATGATCAAAATAAAAAACTAATAAAAGATGTCACATGTCTGAGTTAAAAACAATAATTAACAGAAGATAATAGGTATTTTCACTGGCTGCCCTAACCCTAAGCAAAGCTTAAACTTTTACATCAGCTCTGCGGCTCGACTTATATATAAGTAAGGAAGGATTATATGCTATTGGAATCAATACAAGTAACGATTCCCAAAATAATCTGCTTTCGACGACGTTCTGTGAGGTGCCAAGTTTTTCTCTGGATCGTCTATACTTTTATTTTAGTCTCTCTTTTCTTTGTCCTCTCAAATTCAAGCTACATATAACTAGCTCTCCGAAATCTCGCATGCTTGCATGATTATTATTGTTGTTATAGTCTCATCGAATACTTGATTTACTTATCATTTTTATGTTTTGGAATGATGCAAATCTCCTTTTTCTGATCCAAGAGATTTTTTTTTTTCTAGGGCTTGAGAATCTCTGATTGTAGCTAGGGTTTATTTTGGGAAGACTTGATTGAGGTTTAACGTTTATAATTGGAACAGGAGAGAAGAAGAAAAAACATGGGAGACGATATCGACAGCAGAAAAAGTAAACTGGAGAGAGTAGATTTCCTCAGTGATCATGTTACGGCTTTCAAAGAAGCAATTTACACTGACTTTATCCTAAAGCCTGGTGATAATGGACCAGGAATCCCCACGCACAAAGCTGTTCTGGTAATAATTAAGTTTCTCTAAGTTTGCTAAAGATTTCTGTTGGTTAATGTTGTCGCTGTGCTTGAGGAGAATTAATGATCTTGGCAGGCAGTGAAATCAAAAGTGTTTAGAAACATGTTGGACTCTGATGAATGCAAAGGTTCACCGGAGAAATCAATGACAATCCCTGATCTGAGCTATACGAAGAGCTCCGGCGTCTCCTTGAGTTCCTCTACAGCGGAACCTTGAGTCGTGACAAAAAACACATTCTTGCCCTATATCTCGCTGCTGACAAGTATGACATTCAATACCTCCAAGATGCTTGCAGACAAGAATTAATCTCGTCTCTGCGCCCTGACAACTTTCTCGGCATCCTCCAACTTTCAACTAACCATTCCGACGCAATCCTCAAGGAAGGTGCGATATCTTTTGCCACAAACTACTTACCCGTTATTTTTTCCACTAGTTTTGAATCTTTTGCACGTAATAACCCTAGTCTAAGCTTGGAGGTCACACGAGCCTGTATTCGAAAGTTGTATTTGAGCTACCACAGTTCACGGCAAAAATAAAGCCAATTTTAGGTTGGTCCATCGGTTTACTTCAACTCGTCTGATTAGCACAAGAAGATTAATATACGTGCCGTTTTTACCTTATATTTTCTCAAGTTGTGACATTTTCAAAAACCTAATTATTATATTTTGAATCATATTTGATGAACATACTGAGATTCTGTTATTATGAGATATACTTTTTCAAGCTTTGGAGATCTCACAAGGAGTTTCTTTCTTCTAAAACCTTACAGGTTACTTCCAACCCAAACTTAAGAGATACTCCTACTAGATAATGTTTTAAAAACTGGACTGGACACTATAATTCAACATTATTATTGTTGGGTGGTTTGGTGTCCAGCCAATCAAATCAAATTTTCGAAACAAATAACATATTTAAATATGTCAATATGTACGATCTTCTATATTCAATATTCCTAATTTTATTTTTTTGGTCGACGACTTAATCCTAATACGAGGTATTAAAATATTGATATTTCTTAAACTGTCACTGATCATTATTGATGAATAGTTGAGAGATCATGAAGGTTGAGCTGTCTGGAACAAAAAATCAAATTATGAAATAGTTAGTTGAAGAAGTTTTGTTCTACCTCTCTATTCACGCTTTCCAAAATTTGATATCTTCTGCAATATTCCTCCACATGTACATGTGTGTATTATAACGGTGAAGAAGAGTTTTTTTTTTTTTTTTTTTGCCGTTACATAATTTAAGTTAACACCAAAACTTTGAAATAGTATGCAATTTGGTTTAGGATAGGAGAAAAGGTTAACATTGTTAAATTTAAAATTTCGCAAGCAATCATTACTTGTAATTGTAAATGTCATTGTTATTAATAGAATAATGGCATCATAATTCTATGAAAGGAGGATGTCCTATCTTCTTATATAGTACTGCTTTGGTCGGGACCGTCCCAATAAAACAAAACACAAGTTCAATGGGTTTAGTCTTTCTTTTGCCACGTGTCAAAACCACATTCGCTGGACGGTTGTGATTATGCATTGTGGTTGCGTTTCAAAAATGAAAACGTCGCATTAACTTTCCACGATAATGTCTTTTTCACAATAACAGTAAAACTACGGTAAATATATATATATATATATATATATATACAGGGTCCATAAAAATAATTTGAAACTGGAGATTTGAGAAGGATAAGAATTAGTGTTGTTGGCAACGAACGAAGCATGTGATCACAGAGACGCAATACAGCCAATACTTATCTCTGAGCTGTTTAAACCTTTACATGTCAGCACCAAAATTGGAAACTTATTTCAAATTTTTGTTTATTTATTTTCACCCAACCAATAATTTGATTAGAATTCTAAGGTTCTAACCACTGGTGTTTTTTATTCGGTCCACGATGCACGGTTTATAAGAAAAAGTGAAAATTTATAGACTTGAGTTAAATTTTTATGTGGAGAGAGGCTTGTAAATTTTGGCAACATGGTAAAAAGCTAGAGTAAAAGTAAACCAAAAGAAAATAGAAAAAACACCACGTGGTAGGTTGATAATTGTCTCTACTATTACTACAATTGTAATTAACAATACATGTTTGGTTTTTCATATGTCCGTATCTAAACACTGTTTATATCGTTGATCTACAATTGTAACAGCACTGTTTTCGTCAACTTGTAGCTAAAACTGATTTATGTATTTTTTCATTATAATAACATCTTTATTTTGTATACAAGAATCCAAAGAATATGACTTTTCATAAAGCTGTCAAGTTTTTTTCCAACGGTCCGATATGTGATACTGAAAACAAGTGAATAATAGAATAAAAGTGATTTCGGAGAGTGAAAAGGTAATTTCATTTTTCAATTTACTATTTCAACCATTGGGGCTCGTCCAATTTACTGATTTTATTACCGTTCACAAAAGTGGACCCACTATCCTTTTTTTTTTCTGGCAAGAAGAAAAGAAAAAGACAGGTCAGATTTTTGTCTTTATACGAGAGCACCTCCGGTACGTTCCAGAACCCTCTCCAGTCTCCTCCATCATTATCTTTAATTAATAGTGGTAATACTATACAAATTACCAAACTACTATTCATTTACACAATTTTGTATACAAACAAAAAAATTAGACTAGTTTGATATGTTTATAAAGAAAATGAAACAAGATTTATGATTGTGGCAAATTTGTAAAATAAAGCAGCAAGGTGAAAGTTATTAGAATGAGTTTGTTACACAAATGAGTTTACATTACAACGATCACAATAATATATTGTGTTAACTATTCGTTGGACAACGATTTGCAATAATTAGGTCTTAACTATTCGTTATACAAACTTTTATGTATTGGTTATACTATTTATTTTCTGTCTTGTCGTAAAATAAAAAAATGGAAAAAATGTTGAAATTAATGTTTGGAGACGTTAGGCACATTTTAATAATGATTTCCTCTATAAATCACTCTGTATCCGCCACACACTCTCCTCCACACAAAAGAAGAAAGACGAAAAAAAGCTCACAACTTTCAACTTTATAGAGAGAGAGAGAGGAAAACCCTAGAAAGAAAGGGGAAGAGAGAACAATGGAAGGCAAAGAAGAAGATGTGAGAGTCGGAGCTAACAAGTTCCCGGAGAGGCAGCCGATCGGGACATCGGCACAGTCGGACAAGGACTACAAAGAGCCACCGCCTGCGCCACTGTTCGAGCCCGGAGAGCTGAGCTCGTGGTCCTTCTGGAGAGCCGGAATCGCCGAGTTCATAGCTACTTTCCTCTTCCTTTACATCACAGTACTGACTGTAATGGGAGTCAAGAGAGCACCAAACATGTGTGCCTCTGTTGGAATCCAAGGCATCGCTTGGGCTTTTGGTGGCATGATCTTCGCTCTTGTCTACTGTACTGCTGGAATTTCTGGTAACCTTTCTTGGATTCTCCTATTTTCTTTTTTTTATTCTACTATAGTTTACGGAAAATATCTGTTGTTGGGTTTTCTTCTAGATCTCCGGAATATGACTTTGTTTGTAAGGGTTTTCTTAAACAAAATCAAAGAAACTTCTGGATTTGTTGTTGTAATATCTGAAAATATCAGGCGGATCCTCTGTTTTGTTGGCTCTGGGTAAATGCTCTGTTTTTAGTCGTTCTAGTTATTTAGCAGGAAAATTTTGATGCTTGCGTTTCTTTTAGATCTCAAGAAACTGTTTTATTGTAGTTTTCTCCAAGTTTCTCAGATAAAGCTTGAATCTTTCATGTTGATGTTGTTCCGTCTCAGATAAAGCTTGAATCTTTCATGTTGATGTTGTTCCGTCTCAGATAAAGCTTGAATCTTTCATGTTGATGTTGTTCCTCCAGGATAATTAAAAAAGTAAATCTGTTTGTGTTTGATGTTTCAGGTGGACACATCAACCCTGCGGTAACATTCGGTCTGTTCTTGGCACGGAAGTTGTCTCTGACCAGAGCAGTTTACTACATCATCATGCAATGTCTCGGAGCCATCTGCGGCGCCGGAGTCGTCAAGGGTTTCCAGCCAACGCCGTACCAGACTCTCGGTGGCGGTGCCAACACCGTCGCTCACGGGTACACCAAGGGATCTGGTCTCGGTGCTGAAATCATCGGAACCTTCGTTCTCGTCTACACGGTCTTCTCCGCCACTGACGCCAAGAGAAGCGCCCGTGACTCTCACGTCCCGGTAAGGACCCCACCACCTTTTCCGGTTTGCTGATTCTTGAAGATGTTCGGTTTGTTTTTCAATTATTGGTTTAATTAAATGGAAAAACTGTAGATATTGGCGCCACTACCAATCGGGTTTGCAGTGTTCTTGGTACACCTGGCGACAATTCCGATAACCGGAACCGGAATCAACCCAGCTAGAAGCCTTGGAGCCGCCATTATCTACAACAAGGACCACTCCTGGGACGACCATGTGAGTTCAACAGCAGCTCTCTCATTAAAATAGAGAGAAAAAACATTGATTCTTCAGTATATAAGATTGAAAATTTTGAATTTGTATGTTGTGTTGCAGTGGATTTTCTGGGTTGGACCATTTATTGGAGCAGCTCTAGCAGCACTCTATCACCAGCTTGTCATCAGAGCCATTCCTTTCAAGAGCAAGAGCTGAACGATGAGCAAGATCCCACGGTCCGGATTTGTTCTTTAGCGTCGTGTATTATCGTTGCTTATTATATCTCTCTAGCTGTTTGTTTCGCAATGTATTTACTACTACTCTCCTTATATGTATTTGAGATTTTGTGGATTTTTAATGAGTCAGACCTAAGAACCCTAGTTTGTTCTAATGTTGTTCAATTGTTTCCTTGCTATTTGCTTGCATCACAAAGTGATTTTCGTTTGCCTGTTCGTTTTTCCTTCTTCCAACAGTAACACAGAATTACGATTTCCTTTTCTTCAGCAGTATGTATATATCATATTTGTTCTTAGTGTATGTTAAATGGTCTCCTATTACAGAATTTTGGCCCTTTTGTGAGCGATAAGGAGGCCCATTAAGCTCGGAGACTGTTTAATTAGTTAAGTGGCCGCGTTTTTTAACATAAATAAACTACCAGATTTAGTAAAAAATATATATATATATATAATTTTTCTTATACGAAATGGTTTTGTCTGAAAATAACAAATCGGAGATGTTTAGATTCACATAGCATGGCACATTGGCACGTGCCACGTGTGGGTGAACAAACTAGTCTCTACTACTACAAGAGAAATGCTTTTTTTTTTTTTTGGGTAAAAAGTAAAAACAGAGGGAAAACAACTTACCAAAGTGGATTACCTACCGGATTGCTCCAGCCTTTTACGTTAATCCGTATGAGTTAGATACACAAATTCGAACTGTATACAGGAGTTTTATTTGTTTTTACTAATGTTTTTCAGTGTATAAAATTGAACGAAACTGATCATTGTGATTTCGTTTTTTATATCTACTAAAACAGAATAAAGTTAGCAATGATGAAATACATTGACAATCATAAAAGCTTTTTAAAAAAAAAAAAACGAAATAAAGGATAATTAACTCTTTTTATATAAAAATCCATGAACACTTTAAAATACTGATCAAGTACACCATATTCTTGATTATACAGTCACAAAGTTTAATGTGAGTATTCGAATATATGTTTGTTTATGTATACGCATAAATGTGCGGCTCAAGACGGTGCAACCCCCAACGGTCGAATATTTTTTCACATTAATCAGATTGTGTGTATACTCACCTCTATATTTTGAATACTCAAGTGGATAAAGCTCATCTGCTCAATGAGAACAGCATTTACCTATAATTCTCAAAATGTGTGTATGTCAATTTTACACAATCGTATAATGTAACGAGTAATGGTGGATGCAACTGAATTAACAATACATAGCGAACGAAGTCATCTTCAAATAATAAATTCGAAATGCAAAAAACACACAAAAACAAAAAAAGACCTCACTGTTTGTGGGCGTGACATATAAAAATTACATGTGATAAATAAATATTAAATAAGCCTCTGTATTAAAGATTACGGCCTCCTATTTAGGTGAGCTGCTGAGCTACCTTATTCTATGTGATCACATTAATCACTCAGATTGAAGAAGAAGACCGCTTTTTTTTAATATTCTTCATACTGTATATACCAACATTTTAAGAGAATATTTTATCTATTTGATTCTCAATTTAAATATAACTTAAGATCTACTTAAATTATTCTATTATTTTTTGTACAACTCGTTAAGAATTTCTTTTAAGTACATTATATTTAAATTTCAAAATAGAAGAGAATGACTGAATGAGGGTTGTTTTTGTTAGAAAAAGATAGTTGAAGGGTATGAAATCTAACATTTGGTAATAAAAAAATGGATAAGCCCAATTTGGTAATTTCATTGATTACAATGGCATTTAAAACCCAACGTTCCCTCTCTCTCCTTCCGCATTCCTTTTGCTGCTCTCTGCTTTTACCATTGGAGAGTCTCGGGCGAGTACAAAGATGTCTCCGGCGAAGAATAGCCGGAAATTTCCTCCGATAACGGAATGCCAAGGCGGAGATTACGGTTCGATCGCCGCTGATCTGGACGGGACTCTGCTTCTGTCGAGGAGCTCGTTCCCTTACTTCATGCTTGTCGCAGTTGAAGCCGGAAGCCTTTTCCGAGGATTAATCCTCCTTCTCTCTTTACCGATGGTCATTGTTTCTTACCTATTCGTCTCGGAATCTCTGGGAATCCAGATCCTCATCTTCATCTCCTTCGCCGGTCTCAAAATCCGCGACATCGAACTCGTCTCTCGCGCCGTTCTTCCACGGTACGGACTCCTTTATCCAAGATCTCAAAATCTATATATACATGTGATTTACTATTATAGGATCTAATATGATTTTGCCGACGAAATTCGAAACTCTGTTTGTTAGGTTTTATGCGGCGGACGTGAGGAAAGACAGCTTCGAGCTGTTTGATAAGTGTAAGAGGAAAGTGGTAGTGACGGCGAATCCGACAGTGATGGTAGAACCGTTTGTGAAGGAATATCTCGGAGGAGATAAAGTTCTGGGAACGGAGATTCAAGTTAACCCCAGAACCCAAAGAGCCACCGGTTTTGTGAAGAAGCCTGGTGTTCTTGTTGGTGACCTCAAGAGATTAGCCATTTTGCAGGAGTTTGGCCACCAATCACCCGATCTCGGCATCGGTGATCGAACCTCCGATCACGATTTCATGTCTATTTGCAAGGTACCTTCACTTTTTTAATTCTATGATAATTTACACTTTGCTCTGTTTATCCACAAATAAACTTTAGTTTTAGATGAAGGCCAAGGATTATTTAAAAAGCAAAAAACAAAAATCATATTAGTGTAAGACAAGTATTGAAGGTAACTTGAGAAACTAAGCAAACATTTTTCGTCTTCTTTCGAAGCCTTTTGCTATCGATTTAAGGTTTTTAAAATGTAAACTGTAGAAATTAATCATATGCTTTATTCTCCAGTATGTTTCATTTTTTTAAGGAGGCTAAACAACTTGCTTTAACTTGTTGACTGGTTTATGTCAAAATGTCAATGCGTGAATCTTATTAAAAAAATGCAAAGTTTAGGGTAATCAGTAAGTAAGGTTCATAAATGTACCCAACCTATCACTTCACGGGCCCCCTTGATTGTGTTTTCTAACCCCAACCACTTAACTAGTACCACCCACATTTTGGGCACTCCATTTAATGAACCAATATTTCAAGTATTAATTATAGGGACAATTTTTTTGGAAAAGAAAAAAAAAATCTTAATTAATAATCTTGGTTAGACAATTCAGAGACATGCTATGTTAGAGTACTAGTGCATTCAATTATTCGTCTGAAATTATTAACGTTTGAATAGTCTCTCTAAATATTAATTTCTTTTTACTTCTTTTGGGTATTTCAACAGAAAGGTTACATGGTTCATGCGACCAATTCAGCCACAACGATTCCAAAAGAACGTCTTAAAAACCGCATAATCTTCCACGACGGACGTTTAGTCCAACGTCCGACGCCGTTAAACGCCATTATCACATACCTCTGGCTTCCTTTCGGCTTCATCCTCTCCATCATCCGTGTCTACTTCAACCTCCCTTTACCCGAAAGATTTGTCCGTTACACTTACGAGATGCTCGGAATTCACTTGACTATTCGTGGCCACCGTCCTCCGCCTCCTTCCCCCGGAACTCCCGGAAACCTCTACGTTCTCAACCACCGTACTGCACTTGACCCGATCATCGTTGCCATTGCTCTTGGACGCAAGATCTCATGCGTTACTTACAGTGTCTCTCGTCTCTCCTTAATGCTCTCTCCTATTCCTGCTGTCGCACTCACCCGTGACCGTGCCGCTGATGCTGCCCGTATGAGAAAACTTCTCGAGAAAGGTAACACATCGATCTTCCGATGATAATGTTACATATTAATCTGGAATTGAGATTTTTCTCTATGCATGCAATACTCAAGCAGCTTTTGCTTTGCTTCAAACTTTTGGGTGTATAACAGGCGACTTGGTGATATGTCCGGAAGGGACGACGTGCAGAGAAGAGTATCTACTGAGGTTCAGTGCATTGTTCGCAGAGCTAAGCGACAGAATCGTGCCTGTGGCGATGAACTGTAAACAAGGAATGTTCAACGGGACGACGGTGAGGGGAGTTAAATTCTGGGACCCTTACTTCTTCTTCATGAACCCTAGACCGAGCTACGAAGCAACTTTCTTGGACCGGTTGCCCGAAGAAATGACCGTGAATGGCGGTGGTAAGACTCCTTTCGAAGTGGCTAATTACGTGCAGAAAGTCATCGGCGACGTGTTGGGCTTCGAATGCACCGAACTTACTCGCAAGGATAAGTATCTCTTGCTCGGAGGTAACGACGGGAAGGTGGAGTCTATCAACAAGAAGTGAACAAATTAAACCAAGAAGAAGACTTCTTTCTTGTTAATTACCCTTGACTTGGGAGTGAAGTTAGGTCATATACGTGTTGGAGCTTTGTCATCATTATGGATTGGTGGAGAAGGGAAAGGTTTTGTTTATATGAAGATGAATTGGCTATTATTATATGTCTACATTTTGTTGTTTTAAACGTAGAACGCTTCTTTGCCTAAATTATTTTGTGATGCCATTTGTAAAACGGATTGCCACTTAATGTAAGAAGCATGAGTTATGCGAAACATCAACTTAATTCCATGACGAGATATCTTGGGCCAGATTTGCATATTGGATTTTGAGGCCCAATTAAAAACCCAGTTGCTACGTGTCGAGAATAAGTTCCTCGACTACCTAACCTTCACTTTTCTGTCAGCCTCAAAGGTGAGGTCATCTTCGGCGGTAACGGCTCAGATATTTTCCACCGAAAATTCCAGCAATACCCTTCTTTCTACCTGCTAATTTACCAATGGGCCTCGGGTATGCCTCACAGCAGGATGGGGATACATTTGTAAATCGGAGTGAAACGGAGGTTCCAACGAGTTGAAGATGATGTGCCACGTGTCACCTTCTCGACCCCCCCTTTCCTCTTCTCCCACATATGGCCACTAGGGGGAGAGGGATTTTCCCGCTTCGGTTAATAAGGCTGCAGAAGAGTGAAGCCTCTCTCTGTTTTATCCGTAGATTCTTCCGAAACCTCGTCTTCGTTTACTCCGCTCCTCTTCCATGGAAGAAGCTTGAAAAAATCATCCTCACCTTCCTCCTGCTTTTTATTTTATTTTAATTTCACCTCTCCTTCTGAAAAGCAAGCAGCAGGATGGCTATCGGTGGCTTGATTTCGAACCGGAACTTCGGTTCCTTCATCGGCTCAGGTATCTCCCTTCATATTTAGCTTCAGATTGCATTCGCGTATGATGTTAGTGGATATAGGCTTTATATGTGTAGGTAGCAATTTCTCCAGTTAAACGACATCAGGACTGGGTTTTTGTATTTTGATTACTTACTCGCGTGTCGTGTGTATTCCTCTTCACATTTATCCCCAAATTGTGATTTCGTCAACTGTTTTGCAACATCCACATTGAATCATATCCTCAAGTGTTTTTTTTGAAATCTTAAATTTTCTAATGTTGTCATACTTTGTAGGCAATGGCTTTCAGAACGAAAGAGGTACTTTGTACCAGAGACTAGGAATAAATGGTACAAAATCAAATGGTATTGTCCTGTCCCACCTTTGATGCCTCTTTCAGCTTTATTAACAAATACTATATGATGCTAAATCATTTTCTTGTTTCTAGCATTGTGCCGTAGTCATAAGTCACGGAAGATTTCACCTCTGCAAGCTGGTTTACAGCATGAACTGGGACACAGGAGAGGTTTTCAGTGTTTCCTTCCACCAACAATGGACAGTAGATTTAGGTTTAGGAACAATATCAAGGTAAACAGATTTCGTGCTCACTACAAATCAGAGGAGTCAGATATTACCGAAGGAGTTGTGGACTCACTGCCATCAGCGGATGGGTCAGCTGAAGCTGTTTTAGTCGAAGGCAATCTACAGAACGCATCCCCATGGTGGCAGCAGTTTCCTAGACGCTGGGTGATCGTGCTGCTTTGCTTTGCTTCATTTCTTCTATGCAACATGGACCGTGTAAGTAGTACCTTACGTTGCTTATTTTGTGCAAATTTTGAATGATATTTGTATACTCTGGTTTACTTGATGAGTTGCTTGTGACAGGTGAACATGAGCATTGCGATTCTTCCCATGTCACAAGAATATAGCTGGAACAGTGCAACAGTTGGCTTAATTCAGTCCTCTTTCTTCTGGGGATATCTACTTACTCAGGTCTTTCTTGTTCAAACACTCTCTTGTAGGATGCTTTGTTTGTGATACAACTCAAGAGCCAGCTTTTACCCTGAACCGTGCTCATCTTCTCTTGACCTTAGATTCTGGGAGGTATATGGGCAGATAAGTTTGGCGGCAAGGTGGTTTTAGGTTTTGGTGTTGTCTGGTGGTCCATTGCCACCATTATGACTCCTATTGCTGCGAAGCTTGGTCTCCCCTTTTTGCTTGTCGTGCGGGCGTTCATGGGCATTGGCGAGGTTGGCCTCTTCTGTACTCTGTTTTGCTCTTCCTATATTTGTTGTACAACTTCTCACCGCTAGGTTCTGTCTACCTCTGCTCCAGGGTGTTGCTATGCCTGCTATGAACAACATGCTTTCTAAATGGATCCCTGTCTCAGAGAGAAGCAGATCGCTTGCACTAGTCTACAGTGGCATGTATCTCGGTTCTGTCACAGGATTGGCATTCTCTCCTATGCTGATCCACAAGTTCGGATGGCCATCTGTTTTCTACTCCTTTGGCTCCCTTGGAAGTATATGGTTTTTGCTATGGCTAAAATATGTATGGGCTCTTCTCCATGACATGAGCCAATATTCTGATATCTACAAAACCTCCAAGACAATGAATTTTCTAAACACTTTGTTTTTGTTTCTTGCTCTCAGGCATATAGCTCTCCCAAGGATGACCCGGAGCTAAGTGAAGAAGAAAAGAAGGTCATACTCGGAGGAAGCAAACCACGGGAACCTGTGACAGTCATTCCATGGAAGCTGATACTGTCTAAACCCCCTGTATGGGCTCTCATAATTTCCCACTTCTGCCATAACTGGGGAACATTCATACTATTGACATGGATGCCCACATATTACAATCAGGCATGGAGTTCAGCTTCACTTTACTTCCCTATGGTTGAATATTCTTACAGACAAGTGAAAAGACTCCTGTCTATCGTGTGTCTTTGATCTCATTGCAGGTCTTGAAGTTCAACCTCACTGAATCTGGGCTCCTATGCGTGTTACCATGGTTTACGATGGCTGTATTCGCTAATATTGGAGGTTGGATTGCTGATACTCTCGTGAGCAGAGGTCTTTCGATTACGGCCGTTCGTAAGGCAAGAAATACAATTTTTCTATGTGTCTCATCATTACATGTCTCCTGACCATTTCTTTATACCCAATAAGGCCAAACTTGCTATAACTATTCCAGTTTAAGGAATGAGAAACAAACAAACCTTTACAAAAAATAGTCTATTGTGATGGGTCAATTATAAGGATATTTTCGGCTGATTAAAATCTTCAAATGTGGCAGATAATGCAATCGATTGGTTTTCTGGGTCCTGCCTTCTTCCTGACTCAGCTGAGCCGTGTCAAAACTCCAGCAATGGCGGTTCTCTGCATGGCATGCAGTCAGGTATGGCATCACTATGATTCAAAAGGATTCAGAATCATGCACTCCATGTATAGATATGATTGTAGATATAATTATACTTTTGAAAACTTGATGCCGTTTTTGGAGCTTGCACAGCCAGCCGACACAAGATTATTCTTCTAAGAGTACAACTATAATTGAACATAACATAAATGCAATCTCTGACACTTGTCTCACTTAGAACCATTCAAAAAAGTTTATGTCCAGCGCTGACATAAAGACTCATGTTGTCTCCAATAGGGCTCTGACGCATTCTCGCAGTCGGGTCTCTACTCTAATCATCAAGACATTGGCCCACGCTACGCTGTGAGATCACATCAAGTTTCTTTCTCCTTTAATGCATTTGTCACCAAACCAAACCAAACAGCTTTAGAATTGAAAATGATTGGTAGCAATAACTATGTTTGACGTGGATCGCAGGGTGTACTACTTGGACTTTCAAACACAGCAGGAGTCCTCGCTGGTGTCTTTGGCACTGCAGCTACTGGCTACATCCTCCAACGAGGTATTCACAGAAACCACTTTTAATTATGCCTCTTTATATTCCAGTCTTAATTTCTGCTTCATCTTTTTTGACCTCAATCTATAGGCTCATGGGACGATGTGTTCAAAGTAGCTGTTGCGCTGTATTTAATTGGAACTCTGGTCTGGAACCTGTTCGCTACCGGAGAGAAGGTTCTCGACTAGCCTCAGATCGCTCTGGCGAACAAAAATGGTGCAGTGAAAAGTATTCTATTTATGAAACTTCAAAATTACTGCAGTGAAATGGTGCTAGGAAAAAAGCTTTATATCTTTTTTGCTCTGCTTCTTAAAATTTGATCAAAAATGCGAAATAGTTCTTAAGGTAACAAGTTAAAGAAATGTTTTTTTTTTTTTTTTTTATTCTATCTTGGGACTCTTTTAAAGCTTACAATTTGATGGGGATAACAGTCAAAATGTAAAGCTTACAATAGAAAAACAACCAAACTTTTACCTTTTAGAGTATTTGCTTACAAATCATATTATAGTATCACACAGCCAAACCAATTTTTTTTCTTTTACCCACAATCACAAAACCCAAACGAAAATGTATTGTATTATAAAAACATAGTATTAATTAACCGGAAAAGCTCTGACGCCGACGCCGACGACGTCTACACCGCAACCGCCACGGCCGCATTAAAGGAGACGCCTTCACCGATTACGCCGTTGCATTTTCCGTTAAGAGTAGCGACGACGTCGTTTCTCTCCTTCGTTGTGAGACTCTTCATGATCCCTTCCAAATCCCTCTTGTGCACGTTAACAACAAGTCCATTCTTCATGAACAAAGTCAGCGACATCTTCTGCTCCACCTTGTGTCCCGGCGCCACCGTCAGTCTGTGCCGGAGTAAAACCGCCGCCGCTATCGTTTTCATCTGGAGATACGCTAGATCTTTCCCCAGACATATCCTTGGTCCGGCGTTGAAAGCCACGAATCGGTACTGATCGTGGTTCACGAATTTCCCATCGTCCGGCGAGATCCACCTCTCCGGCTTGAATTCCAAGCAATCTTCTCCCCACGTCGTCTTCATCCTCCCCGCCGCATAGATTGAATAGGTCACCGACGATCCCGCCGGCACGAAGGTTCCGTCCGGAAGAATATCGTCGTTCACGACGTGCTTCGAGTCCTCCGGCACCGATGGGTAAAGCCTGAGCGTCTCGGAGAGCGCCGCCTTCAGGTAAACCAACCGATCGACCTCATCGAATCCTAACGGCTCCTCCGTCCACGACGAGACGTCTGTTCCACGTGTCTCCATCAGAACGGAGCATATCTCGCGGACGATCTTATCCTCGACCGTTGGATGCGTCGTGACCAGCCAGAAAAACCAGCTCAGCGCTACTGATGACGTGTCACGTCCAGCTAGTATGAAATTAAGCGCCACGTGTCGCAGGAACTTCTCGCTGTATGACTGATCTTTCTTCCTCATAAAACGGGAGAGGAGATCGTCGTGTCCCTGGACCCCACTTTCTTGCTGACTCAGCAGCTCTTGCTTACGTGTATTGATGACAGCATCCAGATACCCATCGATCTCTCCCAAGCTCCGGCTCAAGCTGACTTCTAAGCCGAGCCCAAGCCATTTCTTGAGCCTCCACAGAAACTCCGGTAGAATGAACCGCTGGAGAGATGCTTCGGTGGCTCTGTCGAAAGCCGACGCAAATCCGTTCTCGGGAAGTCCCGGCGAACAGGTTCGAGTGTCCTTACCGAACGCTAAACCGCAAATGTTGTCGAATGTGAGCCGTAGTACTAAGTCTTGTAGATCGACCGGCTCGCCTTTGGCCTGAGCCGTTTCAAGAATCGGACAGAACCGGAGCTTAATTCCCCGGTTTACCCACCGACCCATGGCTTGCCTCAACGTCCTGCGTTACAAAGTAATTAAAAGCCAAATCCTTTAGCCAACAATTCACAATACCGAACCAAATCAAACCGCATGATTGAATTATGTCACAATTGAATTGAGAAAACTAGAGCCATCTACTTCAATTGTTGTGAGTAATTAAATATAGCTACAGATTACTTGTTATTGTTTGAGCATGCATGAATTATGCACAATAATCAAGACTGAACCGGTCCGGTTAAGCAAGCATCTACCTGGTGGTGAATTCAAGAGCGGCGGTTTTACGCTGGAAGAGCCAGGTGTCACCGTCGGAGTTGAAGATGCCTTGGCCGAGGAAATCATGGAAAACGGCTTGCCACGTAGGACCTTTAGGGTAGTTATCGAAGCGGGTCTTGAGCATGTGCTCAATGTTCTTGGGGTCACACGTGACCGTCACGAGACCTTGCTTCTTCGCCAAGAAAGGCACGGCGCAGATACATGTCTGATACGTGCCGCCACACGCACGGAGATTCTCAGTGATCCAGTCGTGCATACGGTCACGCTGCTCGATCAGACCCGGAAGACTGCCCAATACCGGCCAGACACGTGGACCCTTTAGCCACCGTGAGATCCGCTTAAACCATAGCCAGTAGGCTGCAACGATCGCTACAAGCAGCATCGTATTGGATACATCCATCTCTCTGAGGTTAATCAAAAGCTCAAATCAATATTTCGCTCTATAAAATGGTACGCAATGGGAGATTGTGGTTGAATGGAATGGTTATTTGGTTTTCCTGGAAAGTTTAAGAATTTCGGATGGTGTATTTCCAAAACTGGTGTTTGAGAGATAAGTCAAGGTAGAGTACAAAGGGATATGGTTTTCTTGTTGGAAAATTTATAGAGAGAGAAGATGGCATTAAGAAGAGAAAATAAGTGGAGGAAAAAAAAAACTGTAACTGCTAGCCATCAGAAGCAGCAACCCTCATTAATGGAGACTGTTGAGAGAGTGTATACTAATTGAATGGGATTGAAAATTTAGCTAAAGTCTCTCTTTCTTTGAATAAAACTCGTTTTGGTTAATGGTTTTGGAGGTAAACTAAAGCCTGTTCAGATTTTGAAGTCAAGAAATTAGTAATTGTGTGAGAGAGTATATAGGAGAGGGGGCAAGGGGAAGAAGACTAGTCAGTCTCAATTAATGTTGAAACCATTATATGACTTAATTATTTATATATACATACATTATATCTGTGTCTTTGCGTATAAGCATACAATATATACTTATATATTGTATGTGTCTCTGTGTGCTAGATTAAATGAGATTAGTTGAGAACCTAAGGCACAGAAAAAGATGGATGAGAGAATAAGAAGTAGTAGAAAGAACAAGAATCTTTTTATTTTATTTTATTAATTCACATTTAATAAGTGTAAGAAGAGCTCAACACAACACATGTATGGGTAGGTAAATGACATTAGGGTTTGCATGATATAATTAATGTAGTATATGGTTACATCGTGTACTACTAAACACACGTTTAGGTCTGACTTTATCAGTGATCGTAAACCAAAAACCAGTGATCACACTTTGATGAAAACTGAGAATTTGTTTACCCCTTAATTAATTTGATTTAGTTTAGGTTATAAGTTTATAACTGAGAAAAGGAGACGTGGATTTTAATCTTCTCATTTTGGTTCATCAGCTTCTTTTATTTTCGGGGATTTGGTAAGCTACTCGTGACTCTTTTTATCTAATTTGCTTCTTTTTCTTTTATTGCATTGCATGGTAAAGAAAATTCAAAGAGTGAATTGATTAACCCCACAAGAAAGAAATACATTTTTCTAGTGTATTTGTTTAGAAGATCCTTTTTGGCCAGCCCGATTACATTTTTTGCATTTATCTATAAGTTTTTTTCTAACACCTCAACGAAGTTGTTGAAATAGGAATATCAACAAGAACGGCAGAAGATAAAAGAAGATAAAATATGTGCATGCACAACTCTCAAGTAAAGATTAGATGTCATGGCATTCATGAGATATGAAAGTCAAAGGGAGCTGACTTGTGTACTCTGCAAATCATAAATACATATAATAATGTGTGCGACACATATGGTTTTCACATATAGTACTACTGTATATACATATTAGGCAAATAGGCAACCACAAATCATCAAATATAACTCTGTAAAGGGGCTTGCTGAATGCGAAAACCTTGTGATAGAGTTCCCTTTTCACCTATTTATTTATTATTTATATTATGCACGTATCACCTAGTTTTATATTGTAAATTGTGAAATTTAGTTTTGGCTATTTTATACGCACATTTCATTAAACTTTAAGGTTAGCTCTCGTGTGTATTGTACCTAGAGACTTGGATTCTTCATTCTTAGAAGAGTTTTGTTTTATTTTGACTGAGGCTTCATGAACTGTATATTGCGAGAAACTACATTTGATCTTATTCATTTTTCTCAAAGTTAAAATTTGCGAAAAAAGGAACATATGGTGGGTAAGTGTAACAAAATGGAACACAACTGACAACTGTAGATGTCAGATGACGAGTAGATGGCCTGCCAACCTCAATATGCAATGTGCATTTATGACTCAGCGTTGACTCTCTCTCTCTCTCTTTTTTTTAATTTCCTCAACTCAAATGAGACAACTATGCCAATAATTCTTTTCTACGAGTGTAAATTATACCACAAAAAGCATGATTATGCATTTATTTTTCGGTGCTAATTGCCTCCCAACCTGATTTTTGCATGAAGCATTTACTATCGTAGTTGACTAATTGTGTATCACTTTTATAATTTGTCTGAAAATTCCTGGAAAATAATGGTCCGATCAGTGTTTGACAATGTTATTTTCCGGTTGCAAATAATGAATGTCATTCTAATTTGATGTTAATTCTTGAAAGATACACCCGTATACATCTTTGGCTAAAATTGAGGTCTGAACTGTGATGTTTTATTACCAATTTTATGATGTTGTATCTTTATAAATAGAAAAAAAAGAATGTATATTTATCAGATGGAATTGGCTGACTCTACATTTTTGTTGGTCGTCGTTGATGCAATTGATTTATGTATTTGTAAATAAACAAAATAAAACCATTTATGTATTTGATGCCAAACGTAGAAACATGGAAAGACATAAAAAAATGTGGTTTTTTAGTTGTTTTCACAATTCTCTAACCAAAGGTAAATGAATTTTAGGTTGACGCGTGAACCAACCAATCTACCAGTTCGTAAGTTTCAATTAATCTCTGTATGTTTTTAAAGTATTGCCACAAGAACCAGCTGCTACCTAGATCTCCGAGACGTCCAAAACATTTGTGATGTCGTAAAGAACTACTGCTGATGAAATCAATAAGCACTGAAATCAAATCCTTAAATAAAAACTGAAAATGCAAAGCCAATATGTACACACACACACACATACCCCAAACCCACAAACTACGACCGAAACATTCAAACACCAGACTTTACCATCATCTTATGTTTTCTTGACACAAAAGGTCACATACTACAATACCCTTACTGTTTGTTTTTTTGTTTATCGTCATCATCAAAGCAAATCACCTTTCATTTGTCGTCTTTGGTTTTGTTAACTGTCGTTTTGGGAACTCATCCGGATGAATGAGTCCCGTTGCTGTCCCCCGACAAATGCTTGTTTTAGTCGAGAGATCGGTCCCATCAATCTTCCAGCTTTCTGCAACCAACAAATTGTGTTCAAAACAATGGCATAATAAGAGGTGTCATCAAGTCCTAGATTGCTAACGCCAAGATGCATAACTGATTAGATTCAATCGTATATGTGTTAATCAAGAGAGATTCAACCCATATACCTCGTTTCCAATGCTTGATTCCCACTTAAGCTGCAGAATCTGCCACCTCTCTTGCTGCCATCTTTGGCCAAGGATCACAATTCCCATTACAGCCGCGGCTATGAAAACCGACCACACTGTGTTTGTTTCTCTCGCTTGTGAGATCAAAGTCGCGGCGCTTCTTTTCCACCAGGCCTCGCAAGGTGGGGCGTTCGCTGCTTCATGCTTCTCGTCTTTAGTAGGAGGTGAAACATCTGGAACCACACCTGGAGTGACGGGCTCAGTCGGTTCGTGAACAGGTTCCTTCTGTTCGTAGACATGTGATCCTCCGATAGCTCTCTCATCTTCCAGAGAGCTCATCGCCGTATTGTAGATGTTCTCTTCTCTTTTGCCTTTCTCCTCGAAACCCTCAAGTCCAAGTCCTGCATACTCATCTGATGATAAATGCAACCCTTTCAGAGTCAGATCTCCATCTTCCTTCCCGCCAGACCCCGTTTCTTGTTCCATAGAGAATCCAGAATCCATCTTCTTGCTTGCCTTATCATCGGTGAGCTCTATGTTCTCGTGCTCGCTTGGTGGGAAAACAAAGTGGCGAGACATGTACAGAGGATGAGATGTTTCAGCTTCGTAACGAGAAACTTCCTTGTGATCATCATCATCTTTCGATTCCACTTGTCTCGGGCCAGGAGCAGCAGCATAAGCTGAGGCTGTAAGCGAAACAACTTCCCAATCGCTTCCACGTGTAGTGTTCTCACCTGATGCTTCCTCTTTGTCAGCCATTGCCGTTTGTGATACCAACTACTAAAGCAGAGTAGCCAAACAATGAAGTAAAGTCAGAAAGTCACACAAATACGTGATTGGATGATGATGATGCTATCAACACGAAAGAGCAATGCTTAATTATTTTCAACATACAAGCAAATACTCCGAAATAAGCTATAAGCAAAGCAACAATGATTTCTCAAATTCCTGACATAAGTTACGATTATATAGAACAGAGTAGGTAGAAAGTTCTTCGTCCGGTTTGATTCTGGAATTTAGAAACCATATCATACAAAAACCATGGAAAATAAGATCGACGGGTGGGTTTGCAAATAGAAAGCCGTCAAATCAAGCAACATATTCCAGTAAATCAATAGAAACAGGATTGAATTACACACAGATGGATCGAAACAGTACGGTTACTCTGAAGAAGAAAACAGATTTAGCAGGAGAAAATCGAGGAAGATGAAAGAATCGGTTATACTCACCGCAGTCAAAAAATATCAAATCAAGGGATGAGATCAGAAACGATAAGATCAATAATGGAGGAGCGAAGACAAAGTACGTGCCGCCGACGAAGTCGAAGACGAAGATGATATGATGGCGATGAGACGATTGGAACCAAAATTTGCCTCGATTACGCTGCAAACTAAAATGATTTTTTTCTCACTTTTATTTCTTTTTTTTTAATATATAAAACTGATAAAGATTTGTTCTGGGAAGCAAGACGGAACCGGATACTGGGGAGAGCGGTTGCATTTACACTTTTCACCGGCCATAGTAGGTAGTAATAATATATGATTGGATAGGATTATGAGGGAAAGAAAAAATAATGGACTACTGCTGATTGACTGACTGATTTGATTGCTGAGTTAGTAAATTGAAATAATTTGAAAAGTTACAAATGTATGAGAAATTAAATTTGATATATACAGTATGAGGTAACAAGGTTGTTGTTGTATATACAATTAAAATTACATAGGTATATACAGCCAAAGGTTGAAATGTATATATAATTTCTTTTAGCAAGAATTTTTAAGTTACTACTACTTTTCTAATTTCTCATATCCAGCTCCCCATTGTTTCATTCTCTCCGAAGCTTGTTCGACCTTAATTTTTTTTGGAGAAGAAAAAGTAAGATTAGATAAATGAACATTCAAATCAAAAGTTTTTTATTTTATTTTAGATGTGTGACAAAAAAAAAACTCTGAAATGATGATGTACCTCTTTGTTCCAATTGGTTATGTAAATCATGTACAAAAGAATCAAAGTCTGAAGACTAGTCCCACATATCATACCAATCCAAATCCCCTGAAATATCATCCAACCATAGAAAGTGGTTTTCATTAAACCCGAATCAAACCAAATAAAATAAACCGGTTAGTAGTAAATTGTAAATGCTTTTTACCTGTACGCCAAGACTTGTTTTGTAACCAAGGAAAAAACCTAGAGGTAAACCAATAACGTAGTAACAAAACAAGTTTATGTAAGCCACTGGTGCTTGCCATCCTCCTCCTACTGCAACACCTGCTCAATTCCACAACAATCTTCAATTCATTACCACCAAAACTCTTTCAAAGAATCATCAAATCCCGGTTTATTATATTTAAAAGCTCCAACATAAAGTTTTGGTTTACCAGATATAACCGGTTGTAAGCTGTTGAGAATCATCGTTATACCGAGAAGGTAAGCAAGAGCAGATACCGCCTTTCTCATCTCTTCGCTATCCGTAAAAACCACTGCAAAGTCATCTTTTGTTATGAGAATGATAATTGCACACACTACTCCGATGATGAGCGACTCCATCACCGTTACGATCACCGAGTATTTCGCAGCTCGTGGATGTCCCGATCCTAGCTCATTCGACACCCTTACACTGAACAATCATCGCGTAAGCCTATATGTCCTTCTCTCACAAAACCACATAATCTGCTTTTGTTTTTACCTTATAGCTGCATTGATTCCTATGAACAACATTCCTTCCCATCCGTTAATGTTCATACTGAGATACGAGAGAAATGTTTTCAGAAATCAGAATACGAAATGTTAAAACCTTCAAAGATTGTGAAGGACTAACCAGATTGAGAGAGATCCCACGGCTATGACAGGGTCTTCAAGATGTCCGGTTAAGACGATGATTGTCATGAAATACCAAATCTCAAGACAAAGCATAACCGCAGACGCGAACGACAGTTTCAAAAACGGCCAGACGTCTTTGAACGCTAACCAAGACAGCCCTTGCCAGCCGTCTTTACACCACCCGACAACGTAAACAACCTGCGCGATCGCGATTCCCCAGGCCGAGACATCAAACGCAGCCGCTGCGCCGTTTAGTCCCCACTTGAAAACGTTTATAAAGAGGTAGAGGATGAATATGTGAAGCGTCAAAGCCACGAAACCTATCCAGGCCATGATCCCGACTTTGCTCTGTGATTGTAGAAACTTCTGAGTCGGGAAATTGATCGCGAGGGCGAACATTTGAGGGATGATTTGAGCTGTGAATTTGCCGGAGATTTCTGCGATTTCGGGTTCTTGGCCGAGGAGAATGAGAAGAGGAGTTGCATAGATGTAGAGTGGAAGCAAGCAGAAGGAAGTTCCGACGAGGATGAGCCAAGAACGCTGCATATAAACGCCCAACATATCTGTCTGTCCCGCTCCAAACGCTTGTCCACATAGCGTTTCCAACGCACTTGCCATTCCTAGCTGCAGTTTTCTTGGGAAGTTAGATAAAAGGCAAGAAACAGAGGAGGGAAAAAGCAGAGGAGATAGTAAATGAATTTACCAAGAAACCGAAGGAGAAGTTGGAGACGACGGAGAGAGAGATGGCGACTGCGGAGAGCTCGAGGTCGCCGATATGGCCGACGAAGATGCTTGTGAAGGAATTAACTCCATAATTGCAAAGAATGTTGAAAGCTATTGGTGCAGCGATTTCCCAGAGCTTGGAAGATTCCACCATACAGACGTATTTAGCATCTTTGAAGCTTTGGATCGGAGGAAAATCGTCGTCTTGGGTGGATTCTCCGAGCAAAGCTGAGGGCGCGTGGTGAAGCTTGGTCGTCTCATGCTCTGTTTCGAAGACGGAGACTCTGACGAGGAGAGGAGAAGATGGACCACTATCGATGGCGTCATCAGCTGCTACGCTGATGGTATTTGGTGGGTTTCCGGCAGAGGATGAGGATCTCCTCTCCTCCGTAACCGGGATTTCCATTTTCTCCGGTTGTGTCAGTCTTTAATTTTTTTTATGTTTTTTTTTTTTCTTGGTGGGGAAGGTTAGACACGAGAAATGAAATCAAAAGATGACAAACAAAATAATTGAAATGGGTTTTGAGATCTACTCTTTTTTGTTGTTGTTGTTTCTTCTTCTAATTTACTTTCTGGTTTGCCTATGATTTAGAAGAAGAAGAGCGATTCTCGCATTCCATTTTTTTTATTTTTAAAAAAGGTATAGAGACTTGAGAGCATTGTGACCGTTAATGTGTTTTCACGTAATAGATTCTCATCGAATATAGATTCTATAATATATTTTCAGATACACTATGCCATTAGAAGAATATCAACGTGAAAAAAAAATTAAGATTTCAAGGTCCCTTACAGGATATTGACATAATCATGGCTTTTACAATTAACTCTCGATTAAGTCAAGCAGTAGCTGTTAATGATGGGGCCATTTAAATTACTGTAAAACTTTACATTTGAGTATTTGACAGTAAACAGAGAGACTGGAGCCTCATGGGAGTCATTATAACTCAAAATCCAATTAGTAGTAATGACCAATGAGTGAATTAAATCTCATCCCATATTTTGCTTATTAATAGGGAAATGACGAATTAAGGCTTCATTCTCAGGTAACCAACAAATACAATAAAAGCTAATTAAACCCTCTTAGAGAGCCAAAAAAAAAAAAAACTAAACATTTAAGACTGGTAGTGGTAGATCAGGGAGATGAAGGTGGTCTAGCAAAAGACGAGCGAGAGCCGGGGCTAGACAATCCGGTAACGAGATCCGAACAACCACGGCCTTCACTACAGCTCGTGCCGCTCAAACCATTGTCCACTCCTTGGTATGAGTCGCCGGAGACGAGAGCTTGTATCAGTTTAGGCGGTGGAGGAACCGTCACCTCCACAACTCCTTCAAGCATCTTCACCACCGTTCCCATTGCCGGCCTTATCTCTTCATTGTCTTGTATGCACCATATCGCCACCGTTGCCATCCTCGTCGCCTCTTCAACGTTGTATTCTCCGTTGAGTCTAGAGTCGACCACCAAGTCCACGTTTCCTTGTATGATTTCCCGCGCTGCCCACGGCGGAAAGAACCTGGCATAATTTGACATTCTCAATGCTTTTTTTCCAGCACAGTTGTTGATTCGAGGAAGTAAAAAGACATTGTTTTATATATCTTACCATTTCTCAGGTTCTTTGTCCTCTTTCTCTGCCGGTGTATCGTTATCCACAATGACATTTCTTCGACCACCGATAAGCTCGAGCAATGTCATTCCGAAGCTATACACATCCGCTTTAGTGGTGATGGGTAAACCCGATATCCACTCGGGAGCTACGTAGCCCCACGTCCCTCTCATAGTGGCAAGAACCCGGCTGAAGTCACGGCCAACGAGCTTGGCCAGTCCGAAATCAGATACTTTGGCGTTGTAATCACCGTCCAACAGAATGTTCTCCGGTTTGATATCGCAGTGAATAATGCAGTCCCTGCACCCTTCGTGCAAATACGCGATCCCTTTTGCGGTTCCTAATGCGATCCTGAAACGCGATTCCCAGCTTAGCAGTTTGGGACACGTTCTTGTCAAGTAGGAGCTCAACGATCCCTTGGGCATGTAGTCGTAGACGAGAAGCCTGTGAAGACTCTCTGAACAGAAACCTCGAAGCCTAACGAGATTCACGTGTTGAATGTTCCCAATGGTGCACACCTCTGCCCTGAACTCTCCCTCGCCGCTTCCGGGTCTTTCTAAGCGCTTCACTGCCACCAAGGTCGAAGAGTCCAGTAATGTCCCTTTGAAGACAGCACCGAAACCGCCGTGTCCGAGCTTCTCCGAGAACCCATTGGTAGCTTTCTGAAGCTCCTTGAAAGAGAAGACCTTTAGATTCAACACAGCGAACCCATCTTCGTCTTCTTTCCTTGTTTTCTTCCTCTTGCGATTCCTCCTCAACAGAACCAATGGCACAAACACGGCAAAGCCTAGAACTGAGATTGACCCAACAACGCTGCACAATATAATTATGGACTTGGAAATGTTTCCCTTTGAGTTCCTGTTTCTCGGACCTCTGATGAACAGAATATCGTTTGTGGTTCCGGTCCAGGAGCTCGAGTTCTTCAAATTTATCGGCGATTCGAGTAAAATCTTGCAGAGATTCGACTTCTCGTTGTGATAAAACCCCACACAAGAACAGTTTCCCAAGCAGATTTTCACGCAGGACCTCTTGCTTACCTGGAGCCTCGACATCTCCACATCGCCGTCGTACCGCAGATCTCCCACCGCCTCAAACGTATCTCTCCTGTCGCAGGAGTCGCCAGATTCACGGTGGCATCCGTCGGTGTAATCCTCAGATCTCCACGCGCCGGCGTTCGCAGGTCGGAAACCGCGGATACAGGCACACCGCTTCAGTAGCTTTGGCTCGCTGCTGCAAAACCCTAATTGGCCGCAGAGACTTTGAACGCGGCACGGATCATCCGGCTGAAACCAGAAATTGTTCCAGTGCTGCGACTGCGGGTCCCACGTGTACTGCTTCAGCTGGCCGTCGTAGTCAATCACGAACCGCGTCAGGCGCGGCTCGCGCACCGCGTTCGACGGTACGACGATGTACCAAAACGACGCCGTGGGAGTATACGGGTTAAGGAAGTGGAAATTGTAGATGTACGGAACCGTCATCTCCGGAACGCCGACGAAGGCTGCTCCGGTCCAGTTTCCGGTGGACCAGTACGGTGTCGTTCCGTTGTAAACAAGCTGGAACTCGTTGAAGCTTGGGCTCAGGGTCAGGGAGTAAAACCCCGGCGACGGGTCGAATAGCGTCCGCCACGAGGTCATAACCGTTTGACCGGTGACATTCATCCCCGGGAGCCACGTGTCAGTCGGATGGTCAAAGCTCTGCCAAACCGGAGAACCGTCGACGCCGATCACAATCAGATTCCCGGAATCCGACAACCGGAAATCGGTTCCCGGGACTTTGTTCTCCGTCTGCCAAACGACGCCGTCGTGGGAGTTCCTGACGACTAGGTTTCCGGTGGAGGTGAGCTCGAGTGTGGAGGAGTCTGAATCGGAAACGGGTCGGTTTCGATTCGCGACCCAGACGTAAGTAGGGGAGGGCATAGAAGCGTACCAGATTCCCAAGAACCAATCGGAGGAAGAAGAGGAAGTAAACGATTCGCCATTGGTGGGGCTGAAGAAACCAAGCTGGAAAATACCTTTGAGACTCAGGATCGTCTGGTTTCCTTTGATGATGAGTTTGATTCCCTTGGTTTCAGAGGGGAAAAGAAGGAAGAGGAGGAGGAGGAGAAGAAGAGGAGGAAGGTATGTACATGGCATTTGGATTTGGGTCTTCTTCTTTTTCCTTCTCGGAGGTTAATGGATGTGTTTGGTTGGCAGAAAAATGGTTGATATTTTCTCCACGGTGGTGATAGACATGGGAAAGCTCCAAAAAGAAGCTCTCTCTCTCTCTCTCTCTTTTTAAGAAAACGTTTGAAATCTGGAGAGAATTTGTGGAAGATAAATCTGTAAAAGCTGCGAGTTCACGGCCACATGGTCTTGAAAAAGTAAAATCACTTCTACAAAAAATGCTAAAGGAACTTTCACTCCCTTGCCATTTACTATATTACCCTCTACCATCATCATCACCCTCAAAAAGCCACCGTCACCTTAATGATCATTGGACGGTAACAAATAGTAGTACTACTACTGTATTTTTTTGGGTTAACGGGAGGTTTATTGGCAAGCGAGGGCAAAAGAGGAATTAAAAAAAAATAGAGAAGGGATGTGGCAGACAGAAGTGCTTAGAAGTCAAACCCGCGACCGTAAGGCGTAAGAGTCGTACCTCCTTTTTTCTACTTAAAAAATTAATTAATTCCTGACTGTTCCTTTTAAAAATTAATTAATTAATCATCTGATTATAAATTCCTAATCTAATTATAATTATTTATGCAGACAAGGGTTATCAAACGTTACACACAGAATAACTTCTTCTATCATATACTATACACACGACAAGACTCGAGCATGTGGATCAAAAATTATTTGGAATATTCATTTTCTTTTTCTTTTCTAGATTATGGAATTACTATATCCACATCAAATAGAATGTCTTTTCTTTAACCAACCCAGAAAAATCAATTTCTATTTTTGCATCCGGACAAAAACTAGTACTATGAGCAACATCATGATTATTCATTGTGAAAAAAGAAAGACATATAAATTGACAGTAATAATGATAAATTCAAAAGGGTGTAATATTATAATTGTATGATAATAACACAGATTGATTCCAATTATAACAAATTATACTACTACTATAGACAGAATCATGGATCAAGACTGAAAGCAAGTGAACAAAACTTTTGCAAAGTGCAAAGTCGGAAACAATCATAAACTTCAAAATTAAAATGGTCCTTTCTTTTTTATATCACACCCCACCAAGATCACACGCGAACAAGAAGCTGATGATACTTACAATTGTATGCATATATATCTATCTATATGACTGCACCAAGTCATTAACATAAGCAGTTTAACAAATCAAGACGCAAACATAGAGACCGAACACTTATGTGTGATGAAGAACAAAAGAAAAAAAGATGTATAGAAACTATGTAGACTAACCGAATAAGGAACCGCTTCTAACTTCCATTCAAACCCAGAGGATAGTGATGCCCTCTCTAGTTCAAGCAATCAGCAAACACAACTTCCTGTGTTATTGGACCAATAAATGGAATGTTAGTATGTCGACAACCTATTCTTAAAGGGTATAGTAAAATGCATTCTTTGATCATCACATAGTGATAATCGTTTAGGGAATCAAAATCAAGAGGAAAGGAAACACACCTTATCGCATATAGGGCAGCTATCGCTTCTTTCAATCCACTCCAAAAGACAAGAAAGGTGAAAATCGTGGTCACACTTTGTCGTTAGTTTAGGATTCTCAACATCATAATCTGCAATAAGGGAAAGGGATGCACATGAAGCCATGACTTTGCTTGCTCTACAGAAAAAAAAAGTTCATTTTACCTTCAAAGCAAATGGGACAAGAGTCTTCCTCTTCATCTACCAACTGCTTCCACCCATTTTGATTAGAGAAATCTGATTTCCTAGGTGAGAGAACCACTGAGCTGGGTTGAGTTTTACAGTCTAATCCCGCGAGATCTTCACATGCCGCTAACGTTTCAAAGCTGCTTTCACTAATCCTTCCTTTGCCAGACTCGGAATCTGCGCAGTGTCGTCTCCCCAAAAGCAAATCATAAGGAAGAGGAGCAGGAGCACAAAAGGTGTCTGGTATAGATGTCTCCAAACCTAAATCAACCAAGAGGCCTGTGGTGGTGAAAGCTGATCCCACACCAGCATGAGCTCCTGAAGGCCGAAGCTCTTCAAAAGATTCTGGACACTGCGTAGCCACCACACTTCAGTAGATGCAAGATGGATGAAGGTGAGAGTTATAAACACAAGCTAGAGAAAACGATGACTGACATAATAGTACACAGGTGTTCCAACAACATTTGACTTCCTCGAGGAACAACAGCAACCTCCCATTCTCACCAGCTTCAATACTTACGCAAGATGGCTACGCATCATTTCGAGCTGCATTGACCAAACAAAAATATATAACAGTGAATCTTTAATTACACATCATGCTTCTAGAAAATGCAACAAGATTAGTTATTATAACAGTGTAAAAAAGAGCAAAATCCCAGAGAAAAGTTTATCTGATGCCAAAAGTTATCCAAAAGAAAAAGTTAGGTGTAAAGAGTGTTCCCCGGTCTCAGGGTTCATGTGCTCTTTGTCCCAAATAGCTCAGACCAAAGTGCTAAGAGAATGAGGTTTATACTCTAAAATACAAAACAGGACTCAATCAAGTTGCGACGGGAACATACATGATTCAGTCAAGTTGCAACGAAAACAGTGACCCGAGCAATGACTTTTCACTTTTTAGCCAATTCAAATCAATACTAACACTGCATGTTGAAGTTTTAAAACCATTCATCTTCAGATTCGGTGACGCTGATGACACGTAACTATATACCATAAGATCTTCTTATAATAAACTCTAACAAGAACGTGAAATCGCATATAAATTGCAAACAGCCATAAGCAAATAAATACAGCTTCAACTCCGATTCAGCAAAATCTCCACCTCATAAACAGAAAGCACATATCTGTATCATCATCTAAACAGTACATGATCCCTATAACTGAAGAAGCGCTAATTTCAAAAGGAACAAAAAAAAAAACACGAAACAGATTCTGAGTATAAGAAGAAGGAAAAAAAAAACAGATTCCCCAAAGAAGGAACAAAAAAAAACGGAGAGTAATAACGAAGATAACCTGAGATGTCGCCGGAGGTATTTATTATATCGTCCTTGTCCGGTTGCGAAGAGCGAGAAGAAGAAATTCTGGCGAGGGTTTCCACAGAGCTTTTGTTTCTCGCTTCCTCTACCGAATTAGCCTGCCAAATTATTCTCTTGTTAAACTACATTTAACATTATTATTAATCGGACAATATTACGACGTCGTTCGGTATACGGGCTAGTTATTGGGCTTTAAGTTTTGAGTCATGGGCTAAAATTGGACCCACTATTTAGAAGGTCAAAATGTCAAACCCTCTGTCGCTGTAGAAGCTAGTGATATTGATGTGGTGATGTATGTATGGTCAAATATCAACTTTCAACTGCTATGAATCTTCCATCCTAACCTAATATTGATTGACTTGAAATCAAAGTAATTTACTTTACCACTTTTATTATTTCCTCTAAGCTGATTTTTTAATTAACTTGTGTAAAAAGATGGGAATTTTATTTTGTACAATGTAACTAGTATCTACCTAGCATCCGTACCTCTTTTGTTGGTGGTATGTTCTAAACAGCAGAAATGAACAAATACAAATTAAATGCGATTGATAAATGATTTTGCTTATTGCATTGCATTTACCGAGATGGACCATCTGGCATTTTATATGGATGGCGGCTGAAGAATATCTAACTGATAAGATATTAAATCAATTAAAAATCAAACGGATAGATTTATGGGGATACTTGTAGTTAAAAAAAAAAAAAGTGGAGTACGTAGTAGTAAAAATTATGTACTAAATTTAAGCTTGATTTACAGTTTATAATGGCATGGTATTTTGGTGCTTGTCTTTTAAGAGATCGTCTAAATGAATTAAAGTTTTTTACCTTCATTATATTTACTTTTATTTATTTATTTGAGGATTAAAACATAAATTATGCAATACAACATGACATTATTACAAAGCATCGTATTAAAATCATGTAATAAACAGATTAAAAAAAAAAACCAGGCCCAGGATAATACGCTTATTTATCTGGCTTGTCGGGTTTAAGTTAAATAATTAATAATTATCGAACGTTAAGTACAGCTGGCAATAAATAGGCCAACAGTCTTATGAAAAAAAAAAAAAAAAAAAAAAATCAACGAGAGGCAAAAAAGTTGAATTCTAAAGTCAGTCTCTGCGACTCTTCCTTGTCCGCCATTGCTGGCTTCTCCTCGTTCAGAGATTTTTTTTTTGGTTCTTCGTAAATCGGTTTTCCTTCCGATGCCCGCTCGTCGGAGACATAGCTACGGCGGCGGATCTTCTCCTGCAACCGCATCTTCTTACAGTACTAGTACTTTCACTGATCGTTCCTCCCCTCCCGCCACCGACAAATCTAGCTCCATCGCTCGCTGGATCTCCGGTATATTCAAAAACTGCTTCACTCCTCCCGATTCCGTTTCCTCCAAGGATTTCGACGATTCCGGTATACTTTCGAGATTGTAGTCTGATCATTCAAATTTCCCTGAGATAATTAACTCTTCAATTTCTGGATTTGAATGTTGAAATGGGAATGAAAAGTTTCGTGATTGGTTTATTTGTGAAACAGAGCATAATATACGTAGTAGACGGAGCTCAACAGGAAGTGTACAGAGGCATTATTATGGAAACGCAAACGAAAGACAGAACCAAAACGAAAGATTCAGCTTCGATGAGATATACGCCGCGACCAAGAACTTCTCCCCATCGTTCAGGATCGGACAAGGAGGTTTTGGCACTGTTTACAAGGTCAAACTTAGAGATGGCACTACCGTCGCAATCAAACGGGCCAAAAAGGTCTGAATCCCATTCCCATGGATCTATCTAACTCTTACTGTCTCTGTACAATCTCTCACTTGATTGAGTATTTGCAGAGTTTACACGACCAAGGTGCAGAGTTTACGAGTGAGATTCAGACGTTGGCTCAGGTGACACATCTGAGTCTGGTCAAGTATTACGGATTTTTGGTGCACAATGACGAGAAGCTTCTGATTGTGGAGTATGTAGCCAATGGAAATCTCAGAGACCACTTGGATTGTGAGTACTGAGTAGATTCTACTTTTCTTTTTGGTTACAATATATATTCATCATTTCGGCCAAAAATGAATCAAATGCTTTTGAACTGTTTGTAGGTAAGGAAGGGAAGATTCTCGACATGGCTACTCGTCTAGACATCGCAACCGACGTAGCTCATGCCATAACCTATCTTCACATGTACACACGTAAGTCCGTTGTTACAATAATCATCTTTTCTTTCGTTTCTTCCTTTGATATATAATGATACTTTTTATTTTTGACTCGTACCATCCGCATCCACAGAGCCTCCTATCATCCACAGAGACATAAAGTCTTCAAACATTCTCCTCACTGAGAATTTCAGAGCCAAGGTTGCAGATTTCGGATTCGCGAGATTGGCTCCAGACAGTGAGTCAGGAGCCACACATGTCTCGACGCAGGTCAAAGGAACTGCCGGTTACTTAGACCCTGAATACTTGACAACGTATCAACTCACAGAGAAGAGCGACGTCTACTCCTTCGGTGTGCTGCTCGTCGAGCTTCTCACGGGTCGCCGTCCCATTGAGCTTAACAGAGAGCAAAAAGAACGCATCACCATTAGATGGGTAAATTAAGCTTCTTGATTCACCAGCCACTAGTATATATATATGACTCGTGTGCTTGATTCGTTTTAATGGTTGTGATATGATGATGATGATGATCAGGCGATCAAGAAGTTCACGAGTGGAGATACGATATCGGTATTGGACCCGAAGCTTGAACGGAATCCAGCCAACAACTTAGCATTAGAGAAGGTTTTGGAGATGGCGTTTCAATGTCTAGCTCCTCACAGAGGTTCGAGGCCAACCATGAAGAAATGCAGTGAGATTCTGTGGGGAATCCGTAAAGATTACAGAGAGCTGCTCAACACAAGTCTTTGATATTCTCTACGCAATTATGTTATGGGTTCCTATTTTTAGTAACTATTATCATTTCCATATTTGTTACAACACACGTTGATTCTTGTTCCAGATCGATATGTTGTTTTGTGTCATTTGTTTTCTCTCTTGCAACCTAATAATATTAGTGTATGTGATATCAACAAAATGAATTATTCACGTTACTATAAACAAATAATTCGCTAAAAATAACATTTTCGTGTCAACCTAATCTATTGACCATTTGACACTACAACGGCTTGTTGACATAGTGAAGGCAAATACAATTGAATTAGTATTGTTGTAAGACTGTTTATATACTTCAACTCACATTAATTAATAAGTTTCCTTCCACAAAAGCGCTTGAGTCTTAATACAAGTTATTAATATACATGAAAGCTGTTGAAATTAATTTAATTTATTATATATATATTAATAATATTTATGAGTAACAATATAATCTGTGTTAATAATGAAATTAAAAATATGCATTCTGATTACAAAATTTTATAATGAATTTGAGGTTTTTTATATGATGCAATTGCATATTTTGAGATGCTAAAACCGATTTGATACACTTAACTCTGTTTTTTTCCTCTTTTTTATTGTTGAAATCATGTACCAAATATTGCAATTTTGTGTGCGCTAATGAGATAATCTTGCAACTTTCATCGATTAATATTATGAGTTTTTAACTCAATAAGAAGTTGTATGTATGAATATGTTTTGTGTGTACATCGTAATGTTTATATTTAGACAGAATATTTAATTAAAAGATATTTTTTCAATATTTTTTGTATCTAACGTATCTTTTAAGCATAATTTGAAGTATTTTAAGTTCAGTCCATATAAGACCTTATTTTGAAATCAAAGTTCATTGTAACTATGATTCCCATTGTGTAGTGTAATTTTTTTAATATCATCTATCTGTTTTTATTAAGATAAATTTCAACATTAAATTATGATTTTGAGTTTGAAGTTAGAGCATCGTTATCGATAGTATTTCAATGAGACTCTCACTAATAAAATAATAAAAATAAGAAAAATCATTAAATTAATATTATTTTCAAAAAAATGGCTGAGAATTAACTTCATGAAAAATTCTGACATAGGACCCATGTCATTTTATAATTAGTTCAGTTTTATAATATATCAAATATACAATAGTTTAAAATGTTAATTAAATAGTTTGTTTGTCATTATTTTAAAACTTTTATTTATTCATAATCATAAAATTAAATTATCTATCTATTAAGGCCAGTTATATACAAGTTTAAATTATATAATGATATTTATGATTTTATAAATTTTACTAATAAAATAATATAAATTAATATAACTAATTTATATAATTAGATATATTTTGAAATATAATTTATCATGTTAAAAAATATTAACAGAAAATGCTATAATTCTAAAATAAAATGGAAGACAAGCTTTTAATTTAAAATATAAGAAATTATTAAATTATTATAAAAAATTAAAATTGTATTCTTCGAAACTTTGGTGAGTATTTCATTGATAAATGTCAAATTTAAAGATAATTTGTTCAAACTAAACAGTAACAAAAATAATAATATTATATTGATGAATATCAATTAAGACTTTCACTGATAATAATGCTTTGAGAAAGATGCTTGAGCTTCATCTTTTAGACCATAATTGTATTCAAATAGGTCTGACCATTTATCTTTGTTGATTTTCTCATAGTTTAGATTTTAGACGGATTTTTAGAATTCTTACTATTAATTATATTGGATTTTGTGGAATTTTCCACATCTACATAACAAAGAAAGCTAAATTTTTTTTAAAAAAAATCATAGAAGTCTAGTTTTTCTTTCTTTTTATTTTGGCAAATTCAAAATGCTTCAACTCTATTAATGCATACATTTTCATTGAAAATGAGAAAGTATGTAGTAGGTTTTCTTTACCTTTAATATTGTCTAAATGAATTATGTCAATTAATTTTCATTGATTTCTTTTTAAAAATTATGATATGCAGTGTATTTTTTTTGTTTATTCTTATCCTGAAAAATAGTAGGATACACATTACTTTTTTAAAAAATTGTTCTATCTAAATATTTTCAATACAACGATTATTATAACAAAAAAAAAATTTCTTTTAGAAAATATTATATTAAAATTTTATTTTTGTAAATTTTTTTATAAAATCTCATAATGTTTAAAATAATCTATAAATATAAACCATGAAAATAAAATTTATAAATCAAATTTAATAATTTAAATTTCAACAGAAAAAAGAAAGATCATGTTTCAACCGTATTAATTCATTTCTATTCTTCTAAAACAAGAAGATATGTATTAACTTTAATAGGTTTTCTGTACCTTTATTATTTTTCAAATGCATTGTTTCAATTAGTTTTTGTTGAAATCTTTTTAAAATTATGATATCCTGCTGTACATTGTATTTTTGTTTCTTTTTATATTTATCTTTAAAATTAAAGAAATATGTATTACTTTTTTATAAGATTGTTATACCTTAAATATTTTCAAATGCATTGGTTCGATTAATTACTATAATTAAAAAATGCTCTTAAATTTCTTTTCAAAAAAATATTATATTAAAATTATATCTTTGTAAAACTTCTTACAACTTCTCACATTTTGTAAAATGATCTATAGATATAAATCACAAAGATAAAATTTATAGATAAAATTTTAGTAGTTGATATTTAAATTTCAATAAAGATAAAAAAATAGGATGATCATGTTTCAATCCTATCAATGAATAGATTTTCTTCGAAAATTAGAAGATACGTGTTACCTTTATATCTAGTAGATTTATTTACCTTTCATAAATTTTCAAATGCATTGTTTCTATTAATTTCCGATACTTTGTAATTTTATGGTGTGCTGTTATCCAGCATATTTTTATCTGTGTTTAGTCTTATCTCTAAAAATAAAAAGGTATATATTACTTTTTGTAAAATTATTTTATTGTAAATACACTGATTTGATTAATTATTATAATTTTTTTAAAATTAAAATATTGTATTAAAGTTCTATCTTTGTAAAGCTTCTTAAAATTTCTCACAATGTTTAAAATGATCTATCAATATAAATCATGAAAATGAAAATAATAGATCAAAATTTAATAGTTGATATTTAAATTCCAATAGAAATAATGAAAATGCAAAGACAAACATAAATGATATGAGAATAAACAAAATGTAGAATAAAGCACTGAGATATATGCAGAAACGAAATAATGAGAGATCAAAACAAAAATAAAAAGAATTATTACTATAAATATTAAATTAAATTTGTTTTATGTTTTTTTTTTAAGTGATTCAACCACCGATTTTATATAAGTTGAAATGTATAAAATTTGAAATATGTTTTCATAAACAATTAAGGTTTTGGGTTCTACACAATATATAAACCGAGAATAACTTAGATTATCGGTAACCACCAATTTATTATGGGATAAGTTTAAAGAGGATAACTTGTAAGAAAATCAATTTATTTAAAAAATATAAAAACAAGGTACTATTTTTAAAGAAAACAAATATGCAGTTTTAAATAAGATAAATTTATTTTAAAAGTATTTGTTTCCTATCGGAAGCTTTTTAAAAGAAAAAAAAAAACTTAAAGAAATAACATGTAACCAAATACAACAAAGAAATTGAAAATCTGAGTACAAATATGTTAAACGAACCAAACAAACAGACCAAAGTCCCATAACATACAAATGAGGAAATAAAAAATACGAGATGAAGTAAAAAGACAGAAAAACCCTAGAAAAACAAAAAATATTTCACATGAGGGATTTCAAAGACCTTTCCTTTACGGGTTTCCTACCTCTCTTCGTCTTCTTCTTCACCACCATCGTCTTCTCCTTCTTCTTCTCATGATCACTATCTTCATCAAACACGTCATAATCATCTTCAACAAACTGAAACTCATCAAAACCGATTCTACCATCTCCAAACGCCGCCGTTTTATCATTCTCTTCTCCGCTACTGCTACTCTTTTTGCTCATATTATCCTCGGAACTCTTCTTTTTACTATCACCCATAACAATCTCCTCGTCGCCGGAGCCGCGCCTTTTTCTCCCCCACCGTGGGCCGAAACCAGAGTAATAGTAAAACTCGTACGGATTCGTCGATGCGGCGGTGGAGGAGGCCGGAGCTTTCTTGGTCGTACCACGTGGCCGTCCGCGTTTAGGAGGCGCCGGCACAGAGAGAGCCACTTGGTCGTCGTCGCCGGAGGTTTTGACCGGTGAATTAGGCTTGACGGCTTTGGATTTGTTGTCACTGTTTTCGCTCCGATCCATTGGATCTTCAAAGTCCGGCGATCTCTCGTAATCCTTCGCCGCAACGAGATTAAGTCTCTCGGCGGAAACTAGGCTGCGATTATTTTCGACGGAGATAATTAATCTGGACGGTAAAAGAAGAGCAAAATAAAGAAGATGGTCGAAATTTTAAACCGGGTCGCCCCGGCGTTTCGAATCCGATTCAGATTCGGGCGAAATTAAATTACCCGATAACCGAAACTAGGAGGAATACAACTAAAACCCTAAAACACCGAAGCAACGAACGAAGCAGACAATAATCGAAAATGGGGAACCGATTCGAGTGAGAACAGAATGGATTATTACCTTTCAGCAGCGCCATTAGAATCGCCCAAGCTCCCATTCCCATTGAAGCTATCTTCTCCATCCAACTGAGTTAAACGAAAATGGCGACATTTTGTAATAATCAAAAAAAAAAAAAAAAGAGAATAATCGGAGCCAGAGAACGAAATGTAACACAATGAAGCAAAATAACCACGACCCAGTAACCCTAATCGATAAACTTAAACACCCAGGATCCAAAAATCCAGAATTTTAGGGTTCTTTCCAGTTTCCCGAACGGCAAAAAAAAAAAAAGAAAAGAAACCCTAGTAACAGGCGGAGAAGAAATGCAGTGGAAGCGAACATAGCGAAATGAAATCACATACTGATATTAATTGAATTACCTGGTGAATGAGAGGCGGAGAAGAAGACGACGGAGAAGGGAGAAACCACGACGAGTCAATTAGGTTAATCAACTCGGTGGCGTCATCGCCGTCGCAGGAGGAAGGGAGCGGAATCACATCCCACGGAGACTGGCTAAGGTGACAAACATATGTCTCCGGTCTCTCTCCGCCGTAACCAGCTGTCGTCAAAAGCATCGCTGACAGCTTCGTGTTCTTCCGAATCCTCATTTTACCCCCAAAGCCGAAAACAACTTTAGAGGCCCAAAACACACAGAAACCAACAAGTTAGAAGATTTGCATTCACATATTTATACACTGAGATTTATTTATTTGTGTCACCACGTAAGCTTTTATCTCGACTCACCTCTTCTTCCCGAGCAGTTCTTTTTTTTTTTTTTTTGCTGTTTTTGTTTTCGTTGGAGCAGATCTCACAGAACTCGCTAAGAGGGTCTTTTTTATGTTTATTAAACTTTTTTTATTCGCTTTTCTCGGCCCTTCATATATATTTTCATTTAATTTTTGTTATTGGACGGAAATACCCTTAGGTTACACTTGAATTCCCTGAATTACCCTCTAAGTAGAGTATGGAAAATTAAAAAGATCAAAGCTGCCGCTAAATTTGTTACCAAAATGAAGTTAAGAAAGAACGCAGAATCGCCTGTGGCAAGACCCACACTAACTCTTTTTGGTCAACAACATCTAAACTCTTCCTCGTTTTTGTTGGTTTCACTGAGTTTGAATAAACCCTCCTTTTTGTCTTGTCAACGTCATAAATGTTTTCATTTTTTTGGTGTTTGTCAACAACATAAATGCATTCGAATTATACACCTAATACTGTTAAAAAATTCGGAATGATCATTATTTAGCATGGAAGCAAGGCCGATTCTAAGCAAGGGAGCTAGTCCTTTTGTTTATAGTGGAATACACCAACTGTGTTATATTGTTCAATTGTATCAGTTCACTTAATCTGCCACGTGTCAAAAGCTTTTTATCTAGTGGATTCTCTCCGTCTGGATAATCTTGGTCATCAACATTCTAAAGACCAGAGAAGGAAATGTCTTTATCCTCTCTGTCTGAGAGATAAAATATGGGCTTTAATAATGGCCCAATAACTCAAATTTTGGTGGAATTCATTTTCTGATTATAAACCACGATTGTTTCTCCAATTTTGGTGCTCTTTAGCCTTTTTGAAGGATGAGAACGAGTTATCTTATGTAACCATGATTCTTGGATGGCAATAGGATAAATAAATAGACAAAAAAAATACTTTTTAATTTTTTTTTTAACGGTTGTTATCTGTTTGTGACACAAAAAAGTTTTTTGTGTATGATTAGATTAATGAAAGTTTTTTATATTTACAAGCGTAAAAAATAGAAATCAGGGATGATTGGGGTTCTACACAAAGGACACGTCATCTTATCATCATGGATCCAACGGTCAATACACGTCTTGTGAAAAACATGTACGCAATTCCTCAAACACCTGACTTGGTCATCGCCGTCGAACTCATCTTGACATATCCGGCAACTCTCCGGCGGATTGACCCGTGACATCTCTTCGAATTTTATCGCCGGAAGCATGTCGTCCATTGGAATCTTGTTTATACTTCCCGAACATTCCGGCGAAAACAAACGAGTTAGATCAAGAAAAGAACAGACCTCTCTCATTAAATCATTCAGAATAACTCCGACGATGATGGCTCCAGTCCTGCCGTAAGAAAATCCCATGATTCCCTCCGTCTCTTAAGAACGGTGATAAGGAAAAAAAATGAGTTTGAGAAATCTTTTTTTGATCAAATTTAGAGAAAGAAAGAAAGATTTTCGGAGCATATAAAATGGGCTATTTATATCATTTGTATATTACAATTCGGTGTTAGCGTGGATCGCGAGGGCGGGATTTGGAAAAGAGAAGATTGAATCGTACGTCAACGGGATAAAGATACTGGCTGTGACGGAAAAGAACCAATCATAGATGAACAAGTCATGGGTAAAAGGTCTATGATTGGTTGGTGAGGGACAATATCAACGAAAATAAAGATAAAGTAAAAAGGGAAGTGTTCACATAGTTGAAAAACATGCCTTCGAAGTTACAAGCAAAAGCTACGTAATGAATATAGAATAATTAATTAAAAAATACCGATATCACATTTAATTTCTCTGACGTACATAGATAAATAACATTTAATTATTTTAGCTCATTGCTTTATTCATTTTTTGTGTTAATTACTCCAAGTAATCTACTATGGTCCATTAATTATTGTATTGTATGCAACAAGAACACAACGGACGGAGATAGCAAATAAATCATTTTGGGGCTAAAAAGAAATAACCATTCATTTCAGAATTAAAAATTATACAATGTTTGACGCCTCGATTTGGACCAAATCGTAACATGAGTAAATAAAATGGTTAAAAACAGAGAAGTACAGAAATTTACGGGTCATTTCCACAGTAAAATACTCCTTGGAGAAACAGAGAAATCTCCCACTCACACACAAGAAAAGAAAAGAAATCACACGTAGAGAAATCACATGTATAGATTGTAAAATGCGCAATCACCAGCTGAAACTGATAGACTCAAAGTGAAGATTCTCAGCCAAACCAGAAGAACAAATGTTGGCCACTTCTTGTCTCATCTTCTTCGGACCACACACCATAACTCCCACGCTTGAGCCTTTGGTCTCGAGTAGATACTCTGTTTTGACACACGTATTACAAACACAAATACGGTCAGAATATCTATGTAAAATTTGAGTATAATAGAGTATATAAAGTACACTTACTCTTGAGGTCTGGTCTTTCACCGAAATGGAGGTTGGTGCATTGAACAAGTGACTCTTGAGGAGTACTCTCGATTTCTCTGTCAGCCCATGAGCTAGGAGATGATGTTGGGATCGGTACGTCGACGTTTTGTACCTGTTTACTGCTCTCAGCATTGTAATTCTTCTTATTCCACAACACAGCTGCACTTGACGTCGTCATGATGCTCACACAGAGGACCAGAAGACAAAGGATGGATCTTGAAGCAGCATTGTACTTGTTCTTGTTCTGATCGATCGGGTAAATGTAGTATCTTGTCATGACTCCGACCACAATCAAGAAGATAACGAGGGAAGACGAGAGGATGGCGGCAAGCCAGAGCCATGAGTTTGGTCCTAGGATAGCTGAGATTGGCTGGTCTGAGGGACTTGGCTTGAAACAGAGGGTTCTGATCGTCTGGGTTTCTTCGTTTCTTGGTTCTTTGTCTTTTGTGATGAATGCTTCGATTTGGATATTCAGGTCAGATGGCAATTCGAGACCAGATGTAGGGAGGATAAGGTCAAGCATGGAGATGTCAGAAGCTTTCTTGAACGAGCAAATCAGGGTTATTTTGGGGATTTCACATAACTTTGTTTGGGTCATGGAGATTAGGTCGCGGATAATGGAGATGAATGGAGTAATTCCACTGCCTCCGCTAACCATAACCAAAGAATCGTGCCTGGAAGCAAGCAAGTAAACAAAAAAACAGCCCTCATCAAGGTTAATTATGCAGCAAGAAAAGCCAACCCTAATTTAACCACAATATATATATATATAGTTTAAAACTGATGATCATATTCGAACAAGCGAGTGTATTACCTTAGGAAATCTGTAGACGCAGGACCATAGGGTCCTTCGACAGAAACAGAGAGAGCACGATCATGAGTATGATCCGAAGAAGAAAGCATCTGGTAAAGCTTGGTAGACCATTTCCCTTCGCTCTTGATCACAACGCTTAAATTCTCAGCTTCGAGGTTGCTGCTCGAAGTAATCGTAAATGGATGCCATTGCAGCTTCGAGATGCTCGGAATGTTCACGAACAATATGCTCGTTGGATTATACATCAATCCTGTAACATCACATTTATGTTAAGAGATATAATTATGTAAAGAGATATTATGGTGTGCCAAAAATTCTGACTAATTAAGACTAACCTTTGGCTTTGGAGAAAGTGAGCTCGACGGTGTTGGAAGGAAGAACACGTGCAGATGACAACCGGACATTGTCACGTGATTGTAGAAACCTCAAGAAACGATCGACCAAAAACATATAGAAACCGGGGAAGATGATAAAGCAGAAGGCAATGCCTACGTGGAGGACGTAGAAGAACATGAATACGATGTAAAGGTAGTGAGTATAGAAGAAAACTTCAAAGAATTTCCTCCTAATCGACGGATATGTGGTGGCCCACATCACAAGTCCAGACAGCAAAGCTATCTCTCCGGCAACATTCGACATCTCGGTCTTAGACCAAGTCACCATCTGCGAGATTTCGTGCATTGAGGCCCAATAGATAACGAAACAAAGGCCATGGGCGGTGAATATGGGCATGAGTAAGTGACCAAGCCAAATATGGTACTTGATGCTTGACTCTGACGTCAACCCTAAAACCGGAAGCAGTGATGACCCACGCACCACCGGTATGAACAGGAAAGCTAGACATACGTTACCGACTAGACCGATCCTTAGTGCCATTGCCTCCAACTTCGCTTGCCACCTATAAATAATGTTTTTAAGAATTATTGACATAATTAAAAATGTGTTTTGAGTAGAATATTGAGTTATGCTTTCTTTGTGAAAGAGTACTTACATTTTCTGGTGAAGTTTAGCGGCTGATTGAGGTGTAATCATGGGGAAAGCATTGCGCAAGTAAATGAAGAAGTTCCAAAGAAGAAGAGCCACAAACATGGCCAAGAACATTAACTCAGTCGCTGAGACTATCCCCAGTGGTCCTTTGACCAGCATTGGCCTTTTCATGGCTGCGAACATGCCTCCTCCAGTTACCTCATCACTGTTAAAACCACATCGTTGTGTCACGGAGATTATAAGATACATACTTTCTGATATAGTTAATGATATCGATCAATTAACTTTACCTAATGAGGTGATTAGTAGTCTTCTGTTTCTTCAAGTGAAGGTAGAGACATCCCAGACAAGCCATGAGAACCAAAGGGAACATGAACATGAAAAAGGTCAACCCTGCATGCCGTCCAAACAGAAACAATCCAACTTATTAACTGCTAAATCAAATTGATTTGTGTAACTTTTTGAAAGAAATATAGGGAATTAGAGGAGATGAATATATTGAGATTTTATAAACAAACCTGTGAGACCGAAGTAGGTAGATGTACCAAACTCTGTACGCATGACAGGTAACCACTTGGTTCGATAGATTAAGGTTGGCATGAGGATCCAAATCAAGACGCTTCCTAGGAAAATCACCAGCATTAAGAGCTTAATCAAACCCTTTATCACATCGTTGAACTCATCTCCCGATGATGGGTTTGTCGCCGAGACACTTTCACTCTTATCCATAGCTTCTCTTGGTCTTGATCGAATGTTGTTGTGGAGAATGAGAGGAGAAAGAAGTCTATATATAAGAGATTAATTATGTTGTGATGGAGTGACTCGTACGGAATGTGATAAAGTACTTACTAGTGCATGGTTCAGGCATGTGATAGTCTCCATGGACATCCTTGTGTTCAGATTCATCATTTTTTATCGGTATGACGTAAATATGTATATTAGTATATTGAACTTGAGGGGATTAAAAGAAGATGGTAAAAGATTGACTTTCAGAAAGAGGCCAAGGACCATGCAACCTTTATTGCTCAGAAGCTATTTGATAATTAATTCTTACGTTTTTAAAGTTTAGTATAGCCCTTTCTGATATCATGTTGTCACAGAGTTATGGTGACCAAAAAAAAAAAGAAGAAAAAATCTAGTACATGACATCACCGTGGCTTTTGACCGTCTATAGATTTTTATGACGGTGGGGATCATGCGGTACGGTAACATATGATACGCCGTACCATTTGCTAATCGTCTGGACATGACATCACCGTGGCTTTTGACCGTCTATGGATTTTTTTTTGTTTTTTGTTATTTATCCAGATTAATTCCTATATATGACAATTGTGAAACAAGATTTTGTTGTTGTTGGTAGATGATGTTAGAGATAGTATAATCTGTTATAAGGCATTTGCTTATAGTACAAATCTTGATCCTAATATGTTGTAGTGTATATGTTTATTTTTACTGTATTTAAATAAAATGTTAGTACATATTCCCTCTCTTTTTTAAAGTATGATGTTTTAACATTTTCACACATATTAAATAGATATTTTTTTATTATGCTTTTTAGCTACTTTTTATTTTTTAGTAATATTCTAACACTATTTTTTTATTGGTACAAAACTTCTTGTAAACCTAAATATATTATTTAATACTTAAAATATCAATTTTTTAAAAACAAAGAATTTTAAAAAAAACAGAGAAGTATCTATTAAGAATTAAGAAGAAGATAATTTAGGGGGAAAACACTACAATAGATTTAGTTATTTTTGATTGGAAACATCTATTACACAACTGTGTTCTTTTGTATTTATATCATGGTATAAAATATCGACTCTATTATCCGACGATGTGGCTGGTAAAATTGCAGCAAGTGTTCCGTCTTGAAGATGAACGTAGGAGTTCCTTGACTAGGATTGTTGTTGTGCTTATTATGCTCTGTTTTTTTTTGGTTTGTTGCTCTGTTTTTTTAAGCCTTGTTGCGTTGTTAATTTTAGACCTTTCGGCTTTTAACGAGTCAGTTAACAAAAAGAAAGAAAAAGAGAAATATAAATATACCAGATACATATACATAAACAACAGTATACAATACATATAACACCTTTGTGACACATTACAAAACTAATCCCAAACAAAACAAAAAAAAAATTCATTGTCTCAAAGTAGGAAAATACTCAAGAGGAAAATGTTTGTTAATATACCCAACAAGCAAAGGCATCATCAAGGCTTTCTTGCTGCAAATTGATTCCCAGACTTGAGATTATCTCCACGGACGTCCATGGACAGCTTGGTCCAGCCATAGTCATCCCCAACTTTCTTCCTCTGAGCCACAATGTAAAAGCTCATAAATATACACATAAACGCCATCATTGCGATAAAGATGCTCAGGTTTCTCCTGTTTGGGCAGGAACTCAGAATCATATCTTCCGAAACAAACCCATCAAGACTGCCCATCGAGTTGTTCATCTTCATGATCTCAACACCGTTCAACATCGCATCAACTACGTGTTCATCAACGATAGTCTTGTTCGATGGTCCAACACTTAGGGTAATCGATGACGCCGAAGAAGGATCCACCACGAAATCAATGTAATAAGGGGAAGCAAGGACGTAACCCGCCGAGTACGAGATATCGAAGTCTTGATAGGCCAAGTTCCCGTTGATGTAGACGTTGAAATACAGCATACCGAGTGACTTGCTAGCTATGTCACAGAAATGCATCCGGACTAGATATTTGTAACCGGCGCTCACCGGGAAATCCCAGCTCATATCGACCTGAGGAACCGAACCGCTGCTTCTTCTGGCCACACGGGCGGTGTTGTAGACGTTATCAGGACCAACTTCCCGGCTCGCCCCTCCGGCTCTGTACTTAATCCTACCGGTGAAGTATGTTTTGTCAGACCCGTCACCGGTTTTGAGGAATTCATCATCAGGGACCCAAGTTCTCCACAAGGTGTCATTGAAAGGAGTTACTTTTCTACCGCCAACATTGATTCTGTAGACCACTTCCATGGCTTGCTTAGCTAAACCATTCAGCTTCTCAGTTCCATCATCGGACACAGAGGTTGCAACGTCAGCGATCAAATCCTTAGGCGCAGAGATAACTTCGATTGCGTTAACGAATGCTAATTTCGAATCTTTACTAGGTACAAACCTGATCACGACCTCTCCGGCATCGACCCAAACCAGGAATTCCCTAACCCTAGACCCGAATTCAGACGAGAACTCGTCCTCATCGCCGCTAAAATTCCTAAGCACGACATGACCGTTAACGGTGACGTGAAACTCGGCGTCATTAAGGTCGATCTTAGAGGAATTGAGCCGATTGAAATGGAGACGTACCATATGAGTCCCTTTGTCGCGGACATTGAACTCGTATTTCGCCTGTCGCGCGAAAATCCTAGCTGTCCGGTAGATCTCGGGAACATTCGGAGCTAGATCTTCACCCTGGAGAGCCACTGATCCTTCGGATGAGAAGAATTTCAATTTCGACGCCGATGATGCGTCGGCGACGAAGCGGCGGTTATCGACGGTGGAGTCAACGTCTGAGCCACAGTTGACGAGGTACTCATCGGCAGGAGAGAAAGAGAGAGATACGGAGACGGAGAATAAAGAAGATAGAAGGAAAACAAAGAGAAGGAAGACGATCCTTCTGTACAGAATCGCCATTGTCGCGGAAAGATTGCACGATTTCAGTCGATTTTGATCAGACAAGAAAATGATGTAATTGGGATATTGCCGAGTTGGAGACCAAGTCAACGCGTCATTACAGCTGTTCCGTCATTACAGACCAAGTCAAATCGTTAACAAGACTAATGGGCCGAAGCCCATTAAACTAAACTTGTCTTTTCTTTTTCTTTTGCAATCGACATATTAAATCTTCACCACTATCACTTTTGAATAAAATAATTTCTTAATTTGTAGTTGACTTTACAAAATCATATTAAAATAGTCAATTGTTAAGCTTAAAACAGCGAGACGTTAAATCTATTTTTCTACTATAAAAAAATACTTATTTAATTTTTTTAACTATTTGCAATCAATACCTTAAATCATCAAATATCTACATACGCATAATAATTTTTTAACTAATAATTAACTTTGCAAAATCGTGATAAAAATATTTCAGAACATTTTGGGATACTTTTCCTTAACGTCTTGTTCCTATCCCAAATTTTCCATCACTTTTCTAATTATGTATAAAACAATTATCTGTTTAAAATCATTTATTTTATACTAAATAGACATAGAAAGACAACAATTATGAGATCTGATAACCGAATTACCCATTTAAAAATTAAAAATTTAATATATCTTACAAAATTATCTGAATTTTCTCAATTTTTTTAAAAATACCTGAAACATATGTTCCAAAGTTGATCTTTATTCAAAATAATTACCCGCTTAGAAAGAATTTTAGGTAAAAAAATTTCATAAACCCGTCTCATTATGCAATTATTATTAACTTCGAAAGTTGATCCTTATCCAAACTAGTTGAGAAATTATTATGCACAAAATTAAATGAGCATTTTTCTGATAAATAGATTTAACTTTTTGCCATTTTAAAGTTAACCGTTCATTTTGCAAACTCAACTACAAATTAAAGAATTATTTTGCACAAGTTATAGTTGAGAATCTAATATGTGGATTGCAAATATTTGGAGAATCAAATGAGCATTTATTGATTCATAATTTCATATGTATTTAGATGAAGTGTATATTTTTCAAAATAATTAAATAGTTGATAATTCTCTTTTAAAATTTTAATTCCTAAGTGTCACTACACTAAAAAAACACCAAGTTTTTCTTGATTCAAACGAATTTCTTGTAAGAAAACAACTCCTCCTTGTGAAGTAAACATAAAAAAAAAAAAAAAAAAAACTACTTATCAGAATAAGCAACAATTTCGTCATTTGCACAAGCTGTCACATTGACCACCATAGTTCCCTTCATCGTTGTAGGCATTACTCTACAACAATCCCTCCTTGGAGCCTTAAAAAAAAAAAAACATTGACATTAGTTGTTAACAATCAACTAATCTTATGTATGTATGTAGTAACATTAACAACAAAAGTAATAAAAATTCACCTTATTCCACCTATCCGGGTTGGGCTTTTTGTAGACGATGATGCGATTGATACTAGAAGGATCAGCGATTCCCCAATCGCATTTAGGATTCCACTCGTTGTGCCTCAAATGCACACTAATCGTCGTGTCCGAAGAAGAATCATTGATCGCATGCGACATGTAAAACACGCGCGGACGCTGACAGGCAGTGTAGGTTATGGGACGTGTGTTGAAAGCAATATTGGTGAAATCGTGACGTTTGTGCCAGTCGTTGAAAGTGCGAGTGGGCACTTCCATCATCCTTGCTGGCATATACGTCCGTGTGATATGGACCGTGTATCCCCACGACACAGACACTGTCCACTGGCGGGTTGTGTCGTAGCATATCGACTGTTGGACGAGGCTAGCTGAATCGAGTTTCGCTGCGATCATGAGCCTTTTCACGGCCTTGACTCGGTCTGTCTTCGGGAATATAGGCGTCACTACGTCTAGGTGATGGATTGAGACTATTGGCGCTTGTGGATGTACCGATAAAAGACCCAGGAGACTCCCATATACATCAAACTGTGTGTATATGTGAAAAAATCAGTTTCATTATTAAACCCTAAGTACGTAATGATGTTGATACTATCTAAATCTCGGATCTCAAATCATATTTTTGGCAAATCAGATTCTCAAGTCTTATAAGTTTTACTTTTTTCAAAGTACTTAGACATGAACACAAACCTGATGAAATCCAACTTCTCGAGTGAGGGGAACACCAATCTCCGTCATACAAGCATGAACCCGATCATCGGAGCCGTACAGATCAGGGTACCTCTCAATACACCGATCTTGCACCTTCTCCAAGGCCTTGGCCAACGGATAACTTATCGCGAACCCACCTCCTCCGTACGCCATTCCGTATGAAAACTGATGCAGGTTCTGCAAGTGGCTCTCCGACGGAGCTCCGATGTAATAGAACTGCTTGTGGTCGTATTTTCTCAAAACCCTGACTAGATTCTCCGAGAAAAACACGGTGTCGTCGTCCCCCATCACCAACCACCTCACGTTTCTCTCAGATTCGGTTCCGTTCAACATCCTCACCGTCTCCGATACGATCCTGGTGATCCTGATCGCCGATCTGTGACCGTTCCGGTAACGATACTTGAAACTCGACGTGTCTGAGGAGATCTTGATCTCAGGCAAGGCCGAGGAAGGCGAAGAGGCGTTGCCCTTCACGGGCTTGTCGAGCCAAACGGCGCCCTTCATCTCTCCGTTTGGTTTCCACCATATTTTCACGTATTCTTTCCGACGCCTCCATAGATCGGAGGACGCGGCGATTCCGAATACGATGTGCTTAAGCTCTGTTTCTTCCACCGGTTTCTGACCCGACCCGAGTCGGATTACAGGTACGAGGAAAGAATTAGTGATTTTAGAAGGAGAATACGGATTTAGAAACGACATGAAACTGAACGAGTATAAGAAATAGGAGAGGAAGATGAGAAGGACGATGAGTGCCGTGAAAGAGCATGACGAAGAAGATGAAATTATGGGTTTATTACATTTTTCATACGAGATTGGTTTTTGCTCTTTGTGATGGTGTTCTGCCATTATCACTGATTGGCTTTTTCTCCAGCGGAGAAGATGACGGCGAAAGCTACACCGTTTTTTGTGTGTGTGTTGCAGTGTGTTGGTGAGATTAAAAGAAATGTACAGCGGAAATAAAGGTGGATTTTGTCTCGATGCAACATTTGGTCATTGTTTATTTTGGGAATCATATCTTGGACTTTGAATGTAAAATTAGCCTGCTTTAGTGTAATGGTATAAATTTGGATGAATCTTGCCCTAAATATTGCACAACATCACAAGTCAACATAGCATTTAAAATTTATAACCAGTTATACCATATACTTTGCTAGCAGTTGTATAGAAGTATCATAACGGCATCATAGGTTTCGATAATTTGTGGAACGAGGATGGAAAGTAATTTGCTGGGATTCATTAACATGGGCGACGTTCTCATGTTCCATTGTAGACACGCTTGACGGTTCACTGGGAAAATAAACGTCACGTAGTTCCTAAGCGGTAACTAGAAACTGCTTGACCTAATCTCGACTGAAAGCTACATGACATTATGGCCGTCAGATGGAAAACGTTGAGAGCCAAATCCAACGGTTAAGAAACCGAATGAAATTGTCTCTCTATTTTGTTCTCATTCCCTCTTTTCCAAGCTAAGGAGGGAGATGAATCCTTATCTCCGGCGAGAATTTTGGAGTGATTCATAAAGGCGTAAGAGTCAAAGCTTAGCTATCATCATCAAGCCTCTCCAGGTAAGAGATACATAGTTCTGTAATCTCTCTTCCAACTTTGAAATAGTTATACCCATTGACTTCAATTTGATCTTCGTCTGCCATTCGTAAAATCTCGAAGAAACTCCACTAAGTAGTAGTCTCTGAGCTCGAACTGGAGGATATTCACTTTATTATTGACAAGTTTTGATCTTTCTACAGATTGTTGAGAAGTTTGGATTATGATGGAAAACTAACATGTTCGTTGTTAATCTGCAGATCGAGTGTTCAATGGCCGGAGTTAGGTTATCGATTCTCAGGTCACTTCACAGATCGAATAAATCGTCTTCTAAACAATCTTCTAGACCTTTTTCGAGGGTAGCTGAATATGCCAATCTTGGACCAACAAGGTCATCTCCGGTGAAGAAGAAGGAGCCGTACGCTTCTTTCAACCTCCTAAATTCACATGCCAGGGCCATTGGTTGCGGATATACTCTTGATGTAGCTTCTTCGACTGTCTCCTTTTCATCGAATTTGCGCCTTCACAATGCCATGCCTTTCAATTACTCGACCCCTTTATTAGCTCATTCGTCTTGTGCACGAGCTTTCAACACGAAACCCGATAATCTCCCTGGCGCTACTGGTTCCGGTGACGGGAATGGCATTGACTGGGTTGAGAAGGCCAAAGATGTCTTGCGTTCTAGTGTAGATTCTTTTACTGAAACTGCAAAGAAGGCTCAAGAATCCTCTGCTGAGCTGAGTCCTCATGTGCAGCAGTTTCTAGACTCGAACCCGTATTTTAAAGAAGTGATAGGTCCCGTCAGTCTCACCATGACTGGTACGTTATTTGCTTGGATAGTGATGCCTAGAGTTTTGAGGAGGTTTCACAGATATGCAATGCAAAGTTCGGCTGTTTTGCTTCCCGAAGGCTTCTCAAACGAAGATGTCCCTTATGAGAAAAGCTTCTGGGGTGCTTTGGAGGACCCAGCACGTTACTTAGTCACCTTCATGGCTTTTGCACAAATGTAAGCTGCTTCAACTTTCTTTAGTTTTTTAAGAAAACTATGCGTTGCATACGAGTAACATATAAAATGATTGATTGTTCTGATATGATGCAGTGCCGCGATGGTGGCGCCAACAACGGTAGCAGCTCAGTACATTTCACCGGCATTGAAGGGGGCGGTCATCCTCTCTTTGGTGTGGTTCCTACATCGGTGGAAAACCAATGTGATTACGCGAATGTTGTCGGCTAAGAGTTTTGCTGGGCTAGACAGGGAGAGGGTATTGACTTTGGACAAAGTTTCATCGGTTGGTCTCTTTGCAATCGGTTTGATGGCTTCGGCGGAAGCTTGTGGGGTAGCTGTTCAATCTATCTTGACAGTTGGTGGAGTAGGAGGTGTGTGTACTATAGACTCCAACTCAAATTAGCTGTTTTGCTCATCTAATTGCTAGGATTCAATAGAAAAGGTCTTTAGAGGACACCACAAGTATGTATAGTCTTATCTTTTCCAGGTTGCTAGCATTTTGTAGATGTTCTACTGATTTTATAATATTTGCTCATAACTCATCAATGTCGATCTGTCCGTGCAGGAGTGGCCACTGCTTTTGCTGCCAGAGATATCCTTGGTAATGTGCTGAGTGGTCTGTCCATGCAATTCTCAAAGCCTTTCTCGATGGGAGATACAATCAAAGTTAGTTAGTTTGACAATGAAACCGTTTGTGTTACCTTCTCTTTGCTCTCTTCGTTTCTTAAGTTTCCCTCAGATTTCCTTTTGTATAATGTCTTCCTTGTCTCCACATTTCAGGCTGGATCTGTAGAAGGTCAGGTTGTTGAGATGGGACTTACAACAACATCTTTGCTGAACGCCGAAAAGTTTCCAGTTTTGGTACCTAATTCATTGTTTTCCAGCCAGGTTAGTCTATACGTTTCACATCATGCCTCTTCATGTTGCAGAAACTTTAGCTCTCGATTTTATAATTTCACACTCAAAAGAGCATAGACATTGAGTTAATGCCATTTGATTACCTCATTTGTTTGAATCTATTGGTATACATTTTCATTGGAGGGAAATTTGAATGGGCCTAAAGTATAATAACAACATAAACAGGTGATTGTGAATAAGTCACGCGCTCAGTGGCGAGCCATAGCATCCAAGATCCCACTGCAGATCGATGACTTGGATAAGATTCCTCAGATAACAAATGAAATCAAGGAAACGTTGAGGTCAAACACAAGAGTGTTCTTGGGGAAAGAAGCTCCTTATTGTTACTTATCCCGGGTGGAAAAATCTTTCGCAGAACTCACTATTGGATGCAATCTCAAGTACATGGTACCATCTCTTTCTCTATCTAGTCTCTGTAACACTTGAATGGGTTCCACTACTAGTAGCGATCATTGCAGTCAAATTTGGACAAAGATGGTAACTTTATGATTGATATATTTACGCACATGGTGATCATTGGTCTCAGGGCAAAGAGGAGTTTTACGCAACACAACAAGAAGTTCTTCTTGAGTCGGTTAAGATCATAAAGAAGCACGGTGCGTCGCTGGGTACCACTTAGACAATCCTACAGTTTGAGTGATCAATTTGGTAGAGATGAAACTGTTGATCAAGAAATCTACTTGGCCAGATGAATCTAGAAACATGTGTTCATAGGCATATTTCATATTGACTTGAGAATGTTCTAGAAAATCAATGTACAGCAAAAGCCCAAATCAACTGTTTCGAGCTTAATTCGTATGGATTTTTACTGTGAGCCGGTTCTTCTGATGTGTTTTGCAATGCATGATCAAAATTCACTTTATTAGTATTAGATTTTGTTGATTAGGTAAGCTATTTAAGCTGATTAAAACACCACTCTTAACTATCGAAATCTACATTATTCGATATTTATCTAAATACACATATTTATATACAAAAAGTCCAATTTATATAGGAAAATCTAAAAGAAAATATTCACAGGTAGATAAAGTAGTAAATCAACTAAATATTCTTCCGGTTTCAGTGGTTGATTAATTACATATTTATAAACTTAAGATAAAAGAAATATTTTGTGCGAAAACATTAATTTTGCATAATTAATATGAAAGAAAGGAAATATTGTGGAGCAATTAGCAAAAAAACGCGTGACTTAACGCGGACTACTTGACCAGTTTCTGGACCTTTTTAGTTTTTACCACTTAACCTTATAACGTAACGAAAGCAGGAAAAAAAAAGTCAAAAATTTACAGAGACTCCTTCGTCTTCTTCGCCTCGCATCTTCTGTGCCAATGCTCGCTTAGTTTCGACCATTGTCAACTCCGGTAAGATATATTCGCCTGAATTGCTGGTCTACTCCGTAGAATTTGTGTGTTTCGATCAAACCCGAAGTGCGTGTAAATACTTGATTCGTGAAATCCTGTAAGATTATCGGGAAATTCGTGAAAGGTTGTTTGTGAATCCTGCAAACACACTATGTTGTTGATCGGATGCAATCTTAGTTGCGTTGAAGCCATTTGAGTTTGATTAGGAATCGGAATCAGCTGGTTTTTGTGTGCTGTTGAAATGGAGAATTATGGTTCGCAGTCTCCTCCACCATACCCTTATTACCCAGGAGGAGCTCCTCCTTATAGGCCTCCCAATTCAGATCCATACCCTCCACCTCCCCAAGCTTATCCTTACCCACCGCCACCGCCACTTCACCACCATGGTTCAATGTCTCACTCGGGTCCGTTAGACTATACCCACCGTCCACCGCCACTTCATCACCATGGCTCCATGTCCCATTCGGGTCCACTAGACTATTCCCATCGTCCACCCTCACTTCATCACCATGGTTCCATGTCTCATTCGGGTCCACTAGACTATAGCCACCGTCCACCACCGTCGCCTCATTATTATGATCAGCCTCCTCCTTACCCTTATCCTCCTCATCAACCAACACTCCAGCCACACGCTAGCTTTGGCAACTATCAAGAGCCAGGCCTGTATCCACCACCACCCCAAGACCCTCCTCAACCGCATTATGGTCATGGGAATTTAAGCAGTGGCGGATCCTCTTCCCCACCTCTTTACCCTCCTCTACACGATCTTATGGGCGGTCTGAGTGTCTCTGCTAGTCAGCCAAGCGCGCCAGCATCGCCACCAGCACCCTCGGCTCCATCTTTGCCTTCAAACTCCTGGCAGGGAGGTTACTATGGAGACTCGTTTTCAAGCCATTCACATTTGTCACACTCGGGCAGGCTAGATTCGTCTAGCCATGGTTATGCATCGCCGCATAGTCCCGGTATGCAGATTGTGCCCTCTGGCAAAGCCTCCTTGAAGGTCCTCCTGTTACATGGGAATTTGGATATCTGGGTTTCTCGTGCAAACAATCTCCCAAACATGGACATGTTCCATAATACGCTGGGTGCTGTGTTTGGAAGCATAACCAACATGATCGAAGGGCAGCTGAGCAAGAAGGTCACTAGTGATCCTTACGTTTCCATATCAGTCGCGGGTGCAGTGTTAGGAAGAACATATGTCATCAGCAACAGCGAGAACCCTGTATGGCAGCAGCACTTTTATGTTCCTGTGGCTCATCATGCTGCCGAGGTCCATTTCGTTGTCAAGGACAGTGACGTTGTGGGCTCGCAGCTTATAGGAATCGTTAAAATCCCGGCCGAACAAATCTACTCAGGTGCGAGAATTGAAGGAACTTACACGATTCTGAGCAGCAGTGGAAAGCCTTGTAAACCAGGGGCAACCCTGACTCTGTCGATTCAATATACCTCAACGGATAAACTCAGTGTTTATCACAGCGGAGTTGGTGGAGGTCCTAATTACCAGGGGTGCCCCGGGACTTATTTTCCGCTCCGGGAAGGTGGAAATGTGACGCTGTACCAAGATGCACATGTACCTGAAGGGATGCTCCCGGGAATAGGACTCGGCAATGGAATGTATTACGAACATGGCAAGTGCTGGCAGGATATGTTTCATTCCATATGTCAGGCTAGGCGTTTGATTTATATTACAGGTTGGTCAGTGTGGCATAAAGTCAGGCTTGGTCGGGAGAAAGGAGATCCTGCAGCAGAATGTACACTTGGTGAGCTCCTAAGATCAAAGTCCCGAGAAGGTGTGAGAGTCCTGCTTTTGGTTTGGGACGACCCAACTTCACGAGACATCTTGGGGTATGTAAAAGTAAGTTACTGGAACCTCAAGTCCGTATCTTTCTCTTTTTTTTTTTTTTTTTGAAGTGCATATGTTAGTTACGCACGCTGTAAGGTAGAATCAGCACATATTTGAAGTCATAGGTTCCGTCCGTTTTCCTTGTTATCCAAAAAGTCTCACTTGGGTTTAAACTTAAGAAGTTTGAGAAAATCCGGCTTCTATTCAGAATTTTACAACTCAATTTAGAGAAAGTGTATCTTAGATGACAGTGTATTCAGGTGATTCATGTAAGTTTCAGGTATCGATACAATTTGTTAATTTGGACAGGATGGGATGATGGGAACCCATGACGAGGAGACACGCCGTTTTTTCAAGCACTCCTCAGTTAATGTCTTGCTATGCTCTCGAAATGCTGGAAAACGACATAGTTGGGCAAAACAAACGGTAAAGCATGAATTGTTTGTTTGTTTTTAGGTTGAGATATCCGGCTTCTATTTATTATATTTTGGTCCATCAGGAAGTTGGAACCATCTATACACACCACCAAAAAACCTTGATAGTAGATGCGGATGCTGGGGGGAACAGAAGGAAAATCGTAGCTTTTGTAGGAGGACTTGATCTCTGTGATGGCCGATATGACACTCCTCAACATCCTTTGTTTAGGACGCTGCAAACAGATCATAAAGGTGACTACCACAACCCCACTTTCACGGTATGTTTTTTTATACCAACTTTTCTTTCTAAGTATAGTGTACTTTTGGTGGCGATTACTTAAGTAATTCTTAGCAAATAGTAACCTTTGACTTTAGGAGAAAATAATGCCTTGAACTTTCTTAAATGGTACTCACTTTTTGTTTGTCTTCTTTTTAATTCTTGGCGAGTACTCAAGTTATTCTTAGTGCTTGTTTTTTATGCTCTGAAATGAAAAAAAAAAAAAAAAAAATCTTAAACTTGGAATGTACTTAAATGTAATTTAGGGTAACACCTCCGGTTGTCCAAGAGAACCTTGGCATGACTTGCATAGTAAGATTGATGGCCCAGCTGCGTACGATGTCCTGACCAACTTTGAAGAGAGGTGGATGAAGGCTGCGAAGCCACACAGAATCAATAAATTGAAGACATCATATGATGATGCGTTGCTCAAGATTGAAAGGATTCCAGATATATTAGGAGTCTTTGATGCTCCTACTGTTAGTGCAAACGACCCCGAGGCTTGGCATGTTCAGGTGAGCACCTCGAAACTCTTATTGTATAAAATGTTGACTGGACATTCACAAATGATCAGAAACCAAACCTTTTAGTTTGAATGCCAGTGTTTGTGCAAGTAGTTTGTTGTTTTCATTTTCTGAGCCAATTATTGTTTGGGATTCGTTTAACAGTATATAGACCGGCCCTGGTTTCTTCATACTCTCTCTCTCTCTCTACTTGCAAGTTGCAATGGGTTTGGAGAAAGAGATAAGGTTTAGTGAACTCTTTATTAATGTAGAAACCAACCGTGGAGTCTGAATATCAACAGGTACTAGCAGTTAGCCTGTTGTTTCGATTATCTCTGTGCCAATTAATGAATGGGGTTCCCTCTAAAGCATATAGAATAAGGCCAAATTTGGTGTATTTGTTTCTTTTTTTTACGCCTCTCGAGGGATATTAAAATTTGAATGTTTAGACCAATTTATACTAATCTACATAGCTTATGATAGATGCTCATGTTTCAGTTGGACCATGCAAATATTGTCCCATTTAATTCTTATCTAAGCTGATGGTCTTCTGGTTTCTGGCTTAGATCTTCCGCTCCATCGATTCAAACTCTGTCAAAGGTTTTCCAAAGGATCCAAAATATGCTACTAGCAAGGTGAGTCGGAAAATCAGAAAGAAAATTGTGATTTGGTGAGCACTTATATGGCTGATAATTGATGGATGTAAGGGTTTTGGTTGAGCAGAATTTGATGTGCGGTAAGAATGTGCTCATCGACATGAGCATACACACTGCATATGTAAAGGCCATTCGTGCCGCTCAACACTTCATCTACATTGAGAACCAGTATTTCATTGGATCTTCCTACAACTGGAATGCTCACAAGAACATAGGTTTGTTGTTTATGTCTTTGTTTTTTCAGTGAACAAATGATAACAAAAACTCTCTTTAAACACGCGTGTATTTATAATTGATCAATACAAGAAATCTGATTATTTTTTCTTACAGCTAAGAATTAGTGTCGCATGTTACATCATCTAGAAATACCGTGTTTTTCTACTGAGCATTAGTTTAAGCAATTATCCTCAACTTGAGAATCAAAGACCATGATGATCTTGTTTTAAGGTTGATTATTATTTGGTGATGGTCGTGTAGGTGCCGATAACCTGATTCCAATGGAAATTGCTTTGAAGATTGCTGATAAGATAAGGGCAAATGAACGGTTTGCCGCCTATATTGTCATTCCAATGTGGCCGGAAGGAGTTCCAACCGGTGCCGCTACACAGAGGATTCTGTATTGGCAGGTAGCTTAGTCAAAATGAATATAATCCTGATTGTTCTTAAACTTATATAGTTGGAGACTATAGTTTCTTTCAAGCACATTTTGTTATAATAGAATAAAAAGAAGGTTATAAAAACTGGACGTCATATTGTAGCACAAGACGATGCAAATGATGTATGGGACTATCTACAATGCGTTAGTGGAGGCTGGGCTCCAAGATAAATTCTCCCCACAAGACTATCTGAATTTCTTTTGTCTTGGAAACCGAGAAATGGTGAATGGGAATAATGAAGCGGGCACGGGACATCCAAGCAACGACAACACTCCCCAGGTAACTATACCAGCTGCGGTTTTTTTTTATCGTCACTGGCCATGATTGAGTTGTAACTGAAACGGTTTTGTAATAGGCATCATGTCGAAAGAGCAGAAGATTTATGATATATGTTCATTCAAAAGGGATGGTGGTTGATGACGAGTATGTGGTAATTGGATCTGCGAACATAAACCAAAGATCAATGGAAGGCACGAGAGACACGGAGATCGCAATGGGAGCTTATCAGCCTCAGCATACATGGGCAAGGCGACAATCTGGTCCTCGCGGTCAGGTAAAAGATAATCCAAAATATGATATTTTTATATTTGTGAGTGATATTGAAGAAACAATCAAATTTTGTTTGGCAGATCTACGGGTATAGAATGTCACTGTGGGCAGAACACATGGGAGCGTTGGATGATAGCTATGCGGAGCCGGAGAGCCTAGAGTGTGTAAGCAAGGTGAGAAGAATGGCGGAGGAGAACTGGAGACAGTTTAGGGCAGAGCAAGTGTCGGAGATGAGGGGACATCTGTTGAAATATCCGGTGGAAGTCGATGGGAAAGGCAAAGTCCGGCCACTTCCCGGAAGCGAGGAGTTCCCTGATGTTGGTGGTAACATCGTCGGATCCTTCCTTGCGATCCAGGAGAACCTCACAATCTGAAAACGATTGCATTTTGCACACATTCTTTCTGAAACCTTGGCGTGTATGTACAATAACTGATGATTCATTTGTTTGTATAAAATTACTGTAATACTGTAAAATTCTAAAGGCTTAAGGCTTTTAAGCTGTAAAGCAAAGGGCTAACACTGTAAGTCTCCACCCATTGCGAATATCATTGAACTTAGATTTTTTGTGGAACTCAGTTTTGACCAAATTGTTTTAGACCACTTTCGATGAGTTTCTGATGAAGACGTTCATTACAATCATACTAGATGAGTATCCGTGCGATGCGCATATATTTTTTCACAAAATAATTTATTAAAAAGTGTAGTTACAATTTATTTTATCGAATTTTTAAATTTTTAAAGGATATTGTGTATTTGAACATACATACAATACATATTTACATATTATATGGATATTAACTATATATGTGATCAATAGTTTATTGATAAGAAATTGTGAAATATATTATATCTTGTATATATAGAATATATTAAATAGATATAGTGCAAATCAGAGAAGTACTATATAACAAAAATTAATTAGAAAAACTTTTACATAGATAGAGACGACTCTTTTTAACAGGTTGTACTTGTTCACGGCATACATTTACACAATAGCAATGTCGTGGTTTTATATTTTTATAAGCTTATATAATTGAATTATAATTATAATTTATACAGCTGCATTAAATATTTTATAAAAATATATATTAGGACTTTGATATCTTATTAATTTTAAAATTATTAATGGATCAAGTTTGAATAAAATAAATTATCAAATAATTATTAGTTCATAAAAAATTGTTTTAAAGTTTATTATAATATTGTATAAATTTTTCTTCTAACTTTTTAAGATTCAAAATATCAAATAATTGTTATTTTTATATTTGTATAATTGTTTTTATAATAATATCTTATAATATTAATTAAAAATAAGAAAACACTCTTAAATATAAAACATAAATTTTGTTAATGATTTTTAAAAACTACCACAAAATAGATATTCAATAATTGTTTTTGGATATTATGTATATATTGTTATTAAAATATATTATCTAACTCTTCATATTTAATACATTAAATTTATGCATTAATTGTATTTCATATTATTTGTGTCATTAAATTTTTAAAATAAACCAAAATGATGAAGTGACATTCAACTGGAGAGAGTTGGTCATCTTTTATAGTATATATAATGTAATCACGTGTCAAAATGAGTTGTTGTGAATAAGAAATAGAGGTTGAAAGTGAATAGCTTGATAAGCAAACAAAACTTCAAACTTTACTAAGTGTTAAAAGTTCCACATTTGATACTTGGGTTTGGATTTGGATTTTCTAATTGGGTTGTATGTTTGGTTCTTTATTAAACAAAAAATGGAAAAACGAAAATCAAATCAAATCCAAATGCCATTAATTTTAATTGGCCAAAATCTACGTGATCAACACATTTTCTATGTTTGGTTTTTTATTAAACAAAAAATGGAAAAACGAAAATCAAACCAAATCCAAATGTCATTAACTTTGATTGGTCAAAATCTACGTGATCAAGGTGATTAAGTCACCATAATAATGATTGATGCGTTTTTTAAATCCTCCATTCATGTCACTTTGTACGTTGAGATTTCGTTGAGATTTCGTTGAGATGAATGTGCAATTCTTTTTCTATATAAAGGTTGTTGGCTTATAGAAAGGAAGGACATCCAACAACACACAACAACATCAACATACTTAGTTTACATTGTTGAAAGATGCAATGATCTGAATCACCTTATGCACTCCTCGATCTGGATGGGTTGGTGAGTTAGGCAGGTCCTTTGCTATCTTCAACATCTTGAGACGTCAAAGGAATTCAGATACACTGGCGTTATCCCAGAATGAGATGAGTTGAAACATGATCGAAAACAATGGTTGCTTTCGTTGAAAGGCCGTTGTTTTCGTTGCAGACTCTCCAGCAGGGCCAGTGTATCTGAATTCCTTTGACCTCGCTATTAGAGGTTGTAATTGATGAAGAAGTCGTGGTTCAAATCATTGCATCTTCAACCCCTGGATGGGTTGGTGAGTTAGGTAGGTCCTTTGCTAGTAACGTTTTCGAGTTATTGCTGGCCAAGATTGTGGGAATATATTCCTTTGGAGACAAAGTCAATCAGATTATCTCAACAACACCCCTTGGTTCTGAAGCTTGCCAAAGATCACAGTCATGGCGCAGACATAACACTCTCCAACTCCCAGTTTGAGTTTGTTTTGCCTTATCTAACTCTAGAGAGTTTTTTTTTTGGGTTAAAATCTTTGACAAGCTTGAGAATGATGGGGTTGTTGTTGAGTTCTGCTTGATTTGAATGGCGGAGGAGAACTGGAGACAGTTTAGGGCAGAGCAAGTGTCGGAGATGAGGGGACATCTGTTGAAATATCCGGTGGAAGTCGATGGGAAAGGCAAAGTCGAGGAGTTCCCTGATGTTGGTGGTAGCATCGTCGGATCCTTCCTTGCCATCCAGGAGAACCTCACAATCTGAGACGATCGCATGTTGCGACTTGAGGATTGTTAATTTTTACACATGTCAACTTTAAACCTTTGCGTATGTTATGTACACAATAATTGAATCAGACATTTGTTTGTATAAAATTACTAAAAAAAGCATCTGCGTAATATGTTTCTTGATATGCTTTTAACAGAACAAAGAACATTTTGATTTGAATGGGAAAAAGAAGAATTACGTATGGGTTCCTTCAGGTGTCATTAACGAGCTTAGGCCTGGATGTAAGAGGATCAATCTCAACTCTGAGACCAATCTCTCGGAGCTGAGGCACATCCACGGAGCCTTGCATCTCCAACTCAGCAACCGCTTTCTGGTTCTCTTGGTTCCCTTCGAGCAGATTTCTGACGCACCACAAGCCCCACTCTCTCAAGAACGGGTTCTCATCGTCCGTCACGCACTGCTGCAGCATCACGAAGAGCCCGTCTCTCTCCCTCACCTCATCTTGCACCTCTTTCCTTCTGTACGCGCAGTTCCCGATCACAGCCACAACGTCTCTCCTGAAACCTCTGTAAGGACAAGGCTTTGAGCAAGAACCAGTAGGGCTCTGCTTCATCGCCTTCTTTATCGTTGTTGGGGGCTCAAGCCTGCGAAGCAGATCGAGGAGGAGCTCTATCACTCCGGAGGACAAGAGCAACTCCACAGTATCACCTGTTCCGCTGTTGGCGTCTTTGAGTTCTTCAAGGCTTCCTCCGGCGCAGGTGTCCCTTATGATAACCAGAGAGTATCCCATCACGTCGATTACAGCTGAACCCGTTGGAAGCTCCGATCTTTCACTCGAAACATGATCGAAAACTTGGTCCACCGATTGGTTCAATAATCTCAGAATGGCATGAGTTGCAGCCTTGGGGACTGACACTTCTTTTAACCGCTCGTTTGCAATATCAGACACCATCCTCATAAGAACGGCCTGCTCTGATGTAAACGCTTCGTTTCCAGCCTCGTATAGCTTGGAGAAGAGGGGAGGGAAGCAATCGCCTTCAACGCAGAGTCTCGAAACCAGTAGCTTGAGCCAATAATCCTCTACAGACCCAACGGAAGATGATGTCCGTATGGTTTCGGCGATGATGCTTAGTCCTTCATCGCTGCAAAGTTGCGAAGCTATCTCCGAGCTTCCATCGAAGCAGGCATACAGAATCATGCACAGCGGATCACACGTCTCCCGCCTCCTAACCTTAGCGATCGCCGAGAACCTCTCCGGGAAAAATCGCAGCCACACATTTCTCTGGCGTTTCTCTCCCAGCACCAGAACGTTCGCCAGAACCTGCAATCCGAACCGAACAGTCTCGAAATCCCCGATCGCGGAATCCAGCAAGTCGGAAACGACAACAGAACCGTCGTGATCGATGAAAGCGTTCTGATTCAAGGTCTCGCCGGCGCAGAGGTTTCGGAGGACCTTGAGAGAGAGGTTCAGGTAATGGCGGGAAGATGGGTAGGGGAGAAGCTGAAGAAGGCGAATGATCGACGGGAGGATAGCCTTCGAAGCGAGATCGGAGCGGCCTGAATCGGTCCTGGAAACCTCGAGAAGAAACTGCAAGCACTCTTGTAGGGAATATGATAAATCCGAAGCATTGAGCAGCGGCTGAAGCACTTCTTCCGGTAAAGAAGCTTCCATTGGTGACGAAAGAGAAAAATGCGTGAGTAAGTTTTAGGGCTTTTCCTGATGAGGAGGTAATGGCAGTGGGTAATTCTGTAAATAAAATTATCGTTCAGAGTTTTGGGCCTTTAGACCCAGAGAAATATAATATGGGCTAATAAGTCTAATAATATATGCCCAAAGTCCATTATGAGCTCAATGTCCACTATGAGCCAGAAATATAATATGGGCTAATAAGCCTGAAAAATATACCCAATGTCCATAATGAGCTCAATGTCCACTATGAGCCAGAAATATAATATGGGCTAATAAGCCTAATAATATATGCCCAATGTCCATTATGAGCTCAATGTCCACTATGAGCCCATATGTTATCAGTTTATCTTCCACATTTCTGTTTGTGTAGTTTCTATAATACAAGTCGCATCGGATGGCCATTTCACACATTGGAAATATCAGATTTAGGCTTCCGTGTTTATGTGTGATGGCTTGTGGAAATAATTCACAGATTAGTATTGACTAAAAATCTGGATAATGTTACAGAAGCAGCTAAAGTAATGAAGAGGCTGGTTTACACTTTAGATTAAGGTTAATGGGCTTTTTCAAAAGAGAAATAATTCAATCGGAAGAAGGACTGTAGATAACAATGGGGCTCCGAACAGAGTGACGTTGGCTCTGCCACACGAGCAAGCCCGACACAATCTTCCCAGGAGTCATTTGCTTGGCCTTCACCACCACTTTGAAGCTCCTCTTCTGTGAAGCCTTTGAAAACGACAAACTCATTGGCTCCACCGTTATCTCAACTCCCTTCGGTGCCCTAACGGTGGCGTTGTAGACCGAGGATGGTGGTCCCACGTTGGTGACTCTCCGCCTGAACACAGCCATCGTCGAGGTTTTGGCAGATCTCAGCGTGAGCTGAATGGTTGGGTAGTTTAGAGAATCATGGCCGAGTCCAGGGACAATGGATGAGCAGTTCACGGACCGTGACCCCACCAGCGGAGCCAGAGTGGTTGCGTTGTAGCCTTCGCCGCATAGGAACTGGACATAGGAGATGTCGTCCATGTCGTAGACCAAGCCAGGGCTCGCAGCTCGTCTTGGGTTGACTTGGCCTCCTCCATAGGCGAACTCTGCGTCCTTGTTCACTCTTTGACTTATCGGTTTGGCTACCAAAGCAAACAAATACACACATATATGTTAAGAGTTTTCTTTGAGAGAAAAATACATGTGACTACTACTTTGCTACCTGAGGTTATGATGGCGGACTTGATGGCAGCGGGTGACCAATCAGGATGAAAAGACTTGACGTAGGCGGCAACACCAGCAGCGTGAGGGCAGGCCATGGAGGTACCAGAGAGGATGGTGAACTTTGAGAACTGGGTGTCCCCGTCTAACCCAGTCAGTGATCTCTTGAGGGTGAAGGCCGCCAATATATCAATCCCGGGTGCAGCAATGTCAGGCTACAATACGCAAAACATAACACATACATATAAAGATCCGCATTTCTCATGATAGTGACGAGACAAGTTTAGTTACTGTATATATATATGACCTTGAGAAGGCGTGTAGATCCTGGATTGGGACCTCTTGATGAAAAAGAAGCAACAAATGGAGCAGGGATTGTGACTTGTCGGGTTTTCTGAATTACAGCCGACGGTGATCTGCAATCAAGCAGGCAAAGAGAGTCAAACAAACACACTTTGGATCCTTTCTTCTTCTTCGGTATGGCAAAGAAATGAAATCAGCGAGAACCTCGTAGAGTTGATGTAGCGGTATATGGCATCGCCGATGGAGGAGTTAACAGAGGTGGCAGGAGCCATGAAGATCTGAGCGTTATCAAGATACTGATCACTTACTACGATGGCACCAGCACCTCCATAGCTTTTAACTGTCGACTCCACACCACCTCCTCCCATTCGACACACCATTACCTTTCCCTTCACTTTCTTCCCGTCCAAAGAATCAGAGAAGCAGTACCTTTTGCATCAACAACATATTAGGTTTCTGTCTGTCTTGTTTAACAATTTAAAATCGGATGATGTACCTCGCCATGTACTTGTCGTCTTTGCTCTTAGCAGCATCAACGCCACTCACAAGCGGGTAAGATTTGGCTTTTGGATTAAACATGCTTATTCCCATCCCCTTTCATCATCAATATTTTCACATCCTTTTTAATCGTATTCCACTAAAAATACGATTTTAATTAGAAGATCGATGCTTACAGAGAAGGATTTGCCGTCGCCGAGATCTATCTGGCTCTTGAACGTCCGATCGATGCCGCTTGCTGCAACCGTCAGTATCCACGGCTCGTGGTTCGTTACGGTCCCTGAGGACGGTCCGTCGTTTCCGGCCGACGCCACCGTGAGGATCCCTTTCCTCACCGCGTGAAACGACCCCACGGATATCGAATCGGATGAATAATCCGCGATTGGACCGCCGATAGATATGGAGATAATGTCTACGCCGTCGTGGATCGCCGCTTCGAATCCGGCGAGGATGTCCATGTCGGCGCAGCCGGATCTCGCCCAGCACACCTTGTACATCGCCACCCTCGCCGACGGAACGGCGCCGCGCGCGGTACCGTTTGCTATGCCATAGAGACTCGCGTTTGCGACTAGAACGCCGGCTACGGTGGATGTTGTGTGCGTCCCATGGCCGTCGATATCGATCGGTGATCGAACTTCGCCGTTGGGAAAGTTGCCGTCGTGCTTGAAAAACTTTGCTCCGATTAATTTGCTGTTCAAATTGAATTTACTCAATAAGGACCCTTATGTTAACGAACAATTTAAATAAACTCCCTAAACTATTCTAATTGATCACCCAAGTCCAAAAATTGATGAGAAATGTTTTTACTTGTTACAACCGGTGAAGTTTTTAAAAGGTCCACAGGATCCTTTCCATTTGGCAGGGGGAGGGCCTAGACCATGGTCCTGGAAACTCTCTGAATCTGGAGTTATTCCTGATTATCATATACATTATATAATATTCAGATTAGCATAAACAAGGGATTATTGACACATGAAGGAGAACGAATATATATGAGTAACACATGTTTATAAACCTGTATCAAGAACACCAATAATGACATCTCTCTCTGCTTTTAGATGTCTTTTTGCTGTCAGAGGAAGTCCAACGAAATCCCACGACTTTGTGGTGTGTAGTTGGCGATACCGATTTCGGAATACACCAAGAACCTCTTCCATCTCTGCATCAGTTTTTAAGTTGTTACTTTATTTAATACCTTATGAATCTCACTATGGTTGGTTATTTTGTGATAATTTTACGATCGATATGTAGAAGAAAGATATCAATATGATGGTTACTTAGAGAGTACACTACTTACCCATCATCTTCTTGGCTTCATCTGGAGAAAGCTTGGCAGCAAAAGCGTTGAAGGCTTTAGTGTAACTATACACTATTCTTTCTTGCGCTTCTTCTTGGCTGTTTCTCAAGATATACTATAACTTTTTTAACTAGGAGGGCATGCAACATGTAACTGATGACCAAGTACAATATTACTCGGTATATACTCTTAGATTTATTATTGATGCATGTATCATACCTTATATTCAGAGACGAGAGAAGATTTATGTGTGTGTTGATAGCTTCGTCTCCATTATCCGGTCGATCTCCCAAATAAATGATATAGAAATCCTTTAAAAGAGTTTTCCATGCAAGAGTACATTATTCTCCTTTGCAACATAACCTTTTGATTTTTCAATTCAATGACAACAAAGCTACGAGGGAAATATATATATATATATGTATATTAATACCTTGACATGTTTGTCTGCGGCTGAAGCATATCCTGGTGATATCCAAAGAACACCAAGAAGAAGAATAACAAGGACAAGAAGATTATGCCAGTGATATGAACATTTTGACCTTCCCATATTGTGTATATGATAAGTTTGGTTATTGGATTATGAGAAGATGACACTTTCTCCTCTATTAATAGAGAATAGGAATACCTTGTGGATAAATTTCAAAACAGATATAATTGTTATTTTGAATTAATCCGACTTAGCCCACACATGCAAAATTATTGCACAAGTAATTTATTTTGTTCGTATGGTATCTTAGAAGGGAAAGAGTGGCAACTTGCGATATCTAATTGTTTCTACTTTGGTGATATAGTATTAGATTTATATACACATGTATGTACGCATATAGTAGTATGAACAAAAGGAAAATCTTGCTAACTTGAATTCGAATTCAAGAAAATAAGTTTTAGCTAGAAAAAAACTTTCTAGTAATAGCTTTAAAGTTTTCCAATGTTGATACAATGTCTTGTAAGGCTCTACCTCTACTCCAATGTTTCTCTTGTAAATTATACCACATTTTGACTCGTATATTATTATGTCACCATCAGCTTATTACAGATTGCTTAGCTTAACCCTTTAGTCATTCACTCAATTCCAACAATGACGTTTTTGTTATCAACAAAATGTTGTTTTTCTTTATATAAAAATGGTTCTCTCAAACTGTGGGTCTTACTTAGATGATTATAGGCTCTCAGATTGGGCCGTTTCTAGAAAACCTTTGTCGGAACCCATTTGCGGCCCATTGTTATTAATTGGGGAAAATCAAATCAAAGAAGAAGAAGACTTGAGCAGTCGGCAGTAGCATTTCAAACCCTCGCCTGAGCTTCTTCCGTCCGACTGAAACCCAAAATTGCGGAAGGATTCTGATGTCATTGATTCGTGTCTCCCGCCAGAATTCATCATTCTCGTTGGCGCTCCTCACGCGCCGCCTTCATTCCGGCGAAACAGTCTCCGCGTCTTCTTCCTCGTCTCGACTCCGAGAGCATTACAACTTTGAACCACCACCGCCTCTGCCGTCAGCCTCTGAAAACCCAAACCCGAGCCAGAAGAAGAAGAGTCCGAAGCCGCAATACCGTCCACCATCGTCTTTGGAAGGTGTGAAGAAGGTGCACTCGGATCTTCCGTTCGATTTCCGGTTCAGCTACACGGAGAGCAGTTCCAACGTGAGGCCGATTGGACTGAGAGAACCCAAGTACTCGCCGTTCGGTCCTGATCGGTTAGACCGGGAATGGACTGGTGTGTGTGCGCCGGCGGTGGATCCGAAGGTGGAGTCAGTGGATGGAGTGGAGGATCCGAAGCTGGAAGAGAAGAGGAGGAAAGTGAGGGAGAAGATACAGGGGCCACCACTCACTGAGGCTGAGAGGAAGTTTCTGGTAGAGCTCTGTCAGAGGAACAAAACCAAAAGGCAAATCAATCTTGGTAATGAAAATTCAATTCTTTGGTCTTTGAATTGGGCTCTCTTTTGCTATAACAAACTGTGTGTGTGTGTGTGTGTGTGTGTGTGTGTGTATAGGGAGAGATGGATTGACTCACAACATGCTGAATGATATATATAACCATTGGAAACACGCAGAAGCAGTTCGGGTCAAATGTCTTGGAGTCCCAACTCTCGATATGAAAAACGTTATCTTCCACCTTGAGGTGCTCTTTTGATCCATCTCCATTTTAAGTCTCTAGCTTGCTGTAATTGGGAGAAACTAAAGAACTGCTTGCTGTTGCGTTTTACAGGACAAAACGTATGGACAGGTGGTTTCTAAACACTGTGGTACCCTTGTCTTATACAGAGGGCGCAACTACGATCCAAGGCAAAGGCCCAAGATCCCATTGATGTTGTGGAAACCTCACGAACCTGTGTACCCTAGGCTCATTAAGACAACTATCGATGGTCTTACCATCGAAGAGACCAAAGCTATGAGAAAGAAAGGCCTAGCGGTTCCTGCCCTCACAAAACTCGGTCTTTACATGCCTTTTTTCTTTTGTTACTGTATATTCTTAACTGTTGGTTGCTCTTGTTTATTGAAATCCTTCATTGTTTCAGCCAAGAATGGCTATTATGGTAGCCTTGTTCCAATGGTGAGAGACGCTTTCCTCGTAAGTGAGTTAGTACGGATCGATTGCTTGGGACTGGAGAAGAAGGATTACAAGAAAATTGGAGCAAAGCTTAGGGTGAGATGTTTCTTTCACCGTCTCTTTTTCTTTTGGGTTTGCTGCTTGAAACAAAGGCTAACATCTTCCAAGTTTATTCCGTCTTGTCAAGGATCTGGTCCCTTGCATCCTGGTTACATTTGACAAGGAGCAGGTCGTCATTTGGAGAGGTAAAGACTATAAGCCACTAGAGGACGACTGCGATTTTGGAATCTCCTCCTAACGACAGCAGAATCATTGATTAAGTATTCTTACTCTCAGAGAGATTACACTGCACAGTGCTTTGTTCTAGCCAAAGCAACATCTCTCGGTGTTTTCTTTTCCTTTTCCGAATTCTGAATCTTGATATCCGGAAATGTATTCGTTATTTAATACGAATTCGACTCTCAAGTATAAGTATATATATAACAAGGAGAAACATACGACTAATTAACTATAGATCTCATAAGGTCCAAAATAAACCAACATTAGTAGAATAAACATCATTCTCGTTTTATCACTGTTGAGGCAGAACCACCGGTCCCCGACGGTGGCTGATGAGCTGGCACTTGTCCACCGTGAAGAAACTCACGAGCCAGAGCTTGGAGCTCACCGCCTCCGCCCATATTTGACGGCGACGGGACTCCAAAGAAATTATCCGACGGTCGAGGCTGTTGCTGCTGCAGAGCCCACGTGGAGGACATCGGCTCCAAGATGGAGGAGAGATCGTACACCGACGGTGATAGTGTGGGCAGGTCCGATATGGAAAGAGGCGGTGGAGATCCAGAAGACGTCACCGGAGCTGGCGGTGGTTGTGGCATCTCTAGAGTTGCTAAGTGTGCTTGTACGTATGAAAGCTCAGTTTGCAAACTCACCACCTGTTTTTTTTTAGTTTACAAATTATATCATATCATACAGATTTAGATATATGCTTAAAAGTAATAACAATGCCAAATGAAATATTGAAGAGAGATAAGAATCTAAATAATCATATTTCAAGCAATAACTAATAATTGGAAGAGTTTCCGAATTGGAGCAAATGTTGATTATTCACTAATGCCAAAAACACACGACAGGGGTAATTGATCAATCAAGACCACAAATTTGGAAAAATATAAACCAAATCGAACAATCTTATATACACCAAAAAAGCACAATATCCATCTACTATGTATAAATAAATGCTTGCTTGTGACACTGAAGATATCCATCACAAACATCATACTATATAGTGCAATTGCTTACGTGTATATTTATCTATATATTCGAGTAATGTATGTATACATCAAAGTACCTATATTGCAATTGATCAGAAATATAGAGGATGCTTGGAAATAAGTGTAAAACAACGTGGTTGTTGCGAACAGAGGAAGATTTGTCATCTCAATCAATGGCTTGGATTAACTTAGAAAACAACTTTGTATATATTGGACGAAACTAATACATATGCTCAATGATATTCATCGCTAATTCCCAAATCTTAGCTAGCTAATTAACAACGACTTTAGCCATATTAATCAGGAAAAAAAGAAGAGAGAAAGGCCTTCATCTGTTATGTAACGCACTGGATCATGTGAAACACACACACAATCAATTATGCATGTACTTTCTAAATAAACTACAATTATTAAAATTGTATGCAAATATAATCAAAGATCAACTTGTTCTCTACATTTACATGTAATCACATACTGTATCTATAGGCTATACCACACACGTAATTTAACTTAAAGACATAACTTTACCCAAAAGGCAAAAGGCGATAAAATTTAACTAGAACAAAATAATTTTATTTTAATTTTCATGCCGATTATCTCAACACCTTAAACAAAAAAAAAAAAAACATATATCCAAAGAATGAGAGAACACATTGGAATTAAAACGCATTTTTTCGCGATGCTTAGGAGAGAGTAATTTGCATGAGGCTTGGATAGAAACGACAAGAAGAGAATAGAGTGAAAGAAAGAAAAAACAGACCAAGTTTGTACTATGAAGAATAAGTTTCTTAAAAAATAAATAAAAATAATATAATTCATTGGAAAAATGATGAAAGAATTGATCAACGTCACGACACAAAGACAGTAAATTGTTGCGATTTCCCATCATATACTTGTGATTATATGATAATGAGTGATTAATTTAATGTACTAATGTATGGATTAAATTACCTGTTGCTGAAGAGAGACGATGTGAGAGACGCAGCCGTAAATAGGGTCTCTGAGACGAGCCTGAGCCTCGAAGCAGATTGAAACGACGGCGTCTGGTCGTTTATGCTCGGGGACATGGTGGAGGAGTTTTGAGACGTTGCTCGCTCCGAAAACCTTGTGAACCGCCGCGAAGTGCGCCGCTCCTTGCTCGGAGTCGAAATAGGGCGCGAATATGCAGCCGGCGACGCACTTTCGTCTCAGGAACTTGCACGCACCGCACGGTCCTCCTCCTCCTCCTCCAACGCTACTGCTAGGGTTTCCGCTACTGCTCATCCTCCAGTCACTAACCTATTTTTCTTTTCTTCTCTTCTTTTCTTCTCTAATGCAAGGCAAGGTTTTTACTAGCTAATTCATGATTAGGGTTTTGAGAAATATAGAGTTATAATTCGTCGAGATTAGGATGTTTTTGGTTCGTGATTATCAAAGAGAAGAATAAAAAGGAAACGCTTGGGAGAGAGAAGAAAGGGGGAGAAGGAGGAGATCGGACAGAAACAAAACTAGGGCTTGGTTTGGTGCTAATTGGAAATGTTTTTATTTCCCCCATAAATACAATAACAGTAGTATTTAGTAGATAAGAAAATAAATGCTGTCACTAAATAAATAATAATTAGCTGTGTTTATTAGTTATTACCAAAAACATAAAAGACGGTTAAGGCAAGAGGAAAAAAAAATCCTTCAAAGCAACGCGATGGAGCGTACTTGTCTCGTGTTAAGCTCTTTGCGTGAAGCAAAACATTACATATCTCTCAACTTCTTCATTGTTATTCCCTTCCTTCATATTTTCTACTTATATCTTAATCTAGATAGTTTATTCATGCACATTCAATCTAAGATATTGGTTTTGCAATTGAGCTCTATGTAAAAAAACTTTTTTTGGTGAATATGTAAAAAAAACTTAAAATTAGAGAAAAATATATTCAAATTTAAACTTATTAAAAAAATTAATTTTAGCACTGATTTTGATATAATATTTTTTTATTAAAAATGTAACGGTCCAACGCTATACGTTAATTTTTTGTTTTATTAAACGAATATTCTATTAATATCTGACAATGTGTCTAAAAAGTTTTAACGATTATTTCTGTCAGATTCTTAAAATAATATAGTTTTTAATTTTTTAACTTATTTTATTTTTATAAAGTATATAACTCAAATATATATTGTCAAATTATAGTTTGGATAACAATACTAATAGCATCAGTATTGCAGAGTTCATGTGGAGTTCGTAAGTGAAAAAATAAATAAAAATATATAAAAAAATGATGTGATAAATCTATTTTTAAGAATCGATTTTTCTCTAAAGATCATTCTAAACATATTATTTAAATTAATAATATATTTAGTGATAAAAAATATTTAAAAATTCGATAGAGGATTGTGTAATACTGATGCTCTAATACTTGAACAAATTAACAGAGTCATCTACTCTTTACCTACGTATGCTAAACTTGTGTAAGTAGAGAGAGATGAAGAATATGTATTTTCCAAAATAAATAGATTATGTACATACGATCCGGCAACGAAGATATGTGTTCAATCTTATATCAAATGCATTTAACGGAAAAAGGTTTGAAGTACGCAATCTATATTTTGGTTATTCGATATTCCAATTTTAGTTTTTTTTTGTAATTGATATATATTCGATTAAGATACAAAATAGGAAACTACCCATGAGGTTGGCTTTCGTTTTTTTTGTGTGTACAACTTCGAATAAATCTACAAGATTAGTGTAATATCCTAACCAATCATTGATCCGGATCAAATATTACACTATAAATGACTTTAAATTTGGTGACGGGCAAAATGATCAGCTATACAACACGAGTGTGTGCATGTATCTCATCATCTGTGACGATTACGACGGTCCAGTCACCAATTTTAGCAAGTGAAATTCTCCATATTTTTTTATAAAAAAAATGATGGTTTGAGGAGAAAATCAATTATTGTAACATGATCTGTTGGTTTAGCAACCGGTTAATCAACAGATCGAAATGGGGGTCAAAACAATGAATAAACAAACCGGGATTTGCAAGAACCGGGAAACAAACCGGGGTTCGCCACGTGTGAATAATAATGACTTTATGAACGTAACGGATCAGTGCAACTTCGCTGACGCAAGCATTCGCGCGTGGGATCCACATTGCGAGTATGCAATGTTAGTAACGCTCCAATTTTTGTTTTAAATTTTGTTTTGTTTTTAATATACACTGCACTGATCTAATTTAATATTGAAGACGGAAGAAGATAAAACCAAATTATTTAATATTTATAAAAAGAAAAGAGAGAAACGGTAACAGTTGTAAACAGAGGGTCACCGTGCCGTCCGCCTCTTGTCTAATCCTTGTACTGTGAACAAACAAGACAGACACTCTTTTTACGCGACACGTGTCCTACTCCGTTCCTCACCGCTTGTGTACGCTAATTACACACTTTTTTGCATTTTATTTATATATACATGGCCTAACAACAGACCCAATGCATTCACAATGGAAGCAAATAAACAACCCCCAAAATGACAACTAATTATTTTCTCATGTATGGTATACGTTTTATGATGTCGTCATTTTAACATTTGCTGATTACCTAAAGCAGGGCATTAAAAGGCCCAGCCCGTTAACATTTTAAAATCCCTAATGAATGGCCCAAAAGGGGTTGGAAGAAGGTAAGCATCCTGTCAAACAGAGACATCATGACCAGTGACTGACTGAGGTTTGTACTTGCGGCGAAGCAAACAGTGATTAAGTGTCTTGTCAGCCTCTGACATATATTGATATATACATATATATATATATGATACACACGTGTGGCGAGTGGTCGCACGTGTGGGTGAAAAGAAACCTGCGGCGGTTGGCGAGAGTGAGAGAGAGTGGATACGTCAACAGACGAATGAGTGTGTTTGCTTCACGCAAAGCTTTTCTCTTTTTGTCCTCTGTATTTTGCACATCCATCCGTTTTGCCGTTGCTTCCAAGCTTTAGCCATTTACATTCATTCTCATTACTGTTTGCTCCTCATCCTATTAATCTATTATAACCCCACGAAACCCTCCTTCACGTCTCATCAATATCTTAATCCAGTTCTAAATCACATCGCTATCTTCTGATCGTCTTTACTCACAAGTCACAACTCACTAATTATATCTCATAAGTACCTAAACGAATCCAATACAATTCCCTACTTTCTAGACTTCTAGTCCTAGTGTGATGCTTATAAAATAATAGTGGTAACACATAGCTTTTTAAATAAAGATTGAAGTTTGGCCTCAAACCTCTATTACTGTTGTTTTTTGGCCTAACACAACCTTTTTGGTGGATTTTTTTTCTAAATTTTGAGTAGTCTACATGTACAAGTCTTGTTTTTGTAAACGTATGCTTTTCATTGAGTTATGATTCGAGAATATATCTTTCAATTATCTATCTTGTGGCTAATTGATTGTGTGTGACTTAACTTATAGTTATAGATAATTAAATTAAGAAAACAACTATAATATGCACATAAAGAAAAGGATGTTGTAGAATGTAATGATCATAAATGACCCACAACCAAAAGCAAGACATGATTTTCTTGCCTGACACGATCCTCTATGCTCCACCTTAAGTAAAAAAACATTAATTCATAAAACTAACCCATCCTCTTCTCTCTCTCTATTTGGAGTATGAATATATAATTTGTCGATGAGGAGGACACTGCTTCACCCTATCCCTTCCCAAACAAATCATTACGTCTTGACGGAAAAGATGAGCGGAAGCACCATCGGCGGTGGAAGTCCGTGCGGCGCATGCAAGTTTCTACGGCGGAAATGCGTGGCTGAATGCGTCTTCGCTCCCTACTTTGACTCGGAGGAAGGGACGGCTCATTTCGCGGCGGTGCACAAGGTTTTTGGAGCCAGCAATGCCTCCAAGCTCCTCTTGATGATTCCGGCCAGCCGGAGACTTGACGCCGTCGTCACGCTTTCTTACGAGGCTTTGGCTAGGCTTCGCGACCCTGTCTACGGATGCGTTGGTCACATCCTCGCCCTTCAACGCCAGGTATTCTATAATCCAATCATGTTTTCATGTATCTCTGAAAATCTGTTCAAAGATTTAGAGGGCATGCATGCATGTATATTGTATAGTTCACAAACTCATCTTGTAATTAACGTTAGGTTAAACATATACTCTCCATATGTGATGAGATTATGCATCCACACAAACAACTTGATTAACTTGCTACTTCAGTTACAGTCCCATCTTGGTTTTCTGAATTTATTTTTTTGAAATTTGCATATGCTACTACATTTTAAATTTTTAATTGGTTAGCAAGGGTCAAGATTACCAGCCTGAAAACAAGGTAACGTGTGCCTTCCCAAGGGCTCGTTTGTCGAAAACCGAGTTAGAGAAGTCAAATATTGCCAATCTTTGTGGTTTCTGAAATTTGCATATGCTACTCAAATATTGCCAATAATAATAATAATAACCATTAACGTTGTATTATGAAAACAATATGCGTAATGTTTACAGTTGTAAGATTTTAAAACGTCGCCGCACATGTGAACAGGTGATGGATCTACAGGCGGAGCTAGCCACCGTTCAAACTCATCTCTCAACTTTTCAGCGCCTTCCTCCGCCGAACCCTCCAAACAATTCACCGACAGAAGTAGCCTCTTCATCTAGTGCACCACTCGTTGCCTCTGTCGATTATAACAACAACCACAACGTGTCTTCTTCTCAACAACAACTGCCAAAAGAAGATATTGAGGTCTCAAAAGAGTCAGTGGATTTTAGCACATTGTTGGGCCTGGAAGATCCATTGGACGAAGACGGTGATCTTAACACGCTTGCCCGTCAGTTCTTCTCCAAGTATTTGACCGGAGCCAAATTCCGACCATCTTCTCCGATCTAACTGCAGACCTTTCTTTAGCTACTAACCGGACTGCCGAGTAACTATCATCATTTTTATAAAAAAAAATTGTGTTAATATGTTCTATCGGTTTTGCAGCCACTCTCACATCACTCACGCAAGACGTCGATATGACACACATTTTTTTCTAAAAAAAAGAAAAACTTATTATGTGTCGGATTATAAAATTTTGTAATTCAGAGTGCCAAGTCCAAATTTAGGTGAGCGAGGCCCGAAATATTAAGGCCCAACCCATTTCCATAAGGGCTATAGAGAATGAATGACATCGTGATTCTTGCATCCTTCATCTTTTACCTATTGCAGTGGGACTAAATTGTGAGCAGAGTTCACAATTTCACATTATACTATTCTTTCTCTCTATGGAGTGAATTTTTCTTGGGAAATAAACAATATTAATGTATTATCATTAGCGTTAATCTCTTGTTTATAATATTTGAGTAACTAATTAAGAAAACAGTGAAGATGGTCTCGAGACCTCGAAAAGTTAACTGGAAATCAGGAGTATGTTGACACGTAATGATGATCCAAAACTTTTTCATGTGCCGGGATCCTATTGAGATACGGATAAATTCTTATTTAACATCATACAATTCAAATGTTAAAAGTTTATTAAATCGATACTTTTACCTGCAAGTAAAAGCAATACTATAGGACTTCACTCTTTACCCTATTTAAGTTTTTCTCTTCCCTTTTCAAGACTTTTAATTGAAATTTGTTGATAAATTTCGTAACAAACACGAGATTCCCAATCAAAAATCCCACGTTCCACACAATACACCTATTATTGTTTTTTTTTTTTTTGCCATTTAACAAATAACCATAATTTAAAATTTGGGATTATATTATATATGCAACTATGCAAGAGATATGAAAAAGCATTACTGACATTTTTCATAAGAAAATGTAATAAAATAATATAATGTGGTGCCAAATAAAAAAGAGAGTCACACGAGTCAAAAGGAGACAGAAGGCAGCAGAACAACTGGACAAAGTCAAACGGCTTATTATTCTGACCGCTTGTCACTTTATTACATCTCACCCACCAATCGCATTCCTTCATTTTTCCTTCTCTCCGTATGTAAACAATTGTGTATTAATGTTATAGTGAACTAGAAGAGTTGAATAATACTAGAGAGTAGAGACTACCCAGTTTGTAATAAATAAAAAAAATCTGAATCCAATAACATATACTAGCATTGAAGAAGAAGAAGAAAAATTGAAAAGTGTAAATAATTATTATTCAGATTTATTTTTAACCGAAGATATGGTCGTAAAAAGGGGAAAACAGTAGTTGTTAATTTACGTGGGAGATAAAAAGGTAGTAATGTCAAGGAGAAAGGACTAAAACTAAATCTTACGCAAACAGGACATTACTTTCTTTTTACATTTGAAATTTCAATCCGGACGTGAAATTATTTATCAACCAAAATTCACTGTCGGTCTTAACGACAAGATAATTAGTATACTACTAGTATTTATTATAATATTTATTTACTTTCTATATAAATATCTCTTGAAATTCTAAAAAGAAAAACCTAATTTCTCTCTTCTTCTTCTTGACGTAAATTGTTTTTTTTTGTTTTGTTTCTGCTTTAGTCTGGACTGGGGACGGCCGGGAAGTTGACGGCTTTGAATTTCCGGCAATTAGAACATAAGTCTTTTCCGGCCATCTGAGGAGGAGAAATCTGTTGTTCTGTTTAGGCGAACTCTGACGAGAATGTTGGAAACTTGAGTGATAGAGGAACTTGAGAGAGTTTAGACATAATAGCTGCTTCAGGTCCTTCACTTTCTTTCTCTGTTTTTCTTTTTTTTTGGTAATTTTCTTGTCGTACTTATAGTGAGATCTCATTGCTTATGATTTTGCCTCTGCCTTTCTTTTAGTTTTCCTGCTATTATTTATTTTGACTCTGATCTCTATATTTGTACGGAACAAAATCCAAAGAAAGTTACAGTGATTTAGTGAAAATTTTCAATTTGTAGTGTTACAGAACAAAAAGATGCCAACTTTACACTTGAAAATTAGCTTATGCTTGTGAAAATTTCGACTATTTTGTAAAAAATTTAGGTGGTGTTCTTGAGCTCAAGCCTTAGCCAGACTGATTAGTGATATGTTTTTATTGAAAATGATGAACTTTTTCATTATTTGAATCCATTGTTTTCATTTGTAGGTTCTCTCTTTCTCTCTCTAGTGGCTTGCTGAGTTGATTTGACAGTAAAAAAGAGGAAAACAAGTTTGAAATGGAAACAAGCGACAGAATTAGCTCTGGTGTGACTGTTATAGGAGCAGAAGCTCCATCGGCGTATCACATGGCCCCGAGACCATCAGAGAGCCCTAACCAGTTTGTGGCCATGGACGCACCAGTGGCTACTGCTGGGGAAGCCTCGGGGAAGAAGAAGAGGGGCAGACCTCGTAAATATGAAGCTAATGGTACTCCTCTGCCGATGCAAATTTCTTCATCAGCTCCTCTTGTGAAGAAACGAGGAAGAGGGAAGCCTAATGGTTTCGATATGAAGATGCCTCAGAGGATGGGAGGATTCCATACTTCTGGTAACTCTTCATTCTACTTGATCCCTCCATATCCTTTTCTAATTCGGTTTCTCTTTCTCCATTTGCATAAAGCTTACCTCTTTTTCGTGTAGAGATTAGTGTTTGTTTTTAAATGAAATGCTTCTTTACGTGGCCAAATCATTGGAAGAATGGTATTGAGCAAACGCAATGTTCCTTTATATAGATATTGCGTCCAAGCTTTTCTTTTTTGCTCAGTTTGACACACTTTTTTTTTTATCTTCCTTGCAAAGTTGAAAACTTGTTTCCAACTGCCAAAAGCTTTCGTGCTCATTGGATTTGGAAAAGAGTAAATAAATTGCTTTTTTTTTTTAATTCGGCTTTCATTACATAGAGCTTTTGTAGCCTACACACTCTACAAAAATGCAAAAGGTTCTTAAGTAGATGGTTAACTTTGGCGAGTGTTGCAGGTGAAATGTTTGGGGTTGCGGGTGGTGTTGGATCAAATTTCACGCCACACATAATCACAGTGAACACTGGTGAGGTATGTATTAAGAGAGAGGGGAAAAAAAGGGATTAGATATCAGTTGAGAGGAGATTTTTTGTGTTTGTTTTGCATTTGAATGATGTTGGATTTGTGTTTGAATGAAGGATATTACAATGAGAGTGATATCGTTTTCACAACAAGGACCGCGAGCTGTTTGTATTCTATCAGCGAATGGAGTGATATCTAACGTCACCCTTCGCCAGCCTGATTCCTGCGGTGGTACTCTCACCTACGAGGTTTGTCTCTACGCACAATCCATTCAAAGAGTTATCAGAGAAACTGAAACAGAATCCTCCATTTTTAGAGTGAAGCAGGTAAACTGAAACGTAAGTGGTTGGTTTGTTTGCAGGGTCTGTTTGAGATTCTGTCGCTATCTGGTTCGTTCATGGAAACAGAGAATCAAGGTTCAAGAGGTCGGTCTGGTGGCATGAGCATCTCTCTGGCTGGTCCTGATGGTCGCGTTGTCGGTGGCGGCGTGGCAGGCCTGCTCATTGCTGCCACTCCCATTCAGGTGAATCCAGCATCATTTTAAGCCGCTATTCTTGGATGTAACCGTCTCATCAAGTTTGTCGTTTCTTGAAACAGGTTGTTGTTGGCAGTTTTGTAACGAGTGATCAACAAGAACATCAGAAACCAAGGAAGCAAAAGCTCGAATATTCTTCTGCAACGGTCATGTCACTGCCTCCTCCCCCTCCTCCTCCTCCTCCTCCGGCTTCTGTTTTCCCAGAGAGAGAGCAGCCGCCATCTGCATTCGACATTTCCAGCTGGAACAACGGACAGGACAACCCGAGACACTCGGCCACTGACATCAACATATCTTTACCGGCCGACTGAAGTGATATAGGATCGAAGATTAGGTTTCGGACTAACTCGCTGCTCTGTGTACAATCGTTAGGAGGATTGTTGAAGCTGAATGTTACTACTACTGTGCGCTTTTCTTGTACGCCAAGTTATCTGTCTTTTACAACTTACCTGAGCTTCTTCTACTTGTAACTCTCCTTGTCCGTCTTGCTTGTTCCCTTAGTACTAGTACCGCCAGTTTCCATTTTAGTTTTACTCATTTTTCATTGCGGATTATTCTGTGTCTGCCCCTTTTACATTGTTTTCATATGACATATTTACAGGTTATGAAATTGTGTGGTTCCACAATCATAATTTATGTATTATAGCGACTTTTATGATCCTTAATGGAACAAATAATTATCAAGCTTACAACTGCTGTATGCGTTAATTCACATTTTGACCAATCTAATTTGTAAGACACTGCTGATCCAACATCCGACGCAGAAACCCATAACGAGCACGACACAGTTCCTCAAGGTGGCCGGAGCCGTGAAAGCCGAGAGCGACGCCTACTCTTTGTTGGACTCAAAGGGAGCGTGGGAGGATTGTATGCAACTGTACGAGCACACCATCCACAGGCTCAACCAGAGCGTGTCGTGTCCCGCGGACGTGTGCTCAAGATCGGACGTGCAGGCATGGCTGAGCACCGCATTGACCAACCTAGAGACGTGTCGGGAAGGGATGACAGAGCAGGGTGTCTCATCTGATTCTTTGCAAGCCATGTTGCAGAGCATCACCATTGACGTCTTCAACGCCTTGGCCATTAACATGGTTACTCAATTCCCTATGAGGAAGCAGGGGATGGAGGCAAACGGGAACGGGTTTGGGGCGTTTGGGGAATGGGGATATCTCAAGTAGCGACGGAAACGCCGTCTATAGTGGTGGCAAAAGATGGGCCAGGGAAGTACAGGAGCATCCAAGAAGCGGTGGATGGTGCGGGAGAGAGGCCCAAGGGAAGCCAGAGGTACGTCATACACGTCAAGGATGGACCGACTGGGGAAACCAGACGGAGCTTTCCACTCTGTATTACGCGCCGAGTATCGAAACATGGGTCCGGGTTCGGGTACTGAGAACGGGGTCCATTGGGCCTGGTTTCACGTAATATCAGATATCCAGGAAGCTCTTCAGTTTACGTTACCCAACTTCATCGACGCTGCTTCTTGGCTCCCGCCTACGTTCAGAGTCCCCCTCCCTTTCACCACCGAGTTTTAACTAAAAGGCCCATTCTTTTTTTTACTTATAGAGCCCACATTTTACAGATAAGCCCTGTATCTTCTTCACTTGGTTTTTTTTTAGCCCTGGAAATCTAATAAACATTCATTTGATTAATTACTTGATCAAAGTGAAACAAAAGTGCAGCTTCGTTCTAATTTTCAAACAAGAAATACCCAAAGAAATGTGTGAATGTTTTTTTTTTTTTTTACAAATTGAGTCTCGAGTGCTGAGATTTTCAGGTTTCTCATATTTTCATATCAGTTTATTGGTATTTTTTTATAGCGGAAAACATTTAATTTTTCTTTTTGCCGTTATGAATTTGAAATACATAATAGTTAAATGGGAGCAGAAGCACGTGAATGCGTCGCAGAATTAACTAGCTCCTATCCATGGGGTTATATATTTGTGATACACAATATATAGGCACTAATAACTCTGCTCTGGTGAAACGGAATCATACCCTTTTTCAAACAATAACGTACTCTGATATTACACTAAAAAGCATTATAACATAAAACATATAAATTCAGCAAAAAAAAAAAACATAATTCACGATACAATTTAGCTAGTTTAGCTAACCTATCTGCTTCCTTAACCACACTTATTTTCACAAACATATAGGAAAAATTACATGGCTGAGTAGATAGAGTAACTATATTCCTAACATATGTTTCGAATAATACTCGAGTGACACTATTGTTTACGAAAGCATAAAGGGTGTCATAAACAGTCTTGCAATCTCCAACAAACTTAACGTCATTAGAAGCCAATTTTCGGAGTTCCTTAACCGCCATCAGCAAAACTAACGCCTCAGCTTCTAATGGGGTTGAAGTTGGAGCGATTGAACATTTTTTTGTGACCATCCTTCCTATGCAGAGACCACCCTATACTTGCTCTACTTTCCGAGGAAGACCATGAAACGTATGCAAGACAACAATACTTATATATGTCACATGCCTAACACATCATTTGAGACCAGTTGCAGTATTTCGGTTATTGTCTGTATGCTTCCAAGCGAATCACATAATAACCTTTAATTTTCTCTAAGTTACTGGATCCAAGCGCCTGAGAACTAGGAATTTTTTTTTTTTTGTTCATGTTGAATTAATGCAGGCCATAACGTCGTATATATCCTGCTGCTTTAAGTTCCATTGTACAAAAAGAATCCTTTGTCACCACAATTAAACTAGTCAAGCATGCATTTTGCAGCATGGTTTAATATCAATCTACCTGTGGAAAAGACATACGTGTTAGTTACGTTGTTACCACCAAATTCACATTAAAAAACAATTATAAAACAAAAACACTTAGTTGACAGGGGGGGGGGGGGGGGGGGAATTATATGTTTTCTACATTTACTTACTTCATGGATTTGCAAATCAAGCATTACATTGTAAAACAAAGGCAAAAATCTTCCAATAGTTTATTTTTTCCAATAGTATTCACGGATTTGAATTCGGGTAGAAATGCAAAGACGAGACAAATATAAACGACTTGGCTCTCTCTGTCATGATCAAATATCTTCAGATGTCACTAGCTCAAAATTTACAAAATAAAAATAAAAAACCATACCATATAATTGTGTTATCACAGTTAGTCAAGTACTATAGGGCACCAGATGCAATTATGATACAACTCTTTTTTTAGTGGCGATGTGATTATTATGTTATGATTTCGTTTGATTCACAAAGGTTTCACTCCCTCGGAAACAATCACTCTTCAGTTTGGCCCACGTTTAATATTTCCCCCATGTGTTACAATTTTATATATGTGTGGGTATACATTTCATCCACATAAGACGTAAAATTTATTTGTTAACAACTTGACATTTGACAAAAATAAAAAACAGCGTATTATAGTGGATTATATATTTGGAATACTTGAACAAAATAAAAAATTTCTATTTCATAATGTAATGTATTTCTGTTTTGTTCTTGAGGTCTTGAAAAGATATGATGCATGTAATAGCCGTGGCACGGCGAAGAAGTGGCTAGAAACGGGAATGTTAATGAAATCAATAGAGAGAAAGAGAGACATATACACGTGCATTGCATATATACACTCAGATGTTGATTGTTTTCCAAAGTGTTTGTGTGAGAAATGACAGCTCTCTCTCACACCTATTCAGGCGGTGGGAAAAAAGAAAAAGAAGAAGAATTTATAACAAAAATGATTTTGTAACTGGTTTTTTAAAGAGTTATCAATGTATCAGATATAATATTTTGAGGAAAAAAAGAAACAATGGAAGGTGTCTTACAAGAAAACAAGAAATTAAAAAAAAAAAGGTATCTGTCGCGCGTCGTCGCTGACAACTATACATGCCTAGCTCTGTGCATATATATGCATATGTATGTGTAAGGTAGATTGAGATATGAATGGTCAAATCGGAAATAAAACAGTATATGATCTTAAATAAGCTTCTTCTTTTTTGAACTTTTTTGCTTTAATTTCCGTTGCAGGTTTTTGCGATTATTGTACTTTTATAATTAGTCAACTTCGACGCCTTGTGTCGTCCTCGATTTTAATGTTCTGTCTTTCTCTGCATCCATGGTTTCTTAGTTGATAGTACTTTATTTTTTCTTACAAAATTCAATACAGTGATTTTTATGTTAATACATGTTATAACTATTTTTTTCTGAACACAATTACTTAAGATGCAAATAAGCTATATATACTGTTTATGCAAACTATACATGTGATAGTATTTTACTTCCAAAATATTATATTCTATGCCATAACAATGAGAATGGAAGAGAAAACCAAACTGGCTTCAGAATATGTAGATATATAAACTGATTTTTACTATGACCTAACTATTAATTACCACGAAAATCTGAGATAATTACCACAAAATGGTGGTCCTGCATTATGGAATTTAGTGAAACGACACACTTGAGGGTAAATTGAAATAATGATGACAAAATGATATACATAGGAGGAATATAGAGAGTGTATATATATAATACAAAACAAAAAAGGGGCATGGAATTGACGAGGATCGAGGGAAAGAGTGGTGTGGCAGTAACGCTATTAAGTGTGAAAACAACTGATGAATGAGCCTTTGCTTAATCACTTCCATGCACAAGTCCCTTTCCTCTCCTTCTCTCTCCCACTTCATCGAACTTTGTGTCATTTGAACCAAAAAAAAAAAAAAAACTTATGTTCTTACAATTCAATTCAAACCGTAACCAGTAGATTTCACTTCGACTGTTTGTTTATTTTACACTATCTTCTTCTTTTTTGTTACATTTATTTTTGCATTCAAGCATGTTTGATCTCTCGATACATAACAACTCTAATTTCTAATACTGCATAATGACGAAATCGTATTTAAAACATGATCTTGTAAGTATTCTATTAACTATAAAGATTTGCATAATAGAAAATCACAAAAATAAATATTTACGTTTTTGCTAATAAAACATATTCAACAAACAGAAAATGTGTTTTAGATAGTTTATTTATAGAATGAATATATTATATTATTTAATTATATAACTAATCATATTCTACTATTTAAATATAAATAAATACTTTTGAACTAAACATTTTTTTTTTTTGATAACTCAGGGTACATTCCAGACCTATGGAAGGGTTCAGACTAATGGGGGAGGTGCAGTCCATAGATAGACCCTAACTAAACATATTTATTATTTGAGTTTTACAATATTATTATATTTTTATGTACTTAGTATTGAAAATTATTTTTTAAAAAATTACGGTAATAAATTATTTTTTTCTAATTATAATTTATGTCATTTTATAATATTTAGTCTAATTATTAATATTTTAACTTTTTATAGTATCAAATAAATCTAAATTGAATAGTAGTAAAACAATAATTATTAAATACTTATATTATCCTATTCCAAAAATATATTAAATCACAAAAATATATTTTGTAATTTATTGTTAAATTATTTATTTTCAAATATTTATATTACGTCATTTCAAAAAATCTAATCAATCACAAAAATATATATTTCTTAATTTTTCTTTAAATTATTTTGCAGCTTAATTTTTTTTCCAGCATTTCACAATTATGCAATGTTACTAATTGAAGCCACTAGCTTTCCAAATTATCTAGAATTGGATTCTATGTAAGTGCATGTTAAAAACAAAGGCTTTTTGAAAAGAAAAAAAATAAGAATTTTTTGGCTAGTTTACATCCCATCTCTAAAAATACTAATTAATATCCAGTTTATATAGTCAATCCGCAATATCCCTTAAATATATATATCAACTTGTAGATATTTCATTTTTTTAATAGATTATAAAATAAAACTATTTTGAGAACAAAAATTACAGTTTGGTTTTAATTATAGATTTTTTCATTTGTTACAATTAGTATAGAAAAAAAACTGGGTGGAACAAACAGTTATGTAATGCAACAATGATGTTAGGGATTTATTTTTATAAATTCTTTTTTTTACAAATGAAAAAATAAAAACGGCACGACACTAATTCAAATTTAAGTTTTGTTTTTCCCGCTTACATGTTGTTTAAATAGTTGATAAAAAAAAAACTAATCATGTTTGTCGTATATGTATTATATGTTTGATGCTGCACACATCCTGTTTCTTTATCACTTTGAAACCTTCGTTTATTCCGCACCGACCAGCTACAACTTGGTCATAAATTAAGTATAGCAAATTAATTCAAGTACCACGATGTTAACAACCTTATTGTTTGTTTGGAGATTTTGATCTGATAATTAATCACAACGTAGAGTTTTTAGATTTAACTCTATATCGGGCTTAGTAGAAGAAAAGGATGGATATAGGGAAAAAAAAAGAAAAAAAAAAAACCGGTTCAAAGGGTAGTAAATGAGAATGCAGGTATATGTAGCTTATCTCTACAATGGCCTCTTCATCACATGTTGCCAATTTGTTTAGGTATAGTGTCTCTTCATATTTGTATATATAGAAATCTCTCTCTCTCTCTCTCTCTACCACATCTTCCTCTATATTCTCCACCGTTCTTTCTCTTCTCCTCTCTCTCTCCCTCTCTGGACTTCAACTTCTGGAGAACTACTTGACATATATAAGGTACTGCTCATCAGCCAACACTAACACGATTGTCAAAAGGTGTGGGGGGAAGCAGAATCTACTTCTATCTGATTGATCAGTCATATCTTTTCAATCAAATCAGACCCTCCTCTTACGAAAAAGAAAAGAAAAAGAAAAAAGAGTCCATGTCGAGCATGTCCATGTCGTCCTCCTCAGCACCACCAGTTTATCCACCGGACCACATCTCGTCTTCAGAGCAGCTCTGTTACGTCCATTGCAGCTTCTGCGACACCGTCCTCGCTGTAAATTTGGATTATTATCTCGGCTATTTTGTATCTATATATCAAAAGTTCGTAGCTAGGGTTTCACACATGAATGAACCAAATTAAAGTGTGATATTGGCAGGTGAGTGTTCCTCCGAGTAGTTTGTTCAAGACGGTGACGGTGAGATGCGGCCACTGCTCAAACCTTTTGTCGGTGACTGTGCACATGAGAACACTTCTTCTTCCCTCCGTTTCCAACCTTGGCCATTCCTTTTTGCCTCCTCCTCCTCCTCCCAACCTCTTGGTACATCACTTTTTTATTCATCAATAGAAATTAAGGGAGTCTTTATATGCATTATCCATCATTATAAATTGATATATGATGTAGGGCTTTTGTCAGTGATCCTTGAGAAACACAAATTTTTGAAACTCAATCCAAAAACGGTTAATAAATAGTAATCGGTCAGCATCACATGTTAGATCTAACTTCTAAGACTTGGTTCTTGTTGAATCAAACAATCCACGATGGCAATGGTTAGGGTTTATTGGACAAACATTTAATGAAGTTTAATTTGATTTGTCTTTTTGCCAATTTATTTGTTTGTTCTTCTTCTTGAAAGGAGGAGATGCGCAACGGAGGACAGAATATAAACATGAACATGATGATGAGCCATCAGGCAGCAGCAGCTTACCACTCCAATGAGTCTTTGGCTATGGCCACTCGCAACGGAAGAGTCGATCCGCAGGAAACGCCTCGTCCACCACCAGCCAATAGACGTAATGTTCCATCTTCTATATATTTCAGTATCTCAGAACTAAAAAAGAACAAAAAAGAACCCTAATTGTCAAAAACCCTACATCGCTCATTTCCTATTTAGCTGCTTTCACTTTTCATCTCCCTTTCATAGACACAGTAGAGAGCCACAAACAATCTCATATATTATATACTTTTTTGTTTATGTTTTCGATTTTCGAAGTTTTGATTGTTTTTTTTTCCTGGGTATGTGAGTTATCGCATATATATATATATATATATATTTTTTTTAAAGAAAACAATTTTCCTAGACAAAGGAAATTAATAACTCATATCTCTATCCCCCGGAAATCTAGCTAGACCTACATTTTTTCTGGGGGTAGATCGTAAGAAAGATAATGATGAAGTGATGATGATAACGAGCAAAGTGAGAGGGAGAGGGAGAGAGAGAAAATAGTCGGGGAGAGAGATGGGGATATTATTATTATTATTTGTGAATTTTTAGATTTTTGGGCAGACACAATATCAATAAAGTATTTTGTTTAAAAGGGTTTAAGTTTTTTTTTTCAAATTGAATTTGTTCTGTTTGTTTGTTTGTGGAAAAGCAGCCCCAGAGAAGCGACAAAGAGTACCATCTGCTTACAACCGATTCATCAAGTATTCATTCCTATGCTTAATATGGATAAGTTCCCTAATTAATCATTTACACATAATTAAGTTGGATGTGACAGATTACAAAATTTTGACAGGGAGGAGATCCAACGTATAAAAGCAGGCAACCCTGATATCAGCCACAGAGAGGCCTTCAGTGCTGCTGCCAAAAATGTACATTTCTTTTCTCTCTTTTTTTTTTTTTTCCTTTGATAATATTTTCATCCCTTACTTTTATCACGAATTTTGGTACAATTATTAACATACTACTTAGTCGTTAGGGAGAAAACCAACAACAAAAACGAGATGCAAATTTGTTACCGTACGTATAATAACCACAAGTTATAATAAGTCTTGTCCAGCTTATATACATATGTTTAGAATAGCCCTTAGGGTAACATTCGATAAGGCCCCAAGCAAATATTCAATTGGTTTTGTTTATTCTGACTAATATATATTTATCTGACCACAAACTTTTGTTTATCTGCGGTTGAAAATGTGAACATAATGTAATAAGATAGATAAGTAACAAACCGAAAAGCTAAGTTTATATATAGTTCAATTCAGACCAATTTTAGCTAGCTAACCCTAGACTGGTGTGCGGAACAGTGGGCCCATTTCCCTCACATACACTTTGGTCTCATGCCTGATCATCCTCCCGCCAAGAAGGCTAACGTGCGCCAGCAGGTTACTACTATCTTTAGCTTTACATATGTTTGATTAGTTAAGTACTAGTCATCGTTAGTTATTAGAACTTATACATATTATGTTTATTTGTATAATCGAAGGAAGGAGAGGATGCGATGATGGGAAGAGAAGGGTTCTACGGTGCAGCCGCCAATGTTGGTGTGACCCATAACTAGCTAGGGCTTTTTTCCTTCTTTCTATTAATTAAGGTTCGCAATTAAATTCTTAAATGTTCAAAATGCATGTGGTTAATTTCAGCTCAAACTTAACTTATTATTACGATGATATTGATAATCGATCAATCAGGAGACCTTTCGTGCTACAAGTCTGGGAACTAGTGTATAATTTTTTTTTTCAATACGTATTCATTTCGATTGCTTTATACTAGTATTATACAGGCCGTGAATATATTTATTATCAAAAGCAGTAGAGAGTAGGCAGTAGCTAGCTTCAACATAAATTTAAGATAATGTGTTTTCTTTATGATTTCACCCCGAAGTTGAAAGATGTATATACATACATACATATTGCCATTGGGTTGGCTCATCAAAAACAAAACACAATGCAAAGACGGAGCTTACTGCCTATGGTACCCATTGGGCTTTACGAAGCCCACTGATTTTGCTCAGCTCAGAAGCAGTTTATATTTTAAATTAATTTGTTTTTAGACTAAGTGACAACATACTTTTTGACCAAAAGGCTGATGGAAGTGGAACGTTACACAGTACAGAGAAATAAAGGGAAATTGACTGATATAATCATATAAATATTTATAATTTAAAAAGTAACCATATCAATATAGAGGCTATTATATTTCTTATATATTTTATAATATATACCAAAAAATTCTTAATTAAAAATAAAGTAAAAACATTTTTATTCTTAAACATTCGATCTGATATCTCTAACTCTTCCATTCTGCAATTTTATTATAGTATTCTATATTAGAAAAGCTTTTGCATATCAACATATACTTCATACAATTTCATATAGTATAGCACAATTGGGATCATATGTACATCATGCCATTCTTGTCCCCAAAATCATAGTTCAGAAATTCAATGAACATAGAATCCTTCACCATAACTAGCATATATATACATGTTGCTATAGTATACACAATATATCGTACCCAATAAATTTGGAAACTATTCATTCCATTATATTTTTCAAACACACATGCAATCTATTAAGTACTATCCCTAACTCTTTTATTCTGCAAATTCATTATAGCATTCTATATTAGATATAATGGTATAGGTGTGTGAGTAGAAATATCTACTACTTATATTGATGTCACATGCAAATTTTGACAGTATGGATTTCCGATTAAAATCGAAGGGTTGTAATGTAATTTTTCTAAAAGTCATGATTATTTCTCTAATTATTTGAATATAATAGTTATATTGTTATATTTTTTTCTAATATAATTATTATGCTAAAAAGTCCAGAAATAAATGAGGCACACAATAAATTAAGAAAAATTTTAAAAATTAAAATCGAGGACCGACTGCAAGGAGATATTACCAGATATAGCCTTCGATATCCAGGCGAGTCTTTCGGGGGGTATGGGGTTATTTCTGTCATCTTCCACATATATAGTGACGTGCGAGGGACACAAGAGCCTTGTAATAGTAACGGCTAACGTAACGGTCGTTTACACAGACAAATATCACAGTCAATTGGTGACCGTCAAAGCTAAAGTTCGGTTGGCTCCCAAAGAAAAAAAACGCCATTTACCATTTTCGTCTCAATTTTTCTTGAGCCTTGTCTCTGATCAAATCGAAATTTGTTCGTTAACCCTAGATTCAATTTCGTCAGGGATTCGAATTCGATCTAGAAACATGACGACCGGAGATCTCGTCAATATCCATCCCACAGAGCTTAAGTTCCCTTGTAAGTTTTTGATTTCTGCGATAACAAAGGGAAATTGGGAATGAATTTGAATGAATGCCTTAGTTTTCGAATTCCGGTTGGCTCGTCGACAATTGTCGCCTGTGGCTTTCTTTTCAATCGAATTTGACGATTGATTTATGTTTGGTGAAGTTGAGTTGAAGAAGCAAAGTTCGTGTTCGATGCAATTGACCAACAAGACAAGTAAAGTTGTCGCATTTAAGGTAAAAGTTCTTCTTCTTGGATTGCATTTAAATGCTTTCTTTCTTAGCTTGTCGGAAAGGTGAAAGCTTTGCTGTTATATCCAAAAACAGGTCAAAACAACGAATCCTCGGAAATACTGTGTCCGTCCAAACACGGGTGTTGTCTTGCCCGGAGACTCCTGCAATGTAACAGGTTAACTTGTTTCTTTAATCTCTGGAATCAGTCGTAACTGAATGGTCGAGTGCGTATTTGTTACCAACAGTTTGGTACTTGCTTTGGTTATAGTGACGATGCAAGCCCAGAAAGAGGCACCTCTGGATATGCAATGCAAAGACAAGTTCCTTGTGCAGAGTGTTACTGTCTCAGACGGTACAACCTCGAAAGAAGTAGTCGCTGAAATGGTTTGGACTCAAATGCCTCATCTCAAGATTTGATTGTTTGGTTCGGTCTCTTACACCAAATGTGTGGGTTGTGCAGTTCAACAAGGAGGGCGGTAGAGTGATTGAGGATTTCAAATTGCGGGTTGTGTACATCCCGGCTAATCCGCCGTCACCTGTCCCAGAAGGATCTGAGGAAGGCAACTCCCCAAGGAACGAGATCGCTGGCTCGCTTTTTGACGACGTGAGAGACTATTAGATACGGAGTGAGATAGGATCGTTGACTGCAACTAATCTTATCTTCTTCTTGTTTCAGGTGTCGAGAACGCTAGAGGAAACAAATGAGAAATCTTCCGAGGTAATTGTCTCTTACACTCTACATTCATTATATCTATACATACGTACTCAGCATCACTGTGTCTGCTCAGGCTTGGTCCATGATTTACAAATTGACGGAGGAGAAGACTAGTGCTACACAACAGAGTCAGAAGCTCCGACAGGAACTGGTACTAAGTCAGATATACTTGTCAATTTGCGTAACAAAAGGATATTAATATGTATTGTTTATATTCAGGAAATGCTGAGGAAAGAAACAAGCAAGAAGCAGCCTGGTGGACATTCCTTGGTGTTGATGCTGCTGGTGGGTCTGCTCGGCTGCCTCATTGGCTACTTCTTGAACCGGACTTAACCAGAACGACGCTATGGGGTTAGCTTCATCATCAAAAATCTTGCAAAGTTTTTCTTTTTTTTTCACCAGAGTTTCTCAAGCACCCAGATGGGTTTCATTCATATTTAGGCTGTAAAATCAGTCATAGCTGTAGCACCAGAACAGGGGTGATTTTTGTTGAAGGTTTCTTGTTACTGGCTAAAGCCAAGTTTGAGTGTGTAGCAGTAATTAACATCTCAAAAGTCGTTGGTATGATTGGAATCAAAATCAGTTTTATTAATAAAACAAAGAAACAACAAAAGAAGAAGAACACATCAGTTAGTCTGGTTGTGTGGGATTGGTCGTCTTAACCTTGCGGTATCGCTCTTCGATGTGCTTGGCCATGGAATAGCCAGCTTGAGCCACTTTTTCGACGTTTGGGACGTTGTAGCTCTGCGCTATGTAAATCCCGCACATGGTTCCAAAGACGAAGGACAAGCAGCTTCTTATCAACCCCATTTTCCTTTCTTCTCTGTTTCCCATTTGGTTTCTCGAATATTATATAGTTTCAAGCAGAGCTACGTCTGTTCTTATCCATAACTTCTTCTCCAAGGGGTTTTTCTTTTTCTAAGATAGCAAACAAAGTTTAACTTTTCCTCCAAGGAATTCATCAGATAATATATTTCGCTGTGTCAGATAAACAAGAATCATATTTTTGAAAAAGATTTGCTCGATATTTCACATTTTGACAACAAGACAAAAACGGTTACCAGACGAGAGATAACACAAACAATTGTAGCCACAAAGGCACGATGATAAATGCCGCAACAGAGAAAAGCAAATTAAAACAAGCATTATCTTCTGCTTCTTCTTCTTTGATTTTCCATAGCTATTGCTTCAAAAATTAAAAAAACTACTAATGGCTAACTCGAAAGCCTTGCGATCCCTGCTCGCCTTGTTGCTACTCATCAACACAACATCCTCCTTGTGTCACGCCGTCAAGCAATGCCCTCCTCCTCCCATGAAATGTCCGAGAGACACGGTCAAGTTTGGAGTGTGTGGGAGCTGGTTAGGTCTGGTTCGTGAGGTTATCGGTACACCGCCGAGCCAGGAGTGTTGCTCACTCATCAAAGGTTTGGCTGACTTTCAAGCCGCACTTTGTCTTTGCACCGCCCTTAAAACCAGCCTTCTCGGAGTCGCTCCGGTCGATATTCCGGTTGCTCTTACTTTGCTTCTCAACTCCTGCGGCAAGACTCTTCCGGAGGGATTCGTCTGTTGATCTTGAACCATTTGTTATCTTGACAAGACACGGTTTCTTCTTTCTTTATTGTACTTGATATTCCTGCTTTTGAAGATCTATTAACTAGTAAGCAAATATTCGATTCTACCTACGCAGCTTATACATCGTCGCCTTGGGTTCTTCCTTTCATATGTTTCTGTTTTTTTACTTGTGGTAAACCAACAAATCACCTTTTTAACTTTGTTTTGTATGGATTACTATTTTTTTAGGATGAATTTCAATTTCTTGAGTGTGATATAGTTTTTTTTTTTTAAATTAATATTAATTTAGGAGTTTAGGAAAAATAAATCGATTTCCAAATTAGTGCGGACAAAAATGTGAGTTTTATATGAAGTCTGGTTAGAAATGTTTCCAAAATAGTTTTGATACTGACAAGGCTTTTTCTCGAATTTTCTCCGAAACAAAAAACGTGCGGATGATAATGATTGGTCATGTAAAAGCCCACATTCAAGTCTAGTTGGGAAGCCCAAGTATTATTTATCTGATTGTGAAGCCCAAATTGTTATTTATCTAATTGGAAGCCCAAATTATTATTATTTTTTGTTGACAGCGCCCAAATATCATAGTGTTGTTTTCTTTTTGGAAAAATACAATTAAGCCTACAATAAGAGACTGGCCTGCACAATAGTAATTCGATGACAAGGTACAGTATTATCATAATCAAATGTGAGTTCAGATTAGACTAAGTGTCTGGATGAATGATTAAAAAATATGAAAGAAATCCTTTGAGAAAATAAAATAAACTAATGACAATATATAGTATAGTTAGGGAGGAGAGACATCCTTACCAACTTTATGTTGTGGTAATTGTTAATGGCTTCCCGCCGATCTTGTTTGATTTATTTAATCAGAATCGTTAGTAGTATTACTTTGAGTCTAATGAGATAGAACAAATCTCCACTCTTTTCTTTTTCCTATCACTCCCATGATAGCTCCTACTAATAATTGATCAATTTTTGTCTAATCTTATCATTATCCTAAAATCTAATACAAAATGAACGACGCAATCATTTATATAGTTACATGCATACAAACTCTAACACGTCATCCTTTATATAAATTATTGTTTGACAGGGTTAAATTAAATATATATAGCTGACTTTCTTTTCCCCCTCTAATAATGATGGCAAATCATTCATACAAATCCAAATTTTTGGAGAATTAATAAGCTTTGAACAAAAAATAGGAACAATTAGATCTTTCTCATTTTTTAAAAAGATGATTAAGGGTTGGATAAATTAATTGTAATATTTAATTATCATAACTATGGGATTGAGTGGGGTTGGGTGGTTGCTTGTGGTGAAGGGTGCCTTGAGACAAGAGAAAAGAACATGTTTTCACCACTTACTTCACCCCCACGAAGCAAACCCACATATACGTTCATGTATCATATACGTATACATACATACATAATCCAACATGTATCCAATATGATAAATATATCACGGAAGAAGCAAGTTGTACGTATCATTGTTCATCCATTGCCGATTCAAACTTGAAAATGTGCCGGTACAATGATGCGTATTATGCATGTGTCATTTTAATGGACTGTTGGTTGATGATCGATATTACCTCAAATTCAGTTTTTTCACAATTTTTGTATATAACATATCACTAATATTTCGAATTAGGGGGGATCTATGAATGTAAGTATAATCAATCACGAGATCATTTCGAGATTTATAATCATGTAAGAGAGAAAAAAAGTGTGAGAAGTAGTAGTTAGCAGATCACATGGGAACATGGATATAACTAAAGAGTTAACTCCTAATATATGTCTATAAAAAAGTGAACATTTTATTGTTTTTTTATAATTACAAAGTTAAGTGTCATCAAACAGTTTATGGTATTTAACAGGTGTTATAATATGGTAACAAATAATAGTTTGCAAAATTCATATTAAGCAAGTGTTTTCAATAAGAAAGTAAATGCTTTTTTTTGTTCATTTACAAAATAATGAAACTTAAGCAATTGTCTTTATGCATTACAAAATTGGTCCGACTTTGTCTTCGAGATCAAACCACCCACCTCGTTTTTTGGTTGTTTCTGACTGCATTATTCATTTGATATTTTGGTAGATATATGGTGATTGGTGACTTGCTACATTCATCCATTGTCTGCTCAATAAAGGACTATTTCATCTTTCTTTCTCAATCTCTCGTGCATATAACTTGTCACAGAAGAAACATCATTCAGACATCTACAATCACTTTTTCTTCTTCTTCTAAATAAAGGTGAACCACATAAAGTATAGTTATTATATATACGAGTAAATTAATATATTAATATCCTCTTTTATAGTACCTGAATGTTTTATAAAATGGGCTAATAAACGAGCATTCACAACGTAAAAAGAAATAAAACAGATATTTTAATGTAATTCCAAGATAAACATTCACCACTTGGTTTGGATTTATAAATCTAAATTCATGTTCCGCAGCAAAATAAAAAAACAAAAACAAAAAACAAATGCAAGCATTGCGATGCGTGGTTTAGCTTCAACAATGGATTGGCTGATTTGATTGGTTCATTTGATAAAATCATCCAAAAGCTTGTCCAAAGCCTAAAACACCCAATTGAGGACAAAGATCACACAAAAGGAAAAAACGACAGCACCTTTGAGATAAAATAAAACCAAGAAATATCCCAAATATAGTTTGTAAGCCACAAAGTTTTCATCATAATAACAAAGTATAAGAAAACAAAACAATCCCCGATGTATGACATATCTATGCAACGTCAAATTATGGAAATTTTTGTAGTATGAAAAAAATAAAATAGATTCATCAAAGAAGTTATATTTTAAATCCTCAGAAGAAAATGAAAATTTAAAAACAAGAAACCGAGGTGGTTCTGATCAATCGTAGCCACAGGCTGCTTTGGCAAAGAACAGTATCTTGGCCGTTCAATTATCATTCGCGTCAGACCCTGCTTCGAGAACCAGTTTGGTTCAGACAATGTTTGGAGTTAAATAACTAAAATACCTTTCCATTGCTTATCATGGCAGACTTATGCACATGATTATAACCCGACGATCGAATATTAAACTCTGTTTCTTTGGTTTCCAATTTTTTATTGAAAAAATAAAAGAAAAGAAGAAGAAATTAGTCATCAGAACAATGTCTACCTCAACATCAAAGACGAGTGCTATTAATTTGTAGGATGAAAACTCAACAAAAATACAACATAAAAATAGTGGAAGTCCTTCTTTTCAAATTAAATTTAGATTTTAATATTTGGTTCTCTTAAAAATAAGGATTGAAAGGAGTTTGTGAGACACGCGCGTGGTGAAAGAGTGGGGGTGGAATGCAACAAGACACACAGAGATTAAGAAAGATGATTAAGATTGTGAGCTGATGATAATTGTTATAAGCGAAGCAAAATAAGAAACGGAAAAGAAGAGAGAGAGAGAGAGAGAGAGAGGAAAGGGATGAAGCGCACTTTGGCACTTTAATTTCTTGCACGCATCCATCCAAATCCCATATTACCACAAACAAACTCTCTTCCTCCTCTTTCGTACCCAAAACAACAATTCTGAAGAAGACAGACAGTTTCAGAGATTTTGATTTGTGGTGTTGTGTTCAAAGTCTGCAATGCCCTTACCCTTTCAAGAGTTTCAAGGGAAGGCGCTTTCTTGTTTTCCGTCTTCTTGCTTTTACCAGAAAGAGTACCAGCTTGAGCCCACCTCTGTTCTCAGCCCCCTCACCACCTCCTCCTCCACGGTGTCTTCCTCTCACGGCGGTAGCAGCGCCGTCGGAGTCGGCACCTCCACTGCCATCTCCGGCGACGCCACCACCGATGAGCAATGCGGGCAGATGGAGCATGTGCTTCCTGCTTCTCCTCCCCTCGACCACGACCACGACCACGACCAGAGCATCCTCAGGCTCATCATGGGAGACTCCCAAGACCCCTCTCTCGAATTGAACAGCATTCTCCAGACTTCTTCATCCTTCCACCATTCCGACTACACATCCCTCGGCTTCGGTGTCGTCGATACCGGCTTCGGGTTAGACCACTCGGTTCCGCCCTTGTTTCAGACACAAGCCGAGGAGAAGCCGCCGCATCTTCCCCCACTCCTCATCAACCAAAGCCAGACTCATTTCACGCAGAATCCGGCCGCCTTCTACAGCCACCATCCTCCGCCGGCAAAGCGGCTCAACATGGGCTATCCGGATCCGAGCAAACAGGGGATGATAACGGAACAGCTGGTGAAGGCGGCGGAGGTGATAGAGCGCGGCGGCGACACGTGTGTGGCTCAGGGGATATTGGCGCGGCTCAATCAACAGCTCTCTTCTCCCGTGGGAAAGCCCTTCGAGAGAGCAGCTTTTTACTTCAAGGAGGCTCTCCACAATCTCCTCCTCCACAACGCCTCCCAAACCCTAAACCCTTACTCCCTCATCTTTAAGATCGCCGCCTACAAGTCCTTCTCCGAGATCTCTCCCGTTCTCCAGTTCGCCAATTTCACCTCCAACCAAGCCCTCCTCGAGTCCTTCCACGGCTTCCACCGCCTCCACATCATCGATTTCGACATCGGCTACGGTGGCCAATGGGCCTCCCTCATGCACGAGCTCGTTCTCCGCGACAACAACGCCAACGCTCCTCCTCCTCCCCTTTCCCTCAAAATCACCGTCTTCGCTTCTCCGGCCACCCACGACCAGCTCGAACTCGGCTTCACTCAGGACAACCTCAAGCACTTCGCCTCCGATATCAACATCTCCCTCGACATCCAAATTCTAAGCTTGGACCTCCTCGCCTCCGTCTCCTGGCCTAGCTCCTCCGGTGAAGAAGCCGTCGCCGTTAATCTCTCCGCTGCCTCCTTTTCGCCGTTGGTCCTCCGTTTCGTGAAGCATCTCTCTCCGACGATCATCGTCTGCTCCGACAGGGGATGCGAGAGGACGGATCTGCCCTTCCCGCAGCAGCTCCTCCACTCGCTTCAGTCACACGCCGCTCTCCTCGAGTCCCTCGACGCCGTCAACGCCAACCTCGACGCAATGCAGAAGATCGAGAGGTTTCTCATACAGCCGGAGATAGAGAAACTGGTTGTGGATCGTAGCCGTCCCATCGAGAGGACAACGATGACGTGGCAAGCGATGTTCCTGCAAATGGGGTTCTCTCCGATGACGCACAGCAACTTCACGGAGTCTCAGGCAGAGTGTTTGGTTCAACGGACGCCGGTTAGAGGCTTTCACGTCGAGAAGAAACATAACTCACTTCTTCTCTGTTGGCAAAGGAGAGAGCTCGTCGGAGTTTCCGCCTGGAGATGTCGCTCTTGACTCCGCCGGAGATTTCACCCAACTTGCTTCTTCTTCTATTTTTTTCTTTCTATTTTTATTGAAGAAAATTGTTAATTTATATTTTTTATCTAATATGACATATATATATTTTCATAAGCTTTTTTTGTTTCCGGTATTACTTTTGCTCAGTCTCGGTGGGATAATTTAAATACGTTCAGACAGTATATAAATTTTGAGTAAATTAATTGTCTGGCTGGATTATTAAACACTTTGTATATAGCAACTCCAGTACTTGTTGTGGGAAATTATTATTTGTACCATGATAGAATGCTTGGTTAGCTTCGATTAGTTTATGTTTGTGTGGTGTGACAAACAGAGTAATTAAAAACAAATGGGTGATGATTTTGATGCAAGGCAGAAAGCTACTGCTCATTATTGTGATTATATGATTATATAATGCTTAGAGCCTGTTGTGGTTTGTGTCTCTGTGAGGGTCACTTTTGTTTATAAACATATGTCTCCATGATGTCACATGGGTCTTCTAATTTATATATAGATATTTTATACTGTATTATTTGGTCCACAATACATTTTTGTTTGCGCCGTTTCTAACTTTTTTTTCTCCGACGAAACAAAGGCTTGCTTTTTCTTTTAAATGGTCCATACATACGCATTACATAATGCGGCCGTTGCTTTACGCATTAATTGCATTTCTCTAAATAGAGATTGGATAGTACTAGTATATCTGTATATATCAAAACAAACCAATTTCATTTACATTTATTTGTTCATAAATCTGTCGCTTGTGATCTAATCAAACACCAAGGTAAATTCCGTTTTGCTGTTAATCGTAAAGAGATGATTAAATGGAGAAAGACCCGAGAGAATTATAAGAAATTTGTAGTAGTGAGAAACGACAAGAAGCCCTAAGGTATTGTCTCTTGTGCAATAAACGTTGGTTGGAGACAGTTAATTGAATAGTTGACAGATAAGCACTGCCCTGAAGCAGAAAAAGTCGGTTGTGATCGGTCAATCTACACGTGTACGGCAGAAACGCATGTGTCGTTTCCCTGTGAGAGATGATCAACGAAATCAACGGTCACACCATTGTGTAAAAATTGATCCATAAACTTGCCAACGTGGAAGGAACACAACGAGGCCATGGTCACGCGCGCTCGGCTCCACTGACTCTAAGACTAGGTCTAGGTGGCCATCATCACGTTTCGTACATTAAATGCTAATCGTTGATGAAACTGGCCAGTAAGTAAAATGTTGACTGGTCCAGACCATGTCTCACAAATCTTTTGAATTACGGAAAAGTAATTACGAAATTTATGATCATTGATGATTATCACTCACTAGGATCGATTTCATAATAACTAGCTTGCATAACAATACTGTCCTACGTATGTAATCATTCAATATTAGTAGTTTGTTATTAGGAAATCATTGTTACATGATTATGATACTATGACATTAGGAAATTTACAACCTCCACGTGGGTTCCACTACTATTCTTTAAAGATATGATATGACTAGTACTATTTGTAAAGCTGGTTTGCATTTTACTTTAGAGTTTTACGGCTAAAACCACACTCAAATAAAAATTAGTCAATAATTAAGAAAATTAATACTTTTTGTCCCCTCAACAAACTTAAACTTCCCAGTCCTAGTTTATGTCCTTCTACATGTCTTATAGACTGTTCCTTTTATGTATTTTTTGTGTACAAATAATTATGTATCTTTGACTAAAAATAGTTGAACTAATTTCAATCGTCAAAAGAAAATACGTTTCTTTGAGATATTTGCATATACATATATAAAAAGTGATTTTGTACAAACTAATAGCTTCTGACATGAAAAAAAAACAAAAAAAAGCATGTGACAGGTAAAAAATGAAAGTTTTAACTAGTGACTAAAAAAATACAAATCTTAATTTTATTTATTTATTAATAATATTTTTTTCAAATCATTTTTTATTTATGTCTTATTCTCAAAAACTAGAAACTGATATGTGCGTTGCATATATTTGTCTGTTAATTCATATTACTATTATTTATTTTACATATTGTTTTAATTTTTTATTATCATAAAATATATAAATTTATTTTAAATGTTTTTAATATAAATTATGATATGTTAATTGTTTTAAAAAAAAATTTCTTATAGTTATATGCTGTTATAAATATCTATATCTTTAAATTAAATATATTCATTTAATTAACTTTTATGCAGTTTATATCCAGCAATCAAATAATTTCACAATTGATCTCACACACTCTTTATTTTTTATTCGAAATAGATTTTTGTTTTGTTGAAAAATTGTAGTTTTTTTTTATTTGTAGAATTTAAACTAATACCATATGAAGATCCAATTTACAGTATCTCTTCAGTATAGTTTAAAGTTATTCGGATGTATATTTTTTTTCATCAGAGTATATGCATTTTTTATTAATAATATTGTTGATAGGTTTTGATGTTTATCTATTCTTTTTATGGATTTTAGTGAGCTCTCTTTGAATTTTGTGTGATTTTAATTTTTTTTTCTGATTATTTCATAAGTTTTTCAAGTATGTTTTCATATTTTATTTGATCCTTATTAAACATACTATTTTAGATTATTAGTTTTGTAATGAAACAGATTATTGGTTTGCAATTTTTTTATTTTATTTTTAAATTAATATGATATGAAAGCCCAGAAAAATGTAAACCCAAAATTTCAAAAAAATCATAATAAAATACTGAGGTGGATACTCTAGATGGAGAGAACCTCCACTAATTAATTATATATAAATATATAATAAAATATTCTTTAAAAATTTGAAGAGTAACCCGATAAAAAAAAAGAAAAAAAAGAATGAGAACTGTTTTTCAAAAGAGAAACCATTAGATATATATTTAGAAATATATTCCTTAATAAATGGCATCTTTTCAATGATTTAGTATTTTTTATATTAATATAACTCTCTTTGTTTTTAAAAATTAGATGGTTTAGGTTTTTCATACATATTAAGAAATTTTTATAAATATTTTTTCTATTCTTATTTTATATAGTTATTGGATAAATTATTATTCAAATAACACATATTTTAAGGGCAAATTAAATAAAAAATATCGATAATTACATTTATAAAATTGAAAACATTTAATGTTTTGAAACAATTTTTTTCCTAAAACATCCATCATTTAAAAACAGAAGAGTATAAGTTAGAAACAGTGTAATCTTGCCGATGATGATGATGCTCTAGCATAAGGCTAAACCACACCAATATGCACATATCTAAAGTCTCTGCTTTCGAGTATGTGGAAGGTATCTACTTATTTTATTGATAATCCTCGTGGCTCTATATACCTCAATTATATACGAAAAGTGGATAGTTTTTTTTTTGTCTAAACCCTTCCACCAAATACTATATTAGGTGTTAGATCTTTTATGACTAAAATTTAGAACTACCATCCTACTTCTCATCCTGAAAACTAAACTCTTCGTCCGATCACGTTGTCTTATATGATTAGAGCATCAAAGAGTTTTCAAAGAGATATTCATTTTTTAGTAGATGAAACTTTCATCTTATATTCATCAATTATTTTACATATACGAAAAGCTATTCACAGAAAACAAATCGAATTATACGAGAATTCTGAAATTCCACCCAGATAATTTTATATATATTTTGAAACTGTTTTTTCTTTTTGCATATCTAGTAATTAGCATATCACAAAGATTATTAAAAAAATAAAAGTTATCAACCTTTAGCCTTCTTTCTTTATTTTTTTTGCTGTGTTTGTTCTTTGAACTTTTAGGAACAATATATATGTGAAATTAATAAATACAGTAAATAACAATCATGATAAAATACACAGCTTTTGTCTTTTGTTGTCCATCAATTAATTGGGTTATATGTTTTCTTTTAGTATTTTTTAGACACAGCAAAGTACTTTTGTCTCGAAGAAGACTCTTTAGACTCTCCTAGGAGTTAGGAAGATTTTGGTTTCGTTATGATACGACTTTAACTAACATTTGTGTTCCATCTTCCCCATTGTTTTGTTAGTATTTTATTTTAACTTGTCAGTTATTACTTATTTCTAAGTCTAAAATTAATCATGTTTACGACAAAGTATTGCAATGTTATAAGATGAGCGTATATGTGTATAATTCTGAAAACTAATTTATAAACGTTGCCGATTAATATATAACCCCAAACAATGTAATATAACGAGAAATGAATCTTATACTATATATATGCCACCATAGCTTCAGGGTTGAGAGAGGAAAATAATGAGCGAAAGCATATATACATTTTATATTTTGTTTAAGTAATCACTTCTGCAGTTTATTTGAGTTAGAAATATCTTAATTTTAATCAAGTGGTCCACTTGAGGAGAAATTGTTTTGTTGGTGTATGCTAGGGATGGATTCCCTTCAAACATGAAATTATTAACAATTTCCATTTGACCGCACATATATGAATTTTTGATTTTGATCCATTTGAATGTATTTTGAGAAAAGATCTATTCATGAACTGCACTTCCCCAAAAATTAGTTTGAGCCCCTCTATAAATCTGAGATTCCTTAAGTTATCAAAAAAAATAATATATATATATATATATCTTAATTTGATATATATATTGTTTAAATAATCACATTAGGTCGATAAAATACAAACCCTACTTAAAATGATAATGTCATTGATACAAAAATTGTTTTAAGATATGTAACTTTTTAGAGAACGTAATCTAAAAAAATGGAGAACATAATTAATAATGTGAAAAGTGTGTTTTTCACTTACACGAAAGTTATAACATTATTAGATATAGTAATAAGGTAGGAGAGTAGCTGAAATTGATGGGTGTGATTTTGTATGCATGACAAAAGTTGAATTACTATTTTTATTGCCAATATCTTTTCTTGTGTTTATTTGTTTAATAATTAAATTAACGAGACAAGCTTTTGATTCAATTTTCACCATCTTTCAATCTCTATCTTACCTTTTGTAGATGCCAAGCTTGCCCACCATATCTTCTCCTCAACCTCTCACTTTACAATTGATTAATTTCAATATATAAACAAACCCTCTCAAATTCAAGATTCAACGTATGATCGTCTTAATGGAATCATTTATCAGTTTTATATCATACTATAGAAGAAGATTGAATACGTTTATCACAATATCTATGTTTGTCTTTCTATATAGCCTAAGTAGTTACTTATACCATTACACGTATATAAATTCATTGCAACGTATTGCTTTTTTTTTTTTGTTAAAAGGCCTAATTGCAACGTATTGCTTAATTCGATATTAAGCTATTCAGCCTTGAAATCCAGTTACATGTTTTGATTCTTATCTTTGATCTTTTGTGTTTCTCTTTTTGTCTTGCTTTATCCATTTACAAGTCAAGTCAGCTTAGAAACAACGCGGTATTTCCATCCCCACATTTTATATGAGTAGTTTTAATCAAAATAAAAATAAAAGTTTGACGATAAAACAAGGAAAACTAAAATATAATAAAACATTTGAAAAGGAGAAAAAGTTGGTATAGGGCCATAATCTACCAATACCAATCACACCATTCGCAATTTCGCATTGCGCTATTTCTCTCTCATATTACATAACGAAAGGTGGAAACATTCTTCTTTTGTATGTATAGTATCAACTAAAGACTTGACAAATTATCTGCGTAATACTCCATTTGCTATATTTGCTTCAGTTCACCACCTGAAAATTTAGAAATATTCGTAACTGTTAGAAAATTGTATTGGAGTCTAAAACAGAGTAAAAAGGAAATAAAATGATAATTATATAAAAAATCTAGACATTCGCCATTGATAAATGTAGACATTATTTCATCGGGCTGTTAATATTTGTTTGTACTTTTTTCTCTTTTGGTCAACCAATTGTAAATTGACTAAGCTAAAGCAAAAGGAAAGGCTTATTGGGTTTTCTCATTTATCACTAAGAGAGCCCATTCATTGGGCTTTTTGTATAGGAATCTGATTATGGGCCCAAGTTAAAGACCTAACTTAAATGATATCCAATGGAAACGGCGGCAAAATTAAGTAACTGCAAAAATTAGGGGAATTGGAAACGACGAATCCCTAATTGGACGGAGAAGGCAGTGGTCGAGAGAGCTCCGATGTCCGGCAGCGAGGAATCGGAGTCGGAGGAGGAAGTTAGATACCCTAGCGACGAACCAAAGGAAAAGATGTCGGAATACGAGAAGCAGAGGTTATCAAGGATCGCGGAGAACGAAGCGAGATTGGAAGCTCTGGGCATCCCCAAAGCCGCCAAGGCACTTGTGGGTTCGAGAAAACGCAGGGAGAAACCCAATCCCGGTGAAGAAGACGATGATTATAGACCCGGCGAGGAAACCGACGGCAATGATTACGATGACGAAGACGAGGAGTTTCTGGGGAATTCAAGCTCTGTTTCCCGTAAAAGAATGGTAAAAAAATCTGCCCTTTTTCATGACTTGTGTAGCAGGTTTGAATTTTCGGCTGCATTCTGCATTAGTGAATTTGTCTGATCATCTTTTACACTGGGTTTTATTGTTTCAAGACCTCGGCACCAAAGAGGAAGAATTTGAATAGATCAGATCCCCTTGGAGAGGATGAGGAGGGAGATGATGACTTGAACAAGGTATTGTAACAGAGGAGTGGAGTAAATGCTGCAAATTGGCTAACTTTAAAACTCCTGAAGCATTTTGTTTTTGTTCGAATTTGAGTGGTGCAGGCAATAGCGCTTTCCCTACAGGACTCTGAAGCAGTAGCAGGAGGCTCTGCCACTACCACTAGCAAGACAAGGAGAAGCGACCAAGAGACACCAACTTGGAAGAAGAGAAAACCGGTTTTGTTTCTATCAAATCAATTACTACTCAACAGCCTAGGAGGAGGGTGCTTTTTTTCTTTCCTAAGTGTACATTGGTGTTGTCTGATATGATGTGTAGGAGTTGATGAGCAAGATGCAGATGACAGCGGATGAATTGGTCATATACTTTTATCAGATTGATGGTAATATATGTATATTGCCTTTAATTGCAGTGCCGTTGCTATATCTCAGATTGGATTTATCATCGGTTTTTGTAAACTGTTGCAGAAGCTGGAAAAGGTTTCATCACTCTCAGAGATGTGGCGAAAATGGCGACGGTGCATGATTTCACATGGACAGACGAGGAATTACAAGACATGATTCGGTGCTTTGACATGGATAAAGACGGAAAGGTGGGTGCAATTACCAAACGTTTATTAATGAAAAACATCAGTGCTAAACAACGTTATGATATTTTTCTTTCACTTTGGGTTTCAGCTAAGCTTGGATGAGTTCAGCAAGATTGTTACGCGATGTCGCATGTTGAAAGAATCTTCCATTGGTAATTTGTAAAATTTTCAATCAAAACTGTCTACTGCATGCTAAGAGGTCTTCTAGTGTGTTTGGAAGCTTTAAGTTGGACTTGTCTTGATAAGTTTTAGAGTGTAAATTTGCAAAGGCTTGTGTTTGACTTTTCGTTCGGAACTTGGAGCAATGTTTATAGGGTTATATAGTGGACTCTCTACTTAGTTTGGATATCGCGGAATGATGACGGATTGATGTTAAATATGGTATGCAAGTTTCTCACGCGAACTTGTATACACATGTGGGATTAGTCGGATTCGTTCTTATTAACCACAGTTAATTAATTAACACACACAAAATATTAATTTTTAAAGTTTTTTAATTTTTTTACTAAGATGTGTGTATTAACACATACAAGAAAATGTATTCTTTCTGCTAATTTTTCTTTCTTAAGTTTGCAGGACTGATTTTTATTTTTATTTTCTTATCAAGATGTGAGTATAAACAAACACACAAAAAAATGTTAATATTTTGAGTCTTTTTTTTTTAATTTACTTGTCAAAAATGTATATTAACACACATATAAGAAAATGTTAAATTTTTGAGTCTTTTTTTTAGTTTTTTGGCAAGATGTGTGTATTAACACACAAGAAAATGTTAATTATTTGAGTTATTTTTATAATTTTCTTGTCATGATATGTATATAAACACACACAAAAAGTTAAATTTGCGAGTTTTTTAATTTCTCTTGTGAAGATGTGTGTATTAATACATACACTTAAGAAAATGTTATATTTTTGAATTTTTTTTGAATTTTCTTATCAAGATGTTTGTATTAACACAGACGCAAGAAAATTTTCAATTTCTGAGTTTTTAATTTTTTTTAGTCAAGATATGTGTATTAATACACACAAAAAATGTTAAATTTGTGATTTTTTTTTATTTTTCTTGTCAAGATGTGTGTATTAATAAACACACAAGAAAATGTTAAATTTTGAATTTTTTTTTTAATTTACTTGTCAAGAAATGTATATCACACACACAAGAAAATGTTAAATTTTTGAGTTTTTTGTTATTTTCTTGTCAAGAAGTGTGTATTAACATACACACAAGAAAATGATAAATTTTCGAGTTTTTTTTATAATTTTTTTATCAAGATATGTGTATTAACATATACAAAAAATATTACAAATTTTTTAATTTTTCTTGCCAAGATGTGTGTATTAACACACACAAGAAAATGTTATACTTCTGAATTTTTTTTTAATTTTCTTGTCAAGATGTTTGTATTAACACACACACAAGAAAATGTTCAATTTCTGAGTTTTTAATTTTTTTTTTGTCAAGATATGTGTATTAACACACACAAAAATGTTAAATTTGCTTATTTTTTTATTTTTTCTTGCCAACATGTGAGTATTAACACACACAAAAATGTTATATTTTTGAGTTTTTTTTAATCTTCTTGTCAAGATATATGTATTAACACACATACAAAAAAATACTAAATTTTTTGGTTTTTTTTATTTTCCTGTCAAGATGTGTGTATTAACCACACAGACAAGAAAATGTTATATTTTTGTGTTTCTTTCTGTGAATTTTCCTCCTAAGTTTGCAAGACTATTTTTTTTGTTTTCTTGTCAATATGTGTGTATTAACAAACACACAAAAAATATTAAATTTTCGAGTGTATAACTTTTTTGTCAATATATGTGTATTCACAAACAAAAAAATGTTTAATTTGCAAGTTTTTTATTTTTCTTGCTGTGATGTGTGTATTAACACACACACAAGAAAATTTTATATTTTTGTGTTTTTGAATTTTTTTGCTAAGATGTTTGTATTAACACACAAATAAGAAAATGTAAAAATTTTGAGTTTTTTTTTTAATATTCTTGCCAAGATGTGTGTACAAACACACATAAAAAAATGTTAAATTTTCGAGTTTTTTAATTTTCTTGCCAAGATGTGTGTACTAACACACACAAGAAAATGTTAAATTTTAAAGTTTTTTTTTAATTTTCTTGTCAAGATATGTGTACTAACACAAACAAAAAAAAGTTAAAATTTTGAGTTTTATAATTTTTTGCAAGATGTGTGTATTACCACACATAAGAAAATGTTAAATTTTTGAGTTTTTTTTTTAATTTTCTTGTGAATATATGTGTTCTATCACACACCAAAAAAATGTTAAATTTTCGAGTTTTTAATTTTCTTGCCAAGATGTGTGTACTAACACACACAAAATATTAAATTTTGAAGTTTTTTAATTTTCTTACAAAGATGTGTGTATTAACACACACACAAGAAAATGTTAAATTTTCGAGATTCTTTCTGCTAATTTTTCTTTCTTAAATTTGCAGGACTGATTTTTTTTATTTTCTTATCAAGATGTGTGTATAAACAGACATGCAAGAAAATGTTAATATTTCAAGTCTTTTTTTTAATTTACTTGTCAAGAAATGTATATTAACACACACACATGAAAATGTTAAATTTTTGAGTTTTTTTTGAGTTTTTTGGCAAGATGTGTGTAGTAACACACACACAAGAAAATGTTACTTATTTGAGTTATTTTTATAATTTTTTTATCACGATATGTGTATTAACACACACAAAAAGTTAAATTTGCGAGTTTTTTAATTTTTCTTGCGAAGATGTGTGTATTAACACATACACTTAAGAAAATCTTATAATTTTGATTTTTTTTTAAAATTTCTTATCAAAATGTTTGTATTAACACATAAACAAGAAAATGTTCAATTTCTGAGTTTTTAATATTTTTTTTGTCTAGTTATGTGTATTAACACACATTAAAATGTTAAATTTGCGATTTTTTTAATTTTTCTTGTCAAGATGTGTGTACGTGTGTATTAACAAACACACAAAAAATGTTAAAATTTTGAGTTTTTTTTAATTAACTTGTCAAGAAATGTATACTAACACACACACACAAGAAAATGTTAAATTTTTGAGTTTTTTGTTATTTTCTTCTCTAGATGTGTGTATTAATATAACACAAGAAAATGATAAATTTTTGAGTTTTTTTTTTATAATTTTCTTGTCAAGATATGTGTATTAACACACACAAAATAATATTACAATTTTTTAATTTTTGTTGCCAAGATATGTGTATTAACACATACAAGAAAATGTTATACTTTTGAATTTTTTTTTTAATTTTCTTGTCAAGATGTTTGTATTAACACACACACAAGAAAATATTCAATTTCTGAGTTTTTAAATTTTTTTGTCAAGATATGTGTATTAACACACACACACACACACACACACACACACACACACACACACACAAGAAAATTTTATATTTTTGTGTTTTTTAATTTTCTTGCTAAGATATTTGTATTAATACACACATAAGAAAATATAAAAATTTTGAGTTTTTTTTTTAATTTTCTTGTGAATATATGTGTACTAACACAAAACATGTTAAATTTTCGAGTTTATTAATTTTCTTGTCAAGGTGTGTGTACTACTAACACACATAAGAAAATGTTAAATTTTCGAGTTTTTTTTTATTTTTTTGCCAAGATGTGTGTACTTACACACACAAGAAAATGTTATACTTTTGAGTTTTTTTAATTTTCTTGTCAAGCTATGTGTACTAACACAGACAGAAAAAAAATGTTAGATTTTCGAGTTTTATAATATTCTTGCAAGATGTGTGTATTAACACACACACAAGAAAATGTTAGATTTTTGAGTTTTTATTTTATTTTTTTTGTCAAGATATGTGTATTAACACACACACAAAAAAATATTAACTTTCGAGTTTTTTTATTTTCTTGCCAAGATATGTGTATTAACAGCACACACAATAAATTTTAAATTTGCAAATTTTAAATTTTTCTTCCCAAGATGTGTGTTTTTTTTAAATTAACACACACACAAAAAATGTTATATTTTTGTTGTTTTTTTAATATTCTTGTCAAGATATGTGTATTAACACACACACATAGAAAATATTAAATTTTGAAGTTTTTTAATTTTTTACTAAGATGTGTGTATTAACACACATATAAGAAAATGTTAAATTTTCGAGATTCTTTCTGCTAATTTTTCTTTCTTAAGTTTGCAGGACTGATTTTTTTTAAATTTTCTTATAAAGATGTGTGTATAAACAAACACACAAGACAATGTTAATATTTTGAGTCTTTTTTTTAACTTACTTGTCAAGAAATGTATATTAACACATACATATGAAAATGTTAAATTTTTGAGTTTTTTTTGAGTTTTTTGTCAAGATTTGTGTATTAACACACACACAAGAAAATGTAATTATTTTCGTTATTTTTATAATTTTCTTGTCACGAAATGTGTATTAACACACACAAAAAAGTTAAATTTGCGAGTTTTTTAATTTTTCTTGCGAAGATGTGTATATTAACACATACACTTAAGAAAATGTTATATTTTTGATTTTTTTTTAATTTTCTTATCAAGATTTTTGTATTAACACAGACACAAAAAAATGTTCAATTTCTGAGTTCTTAATTTTTTTTGTCAAGATATGTGTATTAACAGACACAAAAAATGTTAAATTTGCGATTTTTTTAATCTTTTTATCAAGATGTGTAACAAACACACAAAAAAATGTTAAATTTTGAGTTTGTTTTAATTTACTTGTCAAGAAAAGTATATTAACACACACACAAGAAAGAAAATATTTAATTTTCTTGTCAAAATATGTGTACTAACACAGACACAAAAAAATGTTAAATTTTCGAGTTTTATAATTTTCTTGCAAGATGTGTGTATTAACACACACAAAAAAAAATGTTAGATTTTTGAGTTTTTATTTTATTTTTCTTGTCAAGATATGTGTATTAACATACAAAAAATGTTAATTTTTGAGTTTTTTAATTTTTTTGCCAAGATGTGTGTATTAACACACACGAAAAGTTTTAAATTTACGAATTTTTAAATTTTATTCCCAAGATGTATGTTTTTTTTAAATTAACACACACAAGAAAATGTTATATTTTTGTGATTTTTTTAATCTTCTTGTCAAGATATATGTATTAACAGAGACACACACAAAATATTAAATTTTGAAGTTTTTTAATTTTCTTACTAAGATGTGTGTATTAACACACACACAAGAAAATGTTAAATTTTTGAGATTCTTTCTACTAATTTTTCTTTCTTAAGTTTGCAGGGCTGATTTTTTTAATTTTCTTGTCAAAATGTGTGTATAAACAAACACACAAGATAATGTTAACATTTTGAGTCTTTTTTTTTTAATTTGCTTGTCAAGAAATGTATATTAACACACACACATGAA